TCGGTGCAAATATACTCAATAATATCTCTAACCTCCTGTTCATTGAGGGATTCTCTGGGTCTCCCTGTGCGTGTAGGGCGCGCTCTTTCAGGCACATCGTATAGTAGGATCTTCCTAACTGTGCTGTCTCCTAGGTGGTAGTAGCCCTGGAGCTGTTGCAGGCCTATTTTAGCGAATTTGAAGAGCCGGCGTATGCCCTCTTTGTGCTTGGTTCTGATCTCTGCACCTGGGAGACGTGGAGACATAGGTGGAGTGGTAAAAGGATCCATAATGGTGGAGTTGTTGATAGTTTAGTCCTAATGTGAAGAGTTTTAATTTCGAGGTTCTACAGCCTGAACGCACGGACTTTTGTCCCCATGTTCGTAAGCTCCTTTTCAAATGGAGCTTTAGACGATTCTATCTTAAGATCCTTTTACCCATTATCTTATTCTCTCCTCACGTGCATTGTGCTGTGTATCATAATTTTCCTGATCAATATATATAGCAGAGACATATTCTTTGAGGCTTACGTTGGGACTTGCTCATTTGCTTTCGTTCCGGGATCTTCTTCAAGCTTCCAATCTAATGGTCGACAGAGATCTTCGAGAATCACAATTAGACTAAATTGAAGTGCCAAGGGATGGTACTAATCGACAAGGTCGAATTAGGATTTGATAGAAAGATTGCAAGATTAGAAGAGATTCTAAGAACCCTCTTCTCTTCTACTCTATTTATACGCTAGTAGAGGCTCGTCTTCAACTCCACGTATGTCACCTGATATTCTCACATGAAGCACATGGGATACTCTGAGCCTGATTTGGGTGGCCCAAGAATATCTAACTTCAAAACCCAGTGTAGTTTAAAGCATGTTATGCAATTTACAAGTTTAAATATATATCCCACAGAAAGGATGAACACAATGCAAATATTGATTAAATTTATCCGCTTTCATAGCTTCCTCCACTGCCACTCGCAGTATCTTAAGGCCTTCAGCACATCGGATTGAATTATGTACTATCTACTTTCTCTGCTAGCTTATTTTCCTCCAAATCAATATCACCGAAAAACAGGGCCAACTCCTCCTCTGTGAACTCTTGAACAGTTTTCGTCTCTGTCAAGGTGTGCTCTTCGAAATTTCTTTCTTTCTCCAGGAACCTCCCGCCAAAGTCCTTGCACCCACAAAAAGCAGCGCGATGCCATCGGCTATCGTTGTTTGAGTGTTGGACATAAGGCTGAGCTGCCTCCCAAGCATGTTTAACTGGCAACAACCCGTCTATTACCTCTTTTCCGAAAGTCTCCTTATCCATTTGTCCAATCTTGGCCCACAGCGGATCGATGAGTTGTGAGATGAGAGGATCATTGCTGAAACAAGAAGACAGGTACTGTTCCGCCCACCATGGAAGATACCCCGCCATTTCCCAGTCAATAATCGCCTGTATTTTTCCATTCTTTACCAAGATGTTGCTTGTATTCAGATCTCCGTGTGTGAGAACGTAGGGCTCCGACTTTGGAGACCCTCTTATAAGTTCCTGGTATTTCTCTTCTATGATGAGTGGGTCCTTGGTCTTATGGATAGAGGATAGTCCAGTCCGAAGCTCTGGTTCAAGATTCTTAAACCACTCCTCGTTTGTAAACCCAACTTTCTTACACATAGGAGGCCTACGCCGCTTGCAGAAACCGAACATTAAATCATCCATGGGCTCACCATTGACCTTCGCAGCGATCGGAGACGTAAACTTCCTCCACTCTGTGATACACTTACCAAGCTGATCAGCATAACCTCTCTTTTCTTTCGGAGGAAGAGTTAGCCAAACATCCATGAGCGATACGCCTTGAACTCTAGACATTAATGTCAGAACTACTTTATCTGTTGGCTCACTAAGTACCCTCATCTCCTTGATGATGGGGGTTTTCAGCCCAGGCTGTTGGCGAAGAAACTCTTGAGTCATGAAGTCGTTGCCAACTGACGCATCATTCGGCTGATCACGTATCATCCATCGCGACCCAACATCCCATATTCCGAGGGTACCACGGGTATGGCGAATTCGAATCCGTGATCCGTAACTGGCAAAAAGCTCATCATACTGCGTCCAGCCACAAGACCAACACAATTCTTCCTTTTTCAGATCGACCTCGTGATTATTAAAAGACCAATCTCTTTTCCACCATTTGCCGATCCTCTTGATGATTTCGGAATTGGCTGGTTCTTCGGCTGTACCATTTTCTCGGTCTGGTTCCAACAGAAGATTCTTGTAGAGCTTTTCCAGGTGAGCGTAGTCCTCGTAGTCGATTGGGTCCTCTTGAGCGAGTCCCCACCTTTTGGCCATAAATGCTCGAACAGCCATGATTGGAAATTAAGTAAGACGTTAGTCTATAGATAGATCGTAAAGTTGTAGCAATAAAATTTAGGACCACTTTCCCGGGGTTATATAGGTAAAGTCCTTTGTGGATACGTGGGCAAAAAGGAATAAAGCGGCCTAAGAGCATGCGTAAAAGCTACTTCCGCTTTAAGTTGTCTCTTTGTCATGTTGCTCAGAAAGAAATCCGCAAGCGGTTTATAAGATGAAAGAGAGTTGACGCATTAAGAGTCGACAGTGCGATAACCAAAGGAGAATACTTAATCAGGATTCATGATAACGTACACAAGGCTTTCATGGGGCGATTTCTGTAAAGAAAGGTTAGCAAAGGGGCAATGTAATGAAGAGAGTCAACGGGAGGAAATAGAAATTGTTACACATTAATATATTTAAATATATTTTTTTAATAATAATTGTGACGGCACGTACGAGAAAGCACAATGAAGGCGTCGTAGACTGCTCTATTCGAAGATACTAAGCTAAAGAAAGGAGAAGAGAGTCTCCCGGAGGGAGACGAAGGCTATTTATACATAATACGGGCACTAGTGGACCTATTCCACGTGCGTAGCATGTGACGAGTGGTTCAACTCGTCACAATAATTATTATAACGCTAATTATTGTCACAGTGCTGGTTTCAGTCCTATCACGTGACAACTCACCGCCTGGCAGAATCCTGTATATAAGCACTCCTGAGAGCTGTCCTCAGCTCTTCACCTTAGTATTCTAAGAATGGATCACCTCTTGCATCTCAACCTGATCTGGTCTGTCACAATTATTACGAATCGCTTAAATTAATCGTTTATTTTTGTGATAGCACGGTTGGACTTAAGTACGTAGACGAGGAATCGATTAGGCTATCTGTTGGAAGCACAGTGTGACAGCACGGTTGGACTCAAGTACGTAGACGAGGAATCGATTAGGCTATCTCTTAGAATCTAAAGGTAAAGAGGAAAGAAAGGAAGGAAGCGCCGGAAGGCAGGGCATATATACAGGCGAGCGGTCACGTGAGTATTTCGTAGCGGGCACGTGACTCCATAACCGTGACAAATTTTATATTTATAAAAAAATTTAATAAAACGTAAATTCGTTTTATTATTTATATTTTTCGATTATATTTTATTATTAATAAAAAAAATAATTATTAATTTTTTTTACGTCGTTATATTAAATTAATATAAAATTATTTTAAAAAAAATTTAAATAAAATTAAATATAGCGAATTATACGATTTTTTAGCCGAAAAAATACGATTTTTTTAATTTAATTTTATTATTTTAAAATAAAATCGTATTATATTTTTATTTAAAAATATTTTTCGATTAAAATTATACGAAATATTAATTAAACGCGGATCGAAAAAATATAATTATAATTTTAAATAAATAACGTAAAATAATTAAATTATATGTAATAGCATTATTGTGGCAGGGCTAGCTCTTTTTGGTCCTTTTGGCGCTGACCGGCACGTGTGGTTGAGGAGGAGGCCAGCCCGGGAACGCTAGTCTTCCCTAGCACTATACTCAACTGGGTCTAGTTTATCATGTGACGCTTCCTATATATTGTGGTCGCGCACTCTTAGAATAACAATAACTCTTCTCCCACTCTTAGTTTTTACAGTGATATGCTTTCGAATGCTTTTTATGATGTTTTAAACCTATTCTACTACTGCGAATAGTGGTCTGCTTCGCGCAGTGCCTACTTGTTGTTGTTTTGGTTGTTTTCGCGTACTGCTGGTTCATGTTCTTACCCCCTCTACATTATAACGATAGTATAAGGTAGCGACGCAACGTCGGGCTATTTATTTAGAATCTAAAGCTAAAGAGAGAAGAAAAGAAAAGAGGAGAGATCTATATACATATATATGTCAGAAGTAAAGGGATGTTAGGTGAGGAGCTAAGCCCTATTAGGCTTAAAGCTCGGGAATGTGACAGACCAGATCAGGTTGAGATGCAAGAGGTGATCCATTCTTAGAATACTAAGGTGAAGAGCTGAGGACAGCTCTCAGGAGTGCTTATATACAGGATTCTGCCAGGCGGTGAGTTGTCACGTGATAGGACTGAAACCAGCACTGTGACAGATGTAGTGAATAGTGAATACAAGGCTTATGCACGAGAATAGACGGCAGCCGCAGATGCCGATAAAAGAGTGAATTTAAGTCTTTATTCTAGACGAAGAGGGTCGGAGTTGCGGAGCAGAACTGACCGACCATAAAAACCAGGATCTTGGACGATCCTGCGAACTTTGCAACAACAATCGATTATTACATCTTCTGCGACATGGCGCGGCCGCGCCCGGGAGTGCCAATGATGGGCCGGCTTGTGAGATTTTGCTGGAAAGTATTATCAGGAGAAAGAAATTATGTATTTTCAGGAAATATAATAGCAGGTGATTAATGGACTTGAGAGCAAGTAATTGGAGTTGACAGCAATCGTTGCTTTTGAGGATTGACAACAATAATTTGAATGAAAGTGAAAGTTTGATGTCAAGAATCTGTCTTCTAAACGTTGGAGTAGAGTTCAATCAGATATCTTAACATTGAAAATGTCAGATTAAAGACTTTAATGTCAGCTTCTTACAAGACGAGCGTACAATGGTCCGATTCGACAAGCTTCGGGCACCGGCACACCCACTTGGATCTTGGTACTCGATCGTTTGTGTTTGAGATTCAGAGTCGAGAATTCGGCGAGTATTTATAGAGCTCTAACTGCACTCAAGATACTAAGGCCACAGCTTGATGACTGTGGATTTCATTCACTAAACCTAGAATCTACCTAAAACGCGCGGGTGAATACTAGTTGTTGAAAGTTTACGAGGTATAGTTGTGGATTGACGTATAAAAAGACTGCCCAGGTCGATCTCTGCAGATTTCCAGCAATAAAAAGAGAATAAACCTCGGCATGGCATAGGGTCCCGGCAACCTCCTGCTTTGACAAATAATACTTCTTTGGGAAATTTCGAAACTTTGAGGAGACAAGGCTAAAGAATGCTACATGGATACTTTGAGAAGACTTGACAACAATTCGAGAGTTAACAACAGCAGTGGAATTGAAGGTTAAGCGAGTTATGTTAGAGCAAGAGTTCCAGCTATGAGAATGATTTGAAAAGAGACTGTGGCGTGTTGAATGTGACGGGTACTACCAACGAAGCCAAACAAGAGCCCACTCGGGCCCGGTGTGTAGGTATGAGACCAGCCGTGTAACTATAATTCCTAATCTCAGAGGTAGCTAGGGATTTATATACCCATGAGCTCCACAGCCTGCCAGCCTAGAACTTGTCATTCACTTCTACTCTACTACCTCCCCCTTCACGCCCTTCAAAACCCTTCCACCCAAAGATTCACTCTTTAATCCACCCCTGAACCAGTCACAACAAATTCACCACACCACACCAAGAACTCCTCAAAGCCCCATCCACCACCCAAACCCATTCATGACCCAAAATCTACACACCAACCCTCATTCCGTCTTCTCTCAGTCTATAAAAGCCACAACGCTTTCTCGAGTTCAACACATCAATGTCAATGTGTCCTTTTCCTGAAATACACCCGCCGGACCGGCCTCGCCTTGTCTCTTAGCCGTGCTACAACTTAGATCAATTAATGTGTGCTGTGTATGTGGGTTGTGAGAATGTGCTGTGTGAGAGGGGAGATGGGAAAGGGCAGGGTAGGAAAGTTGATGAGGGAGCGAGGAGAGTTTAGTAGTACTGTATGATATTGGAGAAGAGGGGAAATAAGACAAAGAGGGAGGATGAGGGAGGAGGTTTGAGAGGGATATGTGGGATAGGATCGAGGTACATTGTGACTTTATGGAGGGAGATGAATGTGGGTTTTGGATGCGAGACATAAGAATGAAGAAAATGGGGTGAGTTCAAGAGACATTTAGTTTGTGTACCAAGAATTGAATGTGTGTCTGAAGAAAAAGCTTCAAGAAGATGAAAAGTGCTGCGCGAATGCTACATTCCTCTTACTTACACTCCTCGAAAACCACCACAATGTCTAACCTTTGGATAAACATGGGAATCATAAAAATAATCCTCAGAACGAAGGACATTCTCTCTCTACCAAACAGCGAAAATCTCCCTCCCAACCCCAGCACTCTTACCCCCCCACACCACCACCTCACACACCATCCCCCTTCACATCGGTCCCGAAGCACCGGCGATCGCCATCCACCCCTACGTCTCAAATGTCGTTCCCATCCAATGCTTTGTCATCGTGTCGCCGTGGCCGCGTAACCGATGGAAAGAAAGGTGGGTCCCGTGCAGATTGCCGAGTTTGGCGTGTGATTGACATCAGATGGAGAGGGAGGTATAAAGAAAGGGAGGTTTACGGTATCAAGTGTCTTGGCGTTTCTTGGCATCTGTAGAGAAGGAGAAGAAGGCAAACGACCTCGGGAGGTATGGATGGGGTCACGTGATGTGGTGAAGGAAAACAATTTGGAACAGAGAAAGAGAGTGCGGGGATATTGATTTCCACGAAACACGAGTACGGTTTACTGAAATCTTTAATGAGCGATGACGGAATTCCCACTAGCTGGCTCGAAAGAGGACTGATAATTGAAGACAACATGAATTTGCAGACGATCTTTACATCAGAATAGAAGAGACTCTAGAGTATGTTTTACGAAGGATGAAAGCTAGCAAAAAGAATGTACGGTTACCTGCTTGAACGGCTGTTGGTCTTTAGATTCCTTTTCTGCCCTTGCAGGAGTTCAAAATAAATGACTCGAGGAGATTTTTGGTATGATATCATGAGATGATGTGAAAAAGGGCCAGAGCGAGAGTAGACATCTTGTTTGGGAGTTGAACTCTGCTGAAGTTCCGAATAGGCTAATTTTGGCAGCTTCTTTTGTTCTTCAGCAGCTAACAGTTATCGGGTGCAAAGGACACAAGTCTTGTGGTACACTCGTACTTTCCCCGTTGATTGGAAAGAATGCATGGGTGTAAGTACAGCTCTAGAACAGCAGGGGCTAATCAGGAAGGAGGCCCAGTATATTGTATTTCCTTCTGACAAAACAGGAAACGACCTTCTCCAGCGTCCATGAATCCAGAACAAAGATACCCAGAGCCGCTCCGCACGTTGAAAGTAGGCAACATGCAGCTGTGATCCGAAAGTCAGTGGGAACCTGCCGCGGGAGATGACTTGCAAAAGATTTACAACACAACAAACGCCACGACGCAAAAATAGAAAAATGCATATTGAAACCTCCACCTAACGTTGGTAGACCGCATTGCTTGCGTCGTGGCTTGCGATGTGGACTGATTCGTGTTGCATAGTGACATTTCTAGGTGTACCCAGAAATGCATGTTTGAAAGATGAAACATGCAGTTTTTGGTCAAGAAGACGTCCACTTTCGTGAGCGGATTTGATCACAGTAAAGCAATTATGACTTCACGGGTAAGATGAGGCTGACTTTACAGATTGAAGACTTGGAGGATGGAAGAAATTGCGGCAGTGAATGCTGAAAAATGGAGGAAGTTGGACGATCAGGGATTAAAACGCTCGACTGATTTGCTGGGTCGCTTGAGCACTGCCGGTCGGCGCTTGGTCGCTTGGGACATCTTGGAACCCAGGTTGATACGAAGGGTAAATGCACGGTCGAGTTGGAATATCGTAGGATTTGAGAAAAGTAATAACACCTGGGCGATAGGAAAGGAACTGGGCAGGATTGTTTGATGGAGAGAAGAGGTTGGAATAGGGGTAAAGACTTGGCTCGAAATAGGAAGGCGTTATTTAATGTAGCCAACCATTGTTTGCCCTTCTGCTGTGCGTCGTTGTTCGAAGCTGTAATTCTCCAGTCAGTAATGTCTCTGAAGATGTCTTGAATACATCTTGATTATGTCTCTGATTACGTATATTTTCTTCCTCGCCTTGGCACCCCACTCCAACACTGCGGGAAGGCGTTATTTAGCGCCCTCGCTACCAGCAATTCCCCGCTGGCCCCTGTAATCCCACCCTGGTGCGTGGTTACAGTGGCTCAGATATCCCGGACGCGTTTGTAACGATGCAAGGCTGATCACATACAACTTCCGACACCGCGATCAAGTTACGCAACACAACACAGCAGCAGTGACACCGCAGTGGAGACCAAGGGACCTTGCAGCTTTTTATTCTGGACAGACGGTCATGACTTCGACTTCGAGATGTCTTTCAATCCGGGATTCTCGTTTTGTGCTTCCCATTCGACAACGGCCATGAATGATGTTTGGCTCGACCCCTCAGTGCGATTTCATACCCTTGAGCACTCAGGATATCGAATGTGGGGATGCTGATACTCGAGAGATCTTAGGGGAGAAGGTAGTACCATCGCAATGGACAGATTCTCTCTGCAGGCCTTTGTAAGTATCAATTGGTCTACCCCGCATCAACATTCACTAAGCAGTCAATGTTGTAGTATATGGACAATATGTTCTGCCACAGCTTTGATAACGACGAAGCGACTGATGTTCACTCATGCCTACCGTAAGTCTTGCCGTCTCAGTCTTCATTGACTCTGCTAACCTTACCAGATTACCGTACGTTGACAGCATAAACCCTCTGAACCTTCCTAACCTCGAATAGCCCTCACGATTGCCTTTCGATCCTTCACTGCGACTTTCGCTGCCTTTATTTTCCTACAACTACTCACCGCGTGGAGTAATATTGGCGGCACACAATGGGGTTTGAAGCAATTGAGTAGGAAAGACCTGTTGAACAGGTATTGTGCAATGATGGTACCCGCTTCTTTGGCAGCTGCAGCATCGTTTCCAATGTTGTTGGAAGGTCTGTTGCATATGCCAAGTCTGCCAGTCATAGTCATGCTGTTTGTGAGTACCATCATACTTTTTAATGATTCCTCTGACAAATAGTAGCCTCTTGCGTATGCTGCAGAATCCGTCGTACCATTCATATGCTGTTCTCCCTCACGATCACGGAAATGGCTACCCTGGGAAGCTGTTCTGGTTACTGTCGCATCAGCCGTCGTCTTATATAACGAATATCGTCTCACGGTTTCTGGCTTGATATGGGGTCCGACTGGCATTCTGCTCACGGGACTCTCTCGAGCCTGTTACGTTATCGGCTTAGAGGGAAGTGGTTTTGAACTTGCGTTGGAGTCGCGACTCAAAGCTCAGCACGGATTCGTTGTCATGACTCTTTTGTTTGGTTTGTTATTCAGTGGAGTTGCTGCATATCGGATTGAGCATATCCATCTCTTGGATCCTCTTGATACCCCTACGAAGGCTTTGATGGCTGTCAATATTGTTTCTATCGTTGGCACAGCTCTCTCTGGAACCTCTGTCGTGGCATATACACCCATTTCGTTCGACTCTCAGCTGCAATTCTCGAATATTCCAATCCAACTCTCACAGCTTTTAGCCCCTTTGGTTTCCAGCGTGTTGGTTGGTACCGTATCAGTATACTGGCATCCTACATACATATCTTGGTTTCAAATCGGCTCCTTTTTAGTTGCAGCAGCTTGGCTAGCAGGAGGCGATCAAATCCACAACTTCGTTGTCCAGTGCATGGACAGCACTCAGCAACGATTCAGCAAGCCGCTCGAGAAAGATTTCCACGAACCTCGAAAACCAAGCCGAATTCTGACATCTGGAGGTCTCCTCACCATCATCATTCTTATTTCCTGGAGCCTTTCCTGTCTCTCATCTGCATCCATCGATGCTCTTCCAGCTAGTCTCCCTACCACTCTCGACCTCTCGTATCATCCACAATCTCAATTTGATATCGTCATCAGTATGTACCAAGAATCTCCCTCATCCATAAGATTTATGGTCGACAAATTGAAGGCCACAAAGTACCTCAGTACCTTTTCCGATATCCAAGTCATCATTTACACCAAAGACAAAGCATCTGACCTCGACCTCATCAAACGCGAAACAGGAGCCAACACAGTCCGCCGACTTCCCAACACAGGCCGCGAAGGAGGAACGTACCTCCACCACATCGTCTCAAACTGGGACACCCTCGCCGAAAAAACAATGTTCATCCAAGCCCACGCCCACAACATGCGCGAGCTAATCCCCCACATCAACTCCTACCTCGTGCCCCAAACCGGGATGCTCAGCCTCGGCTTCACAGGCGTCACATGTCCATGCGGCTCCTGCAGTGATCGCTGGGGCTGGGAAGATAAGTGGAACGTCGTCCCTACACTCTACGAGAAGATCTACGGTGCTTCTTGCGAAAGTACTCAACAAATAACCCTCTCGTATAAAGGCCAGTTCATCGCGTCTGCGAAGCGCATTCGTGGGATTGCGAAGAGAAATTATCAGGGTTTACTGGACGCGATTACGAGTAAGGATGGCTGGGCGCATAATGCGACTATGCTCGCGTTAGGTGGATTCGGTGATGCGGGGGAGGATGATAGTCCGTCTAATCCGTATTTTGGGTTTACGGTTGAGAGGATCTGGGGGTTGTTGATGCAGTGTGGGACGGATGCGGGGGTTGCGGCGAGGTGTCCGAGTTTGTTGAGTGGGATGGGGAGGGAGGGGGACGTGGGTGATTGTCAGTGTTTGGATGTTGTAGGTTGAGGAGAAGGAGGCATTATTAGATGGATGGATTTGCTTTGCATTTGCTTTGGGGAGTTTGGGATGATACCTATGATACCATAGAGCGCATTTGGAGTTTGCTACATCACATAGAATAGAATATTCCTTTGTCCTTCCGGTTTTTGATTTCAGTGAATTCTAGCCAGGTGGTCCACAGGCTACTTTCAATTCACTCCGATTCAATTCACCTCACCAAGGGAACTACAATCAGGTAGTCATAAACTTCATCCAATTCACTCCAAATTAATTCACCTCAAAGAAGCAAGCTCGAGCTCAGCCTCTGCTCAAGGATTCTTGTCTATAAATACCCTCTCCCCCTCCAAACCGAAGAAGCTGTACAAGCAGTGATAGTCGAGACTATCAAGATTCAACTCTGACACTTGAGGAGCGCCCTGGTGGCCCGGCGCCTGGATGTGTAAGAACAATTTCCCAGCATCTCAGTCTCCGAGCTTCGAATTCGGGGCTTGTTGTTTTTATGGAAAGTATTATATTATTCCCAAGAACTTTGCTGTTGCTAAATATTTTGTTCTTGTTATGAAGCTTCTTGTTATGAAGCAGTTTATTGTTATTGAGAAGTTCTTCCTGCTAAGAAGTTTATTGTTATCATGATTTTGCTTGTTGTCGCAATATTTACTACTTTCTATTTTTGAACTTACCAAGAACCCGGTAGCTCAGAGCGCCGGGTGATGGAAGAGAGCCAGAATATGAATAGAGAGATGAGATGTCGTACAGCCCGCCATTGCACGGTATGGAATCTCGGTGTGGTTTGTGGAATTTTAGAAGGAGGGGGAGGGGTTGGTGTTTATATACTTCCAGCGCTATCGAAGGTCAGGTGGGGGAATAGAGTGAATTCGGCGACTCCATCGATTTGGGCAATTTTAATTAATTCACTTCAGAAAAGCAAGCTCGAGTTGAGTTTCTGGTCGAGGGGTTTGTGTATAAATACCCTCTCTCCCTTCCTTATATTTCAAGACTGTAAATGATCAAGCACTTCACACAGAGAATCCTGCGAGGCTGTTCGGGTTCTGTTGTTGACGGGTTGCTAATAGTAAAAAGCTTGTTATTATTATTGTTATTATTGTGATTGTCGTTGTCGAGGAATTTGTTGTTATCTTTTGCCGCGCTATTAACTTTCTCCGTATTTCTATACTTGAACACACGAAAAGAAGGAAATCGGCGATCAATATAAAAAAAACATTAATTATAACACCGTGAACGGGCACAGTCCGCTTCATAGACTAACTGCCAATTCATCGTAAATTAAGATTATGAAAGTGGGGTGGATATGTATTTATATAGTTATTTGAAAAGCCAGAAACTGGTGAGGGGGAAAAGTGAATTTTATGGGTTTTTTTCAATTCTGTCTGTTTCTAATTCACTTCACTGAAAAGGAACCCATTTCGAGTCTTTGTTGAACAATTTTGGTCTATAAATACCCCCCTCTTTACACTCCATATCTACCTACTATCAAAAGCATCAAAAACCTGACACGTGATGGAAAACTCGTGTATCAATTTTTAAGCATAATTCTTCTAATTTTCTTGCTAAGATTTGAATATAAATCTTGTTCATGTTGAGTCTTTTTTGCTATCAATCATTTCATTGTTGCTAAGCATTTTTGCATTGTCTTGTCATTTCCCCTTTCTCAACTCAAATCTCGAGCTTTATACTTTGCTAACAAAGAATAGAAGAGGCGCCGTAAACATGTTCCGGGAGCAGATCCGCCGGAACATGTACCCAACCCGGCGGAATCAGACTCCATGGCCCACATTTTTCCCTTTTCTTCAATGTTTACTCAGGGCCAGGAGGAATTTTCGGTGTTTATATAGTTCTGGGTGGGCTAAGGGAAGTTTTGGGAGGTATGGAGAGAACAGGGTGAATTCGAGCGAGAAAGGCTGAGCAATTCAGAAGATTTCAAAGAGTTGCAGATTCACTAATTCTGGGCAGATTGAAGTGAATTGATGTCGAACTGGAAGAAAAAAAATTGTCGTGGAGGGGTATATAAGCAGTCTTCTCGACTTCTCTCGAGCTTTCTTTCTTTCTCTCTAACAACGATCAGCGGCTGGGGCGCTAGACACAGTCTTTCTATCCTCTCAAAGGCTATCTCTAAGATAGAAATGACACTGGGTGCGAGCGAACTTGAAAATGAATAAGTGGATAGCAGGAATCATCATCAATACGTGGAGAGTGTTATATACATACTCGGTACTCAAAAATAGAGAGTACAGATGAACTCAACCGCTGTCAACTCTCTTTTTGTTGTCGACTCAAGTTACGAGCTTCTATACTTCGATGGACAGATAGTGAAGTAGTGAGTGAGGCATTTGAAGCGAAAATGGATAACTCGTAAAGTACGGGTGTCAGCAGGTACGGGGCCAGAGTATGAAGTCGAGTTCAGTTGGGTTAATGATGACAGAGATGGGAGAGAGGATAGTGGTGTTTATATACTTCATGGGTGGGTGGAGATCGATGGGACTTAGCGAGGCTGGGAATAGTCGTGAATCTATGGATAGAAGTGAGGAGAATAAGGTTTGCGGTGAATGTGTAAGAGCATTCCTAAGGCAAATAGAAGTGAATTGAAACACCAGTCTCGAAGTTTAGAAAACTGGTGGTGGAGGACTATATAAATAGCCGTCCACTTTCGAAGAACCACGATCTTCAACCGACTTGACATCATGGTCATTTGTTTCTATGGGTGGGGTTTCCGGTGCACTTCCTGCTTAGTTTAGAATATGTGCGTTATTTCTATTTATTTTTGATAAAAAAGCTCTGTGACACGTATCACCACTTCAAGGCACGGGAACCCTTTTGGTTGCTGTTGTCAATAGCTAGCTTGTTGTTATTTACTAGCTTGTTGTCAACTCGTCTTGCACTTTCAAGGCTATACCTGCAAATCCTTTAAATCTCACTGCGGGAAAAATATCATAGAAGGATTTTATTCAGCCTTTCACGACAATGGAACTCGGCATACATTGTGTAGGTTGGAGGGAATTGGTTGTGTTGTGGAAGAATGGCGAGTGGAATGGGGCTTTTTATACCCATGTCTTTTGCTAGCTGGCAATAACCACTCCTTCCTTTTCTTCATTGATCTAAAGTTTGGGGGTATTCACCTCCACGGTAATAAGAGAACTGGATTGTATTTTGAATTCACTTTAGCTTTTCGTAAAATTATCTGTTGCTAATATCCGGGTTAAGTCTCCAGGTACGGAGTATAAATAGACGTCCTCTCCTACAATATTTTCCTTCTTCATACTACTAAGAATCGCGCCAGTCAGACTCCAATATCACCAGTCGTGGAGCCGCATTGAAATTGATATAACGAGTTTCTATCTAGAAAGATTATCGAGACCCTGTTCCTTGTCTAGCTAAAAAGAATCTTCAACCACACATCGAAGAACTTTGTGTCATCCCAACTAATTGCTGCTAATAATTTGACTATTGTCAACTTTCATCGACAAGTGAAACAATTTATTCGAGTTATTTCATAGGATATAAAAATTATAAAGATAAAAGTTTGACATTAAACTATAGTTTTCACCCGGACTACTCAACAGCATTAATTCACTTTTTATAATTATTTAAAATCAAGTCTTAGCTCGACTTTATTTAGTAAAGAACGCTAGTAAGAACAATAAATACGACCCTTCATCTTCTCTTAACTTACTTATTATTCAACACATACTTTAAGCACCGAGAGTAGCCCGGACCCAAACTTAGACTCTTTATATAAAAATTACTTTAGTGTATAATAAATAGCCGAGCTTAAGCTATATTTATAAAATTCAATTTTGTATCTAATATTAAAAAGAAATTAATAAATATTAACAATAATAATATTTAATTATAATAAATAAAAAAATTAATAATAAATAAAAGTTTAATAATAAAAAGAATTAATAAAAAAAACTATTTATTTATTCAAATAACGACAATAGTAATATTTATTAATAATTATTGATTATTTAATAATAATAAACTCCACAATAAAATCGAAAGCCATGATAGCAAAAACACTTATAGCAATACATCGACAAAGCAATACGCTAGCGCCACGTAAACAAATAGCACGACATGCACTTTTCACAGAAAACAAGAGATCCACACAAGCTAGCACTCAGCTCATGTGGTCAGGGTCAGGGAGACGCTCTCTGGCTGCTTCTTCTCTGCCTTGTTCTGCGGATCCAGAGAAAGGAAGGCGGTGAGGGGGGTATTTATATATCTTGCTTCAAGTCAAACGATTCTGCGGTCAAAAAATTCATTTTAATAAACTCACAAGATCTTTCTTTTTTGGTGGGTTTGTGGATTCATCTACCTTTACGTAGCCCAAATTGAGTCTTTCTCACCGGAGCAGGGATATATAAAGCACCCAAAACCATCGTGTGAACAATTTTTCCGTGTGCGGCTGCAGCCTGCAAGCCAAGTTGGACCCGATTTCTCTAGTTGTGTATGCTCTCGTCAACTGCTTCCATGAAAGCATACCCTTCGGACTCCTTTCAAGCCCAAAGCAATATTTTTCCTAGCCTTCAAATCAATACTTATTACTTCAGGAGGTTACGCCAATCTTACTCAGGGGGGTTTGAGGAGGGGAAGAGGCCCCCCTAATATCGAGGCTTCAGTGTTCTAGACTGAGGTTACGCCTCGTCGACTTCATTTTGTGCGCCGGGTCTCCACTCACCTATATTAAATTACATGCAAAGTGAGTTACCATGCTCTGATTTCCAAGTTCGAGTCAATTTTTGGACTAGTGTTAAGACAATTATCTCCGCACTGAGTTCCTTCAATATCTTTGATATCGAAGCTGAAGATCGCATAGCCCCTGCAGAAGCGTGGAAGTCTTTTGCTTCGGCTTTTTAAGCAGTCATTGTCCTTGTGTCTAACGCCAGCAAAGGAGATAATATATGACTTCACTAATAGTAAGCTGCGGAAAGCGAAAGATGTTACTGTTGGCCTTTTTGTTGTTGTCAGCTTCTCCTCGGTCGCCTTTACAGTTACCCAACTGCACTACGGTAAGTTGTTACTTGTAATTTAGTAAAGATCTAGCAAATTGGAGCCTTTCAGGAACTTAAATATTGTATACTGTATTTGCATTTTTTCTAAGTCATACTGTTTAGTACTTACAGGAATTCAATTTTATTACCAGTCGACAACTGCTTCCAGAGGGGTAAGGGGATTCACTTAAAGCCTAGTCTCTCTCAAACACCCATCCACCGGAACTTGTTGCAAGTAGTGGGGTATAAATTGTTTCGCTTTATTTTACAAGATTCCCGGTTTTATTGCCCAGGCACGCGGAAAACAGGTTCGCAATGTGGATAACTAGTAAAAATGATATCGCAATACAGTATAGATAGAAAGGGCCCTTGTGATTTGATTTAGAGCTTTAAAAGTGCCTTCGAATCTTAATAATACTTTCATTATGAAATCTGTTGTCAAAAGCATGTTGCTGTCAATCTTCGGATCTGAACAGTGAAAGCATCGGAGTATGCTCGAAACGTAGTTTGACAAGCAACTGTCCCGGTCTCAAGCTATCCAAGCTGACAGACGTCAACAGGGACCCGATCCACAAAACCCATGGGCAGAACTTCGTCAATGTTTGGATAATCTCTGTTTCTTTCGGTTGAAGTTGGAGATTTTATACTTGTCTATCGAGCCCGAAGCCTGTCAAGGCTTTATGATACCGCTCGTTGGTGAATGGAGCCTGCTGTGTAAGTGAATTTGTGTGCTGGGAGCCTGCTTTTTGATTGCGAGAAATCATATGAATATGCAATCCCCCCCCCTACGACTTCCAGACACCAGGTGATCTGCAAGTCTACTCTACTAAGCCAGAGACGTATCGAAAGCCCGGATATCATCCCAGATCTAGTCGAAGCATAGTGTAAAGGTAAAAGTTCACAGCGGTGAAATTCTCATCAGAGGGTTTCGAAGCTTCTTTTTTTACTGTTATCTATGATATCCTTTTACCTTTTGGTTTTTATCCGCCTTATTAGCGCCTTACGAATTTGGAAGTTTTGTACGCTAAGCTCTCTTTGGGACGTTCTTGAGGCCTGGTACTCGTTTAGCGTTCTCAAGTAGTCCAATTCACCCAGATTTCCAGCTCTATGAAGACATTAACATATTCCTTCATGAAAAACTCCGCATCATTCGCGCGCGCAACATCAAAAGATCAGAATATCAACATCGAAAGCATAGCAGCGATGGAAATAGACCAATGCAATACATCAACAATGCCGAGAGACACTTCAATGGCTGAAACGGCACTCTCGTCGACTTTCAAGTACTTTCCAAAGCTCCCAATTGAGCTACGCCTCATAATCTGGTATGTCTCTGGAGACAATCGCGTCTTGCACATGCTAACTACAATAGGAAATATGCCAGTCAACATCAGCGCGTGATCAGAGTACGAGCACTGAAAGTCCGGTCTGAGATACCAGTGGTGCGATTTATCAGCCAACCCAATGCACTTCTTGCTAACAAGGAAGCATTCCAAGAGATGATGAAAAATTACACTACCTACTCGAATCGGATGTTCATGAAACCACTGATGATTAACTTAGAAGTGGACTTGTTGTACTTTGAAGATGAAGAGGACTTGCGAGTACTGATCTACGGTGGAAGAGATCCACTCAGAGAGGTTTTGGTCAACATGGCTGTCTCTAGGAAGGCGATGTGGTACTTGACAGGTACTTTGTGGTCGATTTCTAAATTCACCGTTCTTGAAAGATTGATACTTCAGACGGCGAATGATTTCTCTTCCTCTGTAGACAGGCTTAATCAACGCTCGCTAGAGTGCTTTTGGAGCAATTGTGGCCCCGCGTTCCAAAGGCCTGCTCTAGAGTGGATTTCAACCGAGGAGATGGAGAATCTGTGAAGCAGTATAATCTCTTCTCACTTTGAGCTAGACACTGATCTAGGACAGCTCGTGAAATATTGTAGGATCTGTGCTTTTGGTCAATTTTCCGGGATGTTGTGCCGCAGCTGAGCTGGGCTGGAACAGGGGATGAACAGGCAAATGCAGGATGCTTCACAGAGGCATGTGTAGAGCACATTCATGCGACTGATAGATAATTGAAGATCAGATTTCCATCAAATTGAACCACTATTTTGGTAATGTGCTTTATGAATGAAATTAGTCTTATGATACAGTGCTGGTTCGGCGACTTCTCTTGCTTCTTTGACTGCGGTTGTGGATCAATAGTGCTATGGTGGTGGTTTTCTGAACCCTGATGCCCAACCTATACATCGATGCAAAACAAGAAGGAGGCTTTTGTTTCTTTTTTTCTTCTTATTTATTTAAGTAGTAAGGATTAAGATTAATACAATTTATAGTATAATGAGGAGTAAGACTTAAAGCATCAATCACTTTTAGTCCTATGAGCGTTCTAACAAGGCTATAAATGACCCTTCTTAGTATCCACCCCAAGTGTCCGTCAAAAGATCCTTTGAGCTGCTCTCATGAATAAGTAGGCGCTATTGTCTTGATTGGTGTATTCATCCGAAGGATTAAGCGAGCACCATGCGGAGCAATGCGGAGCACTAGCACCGGGTCACATGGGTATTTGCAGTTGCGCCCATGATACCTATCCTTTGTGGAAACCACTTCCGCTTTCCTTCTTCCCATGCTCGACCATCTGCATGTCCAACATCGCAAAGACTAACGTCTCTCGACAAATCAATCTCTTCGATTAACATTGAAAGAGATATCAATCAATCCCTGCAGATTTCAATATTACTTGCGCAGGGACAATCAGTTACCTCAAACACTCCTCAACACATACGAACAACAAGAACATTGCCACCTCTTCCTAACAATGTCTTCCAAATCTACGCAAGTTGCAGGCCTTGATCGTTCTAGTGGTAAAGCACTCGCCTGTGTGGTCGCATTTCCTAAATTTGGAGACCTGCCCATCGAATTGCGCTACATCATTTGTAAGTCTCAACTTTATGGAGAACACGTGCCTTCCCTTCTCGTCTGTGGAGTTGCATTCCAGGTTTATGCTGGGCGTTTTCTTGAGATATGAATATCTATCCTTGGAAATTTAAGAGATATGCTGATTCGATGATTGCGGTCATAGAGGAGTTTGCGGCAGAAGCGCGCAACATCGATGTCTAAGGTAGCTCTTATGCTGGTCCAGATTTTCTCCGCATTAAGGCTAAGATCCCAGTCATCTCACGAGTATCCCAAGAGTCGAGAAGTGTGTTCCTCCGGAACTATTGCCTCATCCGTCCTATGAATGAGTTCGACCTCAACGCCAAGCCGAAATACATCGATTTCCGAATGGAATACCGTGTTCTTTAGGACTGACCATACTTTGGTCCTGTTCCGTGCCATGCTCATTGACTTTCTGCCGGAGTCGAAGCAAGTCGGTCCAGCCTCCGATCGACTTCAACAGCTGGTGTTTATGGGAGAGTTTCGACACGGATCGGCCGGCACTCATGATGACCTGATAAAGTTTGGCGCTTTGAAGAAGTTGGTACTCCCATGTCAAACATACCGCTCTGGAGTCAAACTTAGCTATGGACGCCGTAAACGATTGGAGAAGGACATAACTCGTCGGCTGCTGGAAGGCTACCTTGGAGTGGAGGAAGGAGGGAAACTTCCAGACTTGGATGTTCAATTCAAGAACAACACTGAGATTCTGGTTGACATTCAGAATTAATACGTAAGTGCTCAACTTCCGACCACTGATAATTTATTAACGTGAGTCGGGAATATAGTGCTAGTCAACTGAACCATGGGTGCAGAAACTTGAAAAACGGTGCTTTTGGAGTGGTTGGCCTTCACTGGTTATGTTAGTAAGCTGACATGGAAAGGGGATCAACGTTCCGAAATATATAACTCGGGTTCTCAAGACATTCTGGATTGAGGAAAACTGGGTGTTGTGGATTGTTGTTATGGCGCAGAAACATTTGGGGACCGAGGTGTCATTGCTCCGTCTTTGAGATTCGGCAGAGCTTGGAAAGTCTTCGTTATCTTGAGCTCATATAGCACAATTATATGTTAGTTCGAGGACATAGGACAACTACCTTGTCTCTTGTGCATGAACGGGGTGATGACAGCTTCGCTTCGTCCTCTTGGGTGATATTGGGTCCTTTGAGATATAGATCGCTGTGAGCACCGACTGAGAATTGACAGTGTACTCTAGACTTCCTTTCAGATATAATACTGTGGTTGTGCTTCCTGACATTCAAAATTGTAGTGATGGCCCATAAACTGGCAAAGAGCCATATGGTGGCAGTTGTAATCATACTCTTGAATATGTGAATAGTCCCAGTTTCAATACCCCTCCTATCATCTCATAGCCGGAAAGTTCCCTTGAAAGTCCATCGATGTGATTCATTGTCTTAACTTCAATACAACGCTAGGAAGAGGGCAAACATCTCAAAAAAGGTGGGACATTCAGGGGTACACGTGACAAGCAGTGCGCTAGTAGAGAATAAGCGAGGAATTTCTTTACCACTAGGATCTTTCTTTGCTTCTGATCTTCCCCCAACTTCATACACTTCGCAAATTGACCTCGACTTCTTCAGCCATTCGCTTTGTCGGAGGTCGTTGATCCATTCATTCCGCAATCTTCCAGCCACGTCTCTCGCTGCACAACCTCTTCTGAAGATTGCGCGTGCGATAGAGGGATTTCTTCCATTCAACTTCGTCATTCCAATCATCCATCTTGCGCTCTCTCGGAAATGCAAATTCCAAGTCAAACAAAGGGCGATGCAGCTCTCGCTACATTGGCTGTTGCCCAACCTCCTGCCGTCAACGCTTTTGTTCCGCTCACGGAGTTCACTCTCTTCCCTGAGCTTCCAGTTGAGTTGCGCTTAGAGATCTGGTATGTCGTCCCTGTCCTCTATCCTGTGTTATCACGGTGCGAAGTTTAAACCTGGAACCATACGCTTCCTCAGTGGATTCTTTGTAATATTAATTGGTTACGTAGGGAATTCTCGCTGGAGGCACGCGTTCTTCAACTCACGGAGAAAAGACCGAGGACGCCCCAAGAGGAATTTATCCTAAAGTCAGATAAACCTCTGTCGATTATGCAAGTCAACACAGAGTCTCGCGAGGTTGGCAAAAGAAGTTACGATTTTCTCGAGTACTACAATCGGGAAATTAAAGGTATTTTCGTCAATTGGGAGCTGGATACCATCTACGCTGAAGAAGACGTCTTCAAATATCAAAGTCTTGTTGGAAATGTGTACCTCGAGAGAATCTCTTCAAAGATGCGACGTCTCGCTATATTGTGTGTCGATAATCAACGGACGAGTGAGATAAACACCATCGTAGACACTGCGAGCAGTTTGACAAACATCCGAAACCTCACATTCTACAACCCCGGAGGCGCAAATTATAAGATATTCCGCATCAAACTTCAAATAGAAAACATACGTCAGGATAAGGAGTTATGGGGCAGGACACCAGTGCTTGATCATGAGTTACCGCAATTATACGAGGAACTGTGTACGATCGCTTCGTCATTAAGCAGGCGCCCGTTGAAAAAATACAATACGCCACCTCGATTCATTGGTGTCAGCTGGAAGGGAGTGGCCCCAATTGATAAGGCAAACAAAAGAGTGGAATCTGCAGTGGCTATCCAGATGACTGAGGACATTTCGCCATGGTAAAGCGTCAAGCCGGTAGAGTGTCAGGTCGGTAAAGCTTCAGATCGGTAAAGCGTCCGTGTCCTGGAAACGTCATTGAAATTATCATGGACATTTGAGATGACGCAAGATGGACGGGCACGGGGGTTTCGATTTTGTATACTAAACAGAACTAGAAGACTTTACATCATAAAACTTGCTCCCCGAAACATCCCAAGTGACACGTGAAAGCATACTGTGGTTTTGATAGGAATTGCCGCCAATACACAGATCACGCAGCTTATTAAGGTAAATGAGAGGGTGGGTTATGTGATGTCTACCTAGACGTGGAGCTACTGTATACAATCGGTAAAGCGCAAGAGGGTTGTTAAAGTGTCGGGGCTACAAACACGGTTGTCATTTAAATACTGTGGACGTCTGAGAGGACGTATAGTAGTTCCCAATAAGCGTCTCGAGGCATGTATGAAATGAATCTACGGTCACCTAGGAACTTTTACTTTCATCTTCGAATCTCTGTCATGACTAACTAACACACTGTCTTTACAAGTAATGAATGCTCCTCTTTCATTATGTCGGGTACAAAGAAGGAATAGAGCGGTGAGATACTGAATGTAGGTTGTAGAGGCTGGAAAAATATAATAGTAGTGAGATACGCAAAAGCGGGATTACTGATGCATCGACTTCCACAGAAACGAAACTTCATGATTGCGAGACAGATGATTTTCTTTACCATTACTGCAACGAATTCCAAAATTAGGTATCCTCAGTAATAACCTTCCCTTCGCCCGTACCACACCCGGCGATTAAGCCCTACCTAAGGTCCAAGAAGCTGCACTGGTGCAGTAAACCACCCCTTCCCATTCGCCTCTCCAACCCCCGCATACCACGCCTTCGCCATCTGATTATACCCATAGTCATTCGGATGCAAGCCATCCTTCAGATCATTGAACGTCACATAGGCCTCCATATCCACGGACAATACTTTCATCCCCACACTGACCTTCTCCGCCACCACTCCCGGAATCGCAGCATTGAAGATCTGGATTCTTTCCTCGGTAGCATTGTTTGCAGCAGGTGTAAGTTGCGCGACGATGATAACGGCACTACCAGCTTCGGTCATGGTTGCATTGTGGCATTCATCGATGAGAGAACCTAGGCGATCGGGTGCTGTGGTTGTGTTGTTATCGTTGTTCATGTCGTTTGTTCCGGCCATGAGGAGGATGAGGTTTGGTTGATCGGGAAGAGAAGCCTGAGCGTATTGTGCGATTTCGTCGATCACGGCGCCGGGGTGACCTTCATTGTAATTATCGGTCATGTTGCCGGATTGCTGAGAGCCTATGTATTGGACTTGGGTACCGTTGGCCGTGAGCATGTTGAGGAGGTCGAGACGGTAGCCGTTGCCGTCGCTGCTCAGATACCCCCACGTGATGGAGTTTCCGAGAGGGAGGATTCGGAGGGGAACGTTGCTAGGAGTGCTGTTCGTAGCTGGTGGAGAGCCATTGGAGCATGGTGAAGCTTCTGCTGAGAATCCTGAGATTGTTAGCAGTTAAAAGTGAGTCTGCACAGGCTAGACCTACCTGCTGCGAGCAGGAAGCAAGCCACGAATTGGTAAAGTAGGTACATGGCGTCGATCTTGGCTGAGGCGGAAGTGGCTCTCGTTGAAGGCTTATAGTGGAGTCTGTACACTGAATGGTTGTACCTGTCGTATTTTGTTTGTTGTCTCGGATGCGGGTGTTCGTGACCTTTGCTAATGACTTGAGAAACAATGGTGAATTAAAAGAGATGGTCGAGACCTCATCGACTATTTTGGAGAAACCTGTTTGTTGCTCTATATGCGCGCCTCAACCACGGGCAGCGCATGAAATGAAAGTGAAAATGTCATCATGTTGATTTTCTCCCACATATAGCTTGAAGTCTAGCTGTGTGAACTCAGGATCGCACCGCCACAGTAAGACCAATTGAATTACGGAGGAATAAACGGCGAGAAGCCAGATCAACAGTATTAGGTAAGGCTCGTACTTTCAGCCTTACAGAAACATAACGTTTGACAATAAGCCGCGGGAGGATCGAGATATAGCCTGAAATTGTGGTCGGTACGACCCCGCCAAACACGAGCCTAAACAAGATTCATGAATTTGAAATTACGAATAAGCTTACGAAAGGATCCGCTCAAGTAGAAAAGCTTCACAGAGCTCGGACTTCGGGCGACTTGTTAAGATATTTGGAGTGATTGATTGGGTCCGACATGCAACTTGTGGTGGTGAAACAAATGGAAACAAGCTACAATGCTACATACTTGGAGAATGGATGCAACCACTTGGCAAGCGCAATTCCGCGAAATTGTATTCATCCGAGCTAACAGCTGCTAATTCGTAATCCTCTTCAAGTGACTGAGGACTTTTTACCCTATGGTCTGATGTCAGCTTGGACTGCTGCTGAAATCCGTACAACAAGTGACTGTCATGTGACAGGATGTACGATTGATTTCGAGTGCCGATTATCTTCCAGTTTTTGTCCTACCTGTAAAAGATTGCGACGAACATCTTTGCGGCATCTTGCGTCTGGGACTTTCGAGAACTAGGGGTCCAACATCCAGTTGCGAGTCATGGCTCTCAATCAAGCATGATGGCTTCGCATGATTGACGTCATTGATAGGAGATAGTATAATTCATTAAAATAGGAGTCAAGGGAGGTCTGAACTTCCCGAGGAGCTCAGGAGAGGAGATCTTTTGACTCCATCTTGAGCCGCTGGTATATCGCAACTTTGTATGGACGTAATGGACGTTTCCACTATGCTAACATCAAGATCTGTGCTTATATATATGAGGCGTTGGATAGCAGCTTAGAAGATGGAAATAGAGATAATTGCGAAGGTGTCAATGCAAAAGATGTCATGTAGGCAAGAAGGACGAAGTCCAGATATAGTCCTGATATTTAAGAGCTCCCGAAGTTCAGCCGAGAGCTATCCCGATAGGGAATCTCGAAGAGAAACATCTCAATCCATCCAGACATCAACGAACAGCACTCAGGTAATTGCAAAGGTAGGCTCTGCGTCTCACGGTTTAATTTCCTTAAGCCTGCTACTGCTATATCTCTCTCCTGATACGAGCCCTTTCGCGGGACTTTCTTCTCTCTCCCCTCTCACCCCGCATTCTCCATCCTCACTCACAACCAGCATAAGCCATGGCTCCCAAAATCTCGGCTCGCATTTCTTTGCGATGGCTACCGAGTACAGAAGCCCCTTCCGAGCCTACAGATACGATTGTCTTCGGTGTTGGGGCGTACTTCGTTGATCTGCGGGTGCTCAAGACCGACAATACAATCGACTGGGCACTGGCTGGCGAACGACAAATCGTGTCAACAGATCCGTGTACGTCCATTCTTCTTTCTCCTGTCTGATCTTGTTGGAAGAGCACAATGCTGACCATCTGCACCTTCAGTAAAGGTACGCTGGATCAAGACCCTCGACTCCCTCGGCCTCACAGAAGAACCAGACGAAGGCGACTTCACAACCCTCCCTAATGGCGATAGTCTCGAAACCGGAGCAATGCCTTGTCCAGAGAAGGGGATGGCAGTAACACAATACGAGGAGGTATGGCAAGTGTTGGCTCCACAATCTGGTCCTGACGGAGAGAAAGGTAGTGCGTGGATACTTGAGAGTATTGATGCGGCAGATACCATGAAGACCTTCTTGGGACGAATCGGTGGATCATATATGGCGATGAGAGGGAAGACTGGAGAAGCGTGGAAGGAAGGAGAGTTTGGGGCGAGGAGTGAGGAGTGGGATGCGAGCGATAGGAAATGGAAGAATAAACACGTTATTGGGTATATCGCGGGGCTTCCGTCTCCTGCTGAGTTGGGCACTGGTTTATTTGCTGGGGAGGATACATGGAAAGAGGGAGACAAGGTTGCCGTTCTTGGGCAGGAATATATTGTGCGGGCGTTTGAGGCTCTCCAGTGAAAGCTTGCTGAGCTTCTTGAATCGACTATCCCCAAAGGTAAATCAGACACTCCCTTCTTCAGTCGCATGGCATACTGAAATGTGATAGTCTCCATTCTGCTTAATTGCAAATGAGAACACCTTACATCTGCGCATTTTCCATCCGAGTCCATTTCCATGTCAGAGTTCTTCCCGATTATGTCTCGGTTCTCCTGCCTTTGATACTATGGTGCCTTACTTACATTCGACTTACCTCATATTCGAAGACCTGGGCTAGTGTCTGATCCATATCAAAGAAGTTCCGTTCGAATCTTACTTATCCTGAGTACTTCTGTCACATTGAATAACTTTTTCATTCTAAACTTTCTCTCCATGCTAGATACTTTTCATGCAACCCCTGCTGAGCTTTCCACATCTTCTTCCGCTTGTTGACAGCACTTTTCGACAATGGCGTCCCGTCCGCCCGATGCGTCGGAATGCCATCATCATCCCATCCTGAGAAGTTGGAATCATTCCTGAACATTTCTTCAGGCTTCACTGCCCCACCGGAGAGTTTTGTAATACGTGTCTCTTCTGCAGCTTGCTTTAATTCTTCCTTCTCGCGCTGCAACATTGCTTGACGTTGCAAATCCTCCTCATCAACCGATCCATCGCTCGTGATTTTGAAGACGCATCCTTGCTCGTGCAACCATCTCGCAATGCTAGCAATGTTACGAGCATCATCAATCCCGCTGTGGTGCGTCCCAATCAGCTCTTGGCCAATCACGTTCAGCATGCGGACCATCGAATCTGCTTTCTTGCCGGTGAATGACCTGAATGCGTGTTTGATATTGCACCACTTTTCGAATAACGGCAGACGAGCGATGTTGTAGAAGGATTGTTCTGCAGGAAGCATGGCCCTGAAGTCCCAATCTCCGCAAGTAATTGCCAGCGTATTGGATGCTGTTGCACCATGCTGTTCCAGAAATGCCAGCAAGGATTGCCATGCTTCTGAGAAGGTAGGACTTTCGTCAAGAAGTTCTTGTGGTGGGAAGTCTTTGAGGTGCCTATGTTTCATGCCAGAATTGCGTTGTGGTCGAACGAAATTGTGGAACTCGTCAATGATGTTTAATGATGGCGTTGCGGTAGAGAGCAAAACAAGGGGAAATTCTGTGATCTCGCGAGTGCCGTCGGACTCATTAATTGATGCCTCGAAATCAACGATGGCTAGGAAGTCGTAGCGCTGCTCGCGTACGTTTGGAGTGAGGCTTGACAAATTTGCAGAAATGTGCTCTTCTGGTGCCATGGCCGTATCGTGCTGAACCATATTCAATTTTTGAGCTTGATTTCGAGTAAGATCTTACCTGTCTTTTTCATTTATTACGTTCATACATAGTGAAAAGTATGCGATGTGTGCTACCTGATATTAAATCTCAGGCACCGACGATTTCCGGGATGAGTCATGAAGCGATGACTATGGCAAGTAATCGCATGCCAATAACCGGAGGAATTGAGCCCGCACGCTCAGCATGCGCTCGAGGAGTCACTATGCATCACAGCCTTTTCTGCTGCATGCAGGTCTGAGCCACAGCTCTTTTATCCTGCACCTCATCATCATTTCTATAATTATTTCTTGCAATGCGCAAAACTCCCCATTACCTTCACAACAGGAGAGAGTTGGTGCAGTCTTCAAAGAGTGAAACTAAAGCACCAAAGTATGATTATGTACAGACAAAACTCGAAGAATGAAAGGACACGAGGCGTGAAAATCTGGTTTAACGCAAACGACGAGGACAGTGGAAAAGTAGCGGTTGCCATTTCAACTTCAAGAGGGCTGACTCTCCTATACGGTTCTCATCTTAAACAAACACAATTCTCGCCAATCGGAAGTTGCTACTCGTCCACAGAAGCTTTCCGGTATTCCTTTTCATTGGCGTCAGAACAAGATGAAGAACAAGGGGTAGGTTTCGGTACTAAGACATGAGTTCAAACCAGTGAGATATCTCTTTTCATGAAGCTCAACTGTCTCGATTCTGATCTCCACATTCCCGCCCCTTCGAAAAAGCAGTATCCGTTGCGAAAACCCGTTTCCAGCGAGCCGTTCCGCAGTGCTTCGTCAACGTAAACAATAGTAAACTATTGGACTTGATTCCCTTATTTCTAGACTGGAGCAGAGCCCGAATTTTGTTGCTATAACTTAAAGGCCAGAACCGAGTGATGAGAAGTCTCACCTCGACCGTGTTTTGGGGAGCATATATTCAGAATCAAGCCTAGCTTCAATAATCACTGATCTGAAGCCAACTCTTGGCATCAAGAGAAAATGGATGGAATTGTCTTTATTCAGTACTCTCAGGGGCATGAAGCATGTTCGTGAAGTTGATTGAGCTCCACATACTTCGGAGACTGGACATTACTTTCAGCCCTGTTTCTTCTCGAGTCTTTCATTCTGAAACTACCCCCACGATGAGAGCCCATAAGAAGATGATCATTTCTGGGATCATTGTTTTACATTTCCTCTGTCATTCTCTTTTGAATTTTCACACCTTACAATTCTCCACACTCACTTTTCCCTCTCGTTCAAGATGGACATCCCTCCCTCAGACTCTCCTGGATCTGCAGGCTTCCCAATCCCCTCTACCTCATCTAGCAATGGAATGCCACCCACCAAACGACTCGTCCTCTGTTTCGACGGCACCGCCAACAAGTTCACCGGCGACGAGACAGACACCAACATCGTACAAATTTACACAATGCTCGACAGACAATCACCCAGCCAATACCACTACTATCAACGTTCGTGCCCTCCCCCATTTTATATAACAACACCTACTGACTTCTCACCATAGCTGAAATCGGAAGCTACGTCTCAGGCCACATCTCAAACACAAAACGCAACCCCTTCACGCAAGCCACCAATTGGTGCATAGAACGTTACGACGAAGCCTTCGGCTACTCATTCGTTCACCACGTCCTCGCAGGCTACAAATTCCTCATGCGCTTTTACACACCTGGCGACAAGATCTACATCTTCGGGTTCTCGCGCGGTGCTTACACGGCTCGGTTTCTCGCGGAGATGATACATAAAATTGGACTCTTGTCGGAAGGTAATGAGGAGATGATCCGGTTTGCGTGGGACATGTTTAGCGATTTCCAGACGAAGAGGGGAGATCGGGTGGAGAGCGATTTGATAAGCTTCAAGATTGCGTTTTGTCGTAAAGCTGTAAAGGTTGAGTTTTTGGGATTGTTTGATTGTGTGAATAGTGTGGCGAGGTTGCAGGATGGGTCGTCGTCGGATGCTGGGCAGGTCGCGAGGCATGTTAGACATGCCGTATCGCTTGGGGAGCGCCGTATTGCATTTAAGCCTGCGTTGTTCGGGTGGGATAAGAGGGTAGAGTCGGATGATGGGACGGAGACGATGGAAGAGATGTATTTTGCGGGTAATCATGGAGATGTTGGGGGTGGATGGGGATATGCGAAAGAGAAGGCGGTGGAAAAGGTTTCGTTATTTCAGATTTCTCTTCAATGGATGGTGGATGAGGTCGTTCAACTGGAAAGAAGACTGGACAAGAATGGAAATCCGGTAGTGCCTGAAGGGGTAAGCAGTCTCGTCATCGCGGTGCTACATTTTACTTACTTCATTCAGGAGAGGCTTCAATGGCAGGAATCCGATCTAAGTCAGATGAGAAAGAAGGCCGACGAGGCAATGGATGCGGTAGAGATTGACTCTCAATCAGCTGAAGGGGACGCGAGAATTCTCGTGCATGATCCTCTCGCTATTGGTCGAGGCTGTTCCGTCTTCGCCGTTCTATCATGGTGGTTCCTAGGTAAGGCTAATACGGCACCATAAAATCAACGAGCTAATAACTTTGCAGAGCTGCTCCCAATGTTCTACTATAATCTTGAGAACGGAAAGTGGGTTGCAAGATATGGTCAGAACTTCGGGACGTTGCGTGATCTCAACTGGGATGACAGCACAGGGTTGAACCAACATAAGTCAGTCCAGATCATGTTGGATCATTCCATCATCACCATGGAAGAACTACCGCAAAATGGTGGTGAAGACTCTGGGTTTTTTGCGTGGTGCAGGAAGGTGACGAAGAACAAGTATTCGAGAATACCAAAGGTGTCGCAGGATTGAGTAACGTTCTTAGTCTGAAAATATTCCTACAGCTTTGCGGGCCATTGGTTCTCAGATAGAGGGTAAAATAATTTGTATACATCAGCTTCAAGGCCTACCACAACCATCCGTCGCCACGTAAGAGAATCATCATGCATCATGCACGATGGATATCATGCATCGATCGCCGACTACGTCATTGAATGGAATCCTTATATTATATTTGATCCCGCTTACCAAGTGAACAACTGAGCTCTTTACTAAAGGTGAATGATAAATCATATTTAGACACCAAATTGTCTTCACCTCGCTTAAAAAAGTAAACAAATTTCCCAAGTGCCCAAGTCCAAGATATGCAAAAATGAAAAATAAAAAGCTGCATAAGACCTCACATTTGCTTTAGCGAGCCAGGCTTTTGTTATCCACAAAAGTCAAAACTCGGACCCATCGACGAATCGATGGGTCTTCCAAACGAGCAGCCAGTGCTAGTTTTAAAGAGGAAGTCCATCTGGAAGTCTGTCAGCTGAGCTAACAGTATATTAGACAACCTTTGGTGTTCCGAACTTAATGATAGAAAAATGCTTATTTAAAACTATAAGGTAACACTTAGATTAGCGAATCAGGTGTGAGGAGAGCGAGTGACGTCGGCGCCGCAGCTGTTGCAGAACGTGCTTAGCCCAACAACATAGAGAGAAGATTGCCAACAGAGTTTGCTTAAAAAGAGCAACTAGAAGATTGGTACAATTCACAAGTAAACTTCTCATGGTGTTAGGCTCTTTCCTAATCTTTTACGAGTTTCTCATCAACCCCCTTGACAAACAGGCTGAAAAATCTCTTGTCTTGAGCTATATTTCCCCGTGCTGGTCCAGACTAAAAGATCTAAGGCCTATAATCAAATGGGTACTCGATAATGTGATATTGTTGTGAAATAGCATACACACATATACAGATCACCAGACAACCTAATATTCTAGGACTGTCACCTTCTAGCTGCATAACAGATGTTAAAGACCCATGTTCGCAACTATCTTAGATATAAAAGCCTTGCCGAACGCGCTAAACCTATTTGCACGTCGGGTGGGCTGCAGTCTATTGCGCTAATCGATGAATTTTCATCGCAACCTAACAACACCCATATCAGTCCAAACCTAAAACCCTTCATAACCGCGCAGGCTCGACCAGAGATCATAAGACGTTGATGGATTACATCCTACTTTAATTGATACTAAAGAGTTGCAATCCCTAATAGATCCAATCCACGCAAGTGTCCGACGCTCTCGAACCAACCTTCGATTTCACTGACGAAAGGTCTGATCACAGATCATCAAGCCTCGCTATTTAATAAACACCGCGATTAGGGGCAGAACAACAAAGTTACGCCGCGTAGAAGATCACTATGTCCACGATAACAACCTTACAGAGGTCGCTCATCAAGACAAAGTACCGAACTCACTGATCCAATTCTGGATAACGCGGTACAACTTTGTGTCGGAGGAAGTGGTGCGAGCAGTAGTTGTGGACAGAATAAAGTCCAATTCGGATACCTATGGCAAGATTCGGAGGTGGATGTTCAAGTTGAACAGATATTGCCAGTCAAACGCAATCAAATGGTTACGGAGCGCTGTCGAGCGGATTGTGAAAAGTAGGTCCTAACCTTGCCAAGCTCGTGTGGATACAAGCTAATGTCTCGCGTCTTGTTGGATAGAGCGGAAGACCTACAATGGGTGGTGGAAGACGTTGACGGAGAAGGAGCGACGACTCATATTTGGAGCAACTTTCGATCAACATCCTATCTGGCTGATGAGGCAATTCAGGAAGACTGAAGCATCTGTCGTCGACATTGCTTCTATATGGGCTATAGAATCAGAGGACAGGAGCTTTTTCCAGGTATATTTCAGAAACATGTTCGTAGATTTGGCAGACTTGACATGGGAATTTCGATTAGCTGGTATGTTGGATAACAAGGCGATCTTGTTCAGGCACTGGCGTACATTTTCACTACTGTCGAAGATCCTGAAGTTGGGTCTGGGCATGCCATACAAGCTACCAGACGTCGTTTCGGGTATCCAGCAGCAGGTAGATCGGAAGGATAATAAGTTAGCGTGGGATACAATTGGAGGAAGAGGACAAGGGAACTAGAGCGTTTGTAGCGCCTGAACAAGAGGCACGGTTCGGCAAATGGATAGAGGGGGAGGCTGTTTTATTTATCATGTATTTCATGCGGCATCAGTGAGAAGAAACAACCGCAAGCGAGATCAGCGTCAAGCTCGTTTTTCCTTGCTTTTATTTTGACCGTTAATTCAAACATGGCTATCTATACGAAGTGGTGTCGTTGACAATCACCACAACGCCTTGTCAGCAGAGCGCCAATATCCGTACCTCGTCGAGCGCGCAGGCAAGAGCCAATTGTTCAAGCAAAATTGGGACAATCTCCGATCTTGACCGAGAGGTCAAGCATAAGCAGAATTCACTCATCTAGCTTAGGTGATTAAGAGAGAAGGCAATTCGCCAATAGTATTGCTGAAATACTGATGAAATCAAATAGATTTGTCGTTGGAAAAGCTTGTAAAATGTCTTCTCACCTTCTTTGGCTCGCTCCACTCCGACTTAATCTACCCAGCCTTCACAACTTTTTCCATGACACACAGGACAGTTCCCTGCTGACCCGCATGCTTGGTGTAGCGCCTTACCCTCGACAGTGTACAGAAAAGCAAACGATCCTCGCGGTAGTCACGGTTGACCTCTGCGGAGACCTGCCTCTGATCTCCCTGTTGGCGTGTATCATCGAGGGCACTCGCTCCAAAGACTTCTTCCGGTGTCCTGGTGGTTACTTGGTCCTGGATAGTGAGCCAAGCCAGATTCAACCACAACGACGTTCGAGCGCTTACATTCCCCTCATAGATGGCAGCTGAGCTTTAACGGAAGGTATAGGTTTTTTATGCGCACGGTGATTTGGGAAAGAGGTCCGGTACTTAGGCAATCAATAGTTGGCCTTACAAGCTCGTTTATGCGTTCTCCACGTCAAATTTGCGATAATATGATACAACAGTGGTGTTCTGGCTTTGACTATAGCCTGCGATTTACTCAACAGACCAATTAGATGCCAACCTCACGAACCTGTTCAGCGACCTTAGACTGACGTCCGATTTCAAAAATATTGAGGAGAAGCCCGATCCCTGCAACTCTGTTGGTGGTCTCGGTTAATTAATTAATACACATAGATTGAAATTTTATTGAGTACTTACCTAGGCAGGTAGTTGCCTGTGCCATTGTCTGCGCCACTCTTGTGCCGAGAAGATACCACATGTAAATACGGACCTTCTCCTCCATTGATTTGTGTTTCCACTTTACAGGACACTCTCTTCAAAGATTTTCACAGTCGGCATACCGGAGTATAGTATTAAGTAACACAGCTGATCACACATGTCGATGGAGAAACCCTTAGACGAGGCTGCGAAGCCACAGCCAAATTTAGCCGTGAAGTAAGGCGCCGTGAAACAAGTTTTACTGTCTTAGCTGACACACTTGCCAGTGCTCAACATTTTTCAGAACACACGAACCTTAGAAACACAATCTGGAAAACTCATAAGCTCCAACCATTCCGAGTTTCTACGTCTGGGACCTGTCTGGAAGCTCGCAGTCTTAAGTCCGGACATCTTAGCTGGCGCCTCGGCGCTTTCATCGCCTTAACAATATCAACTTTGGTTCTGCTGACCAACATTGTTCTGTTGATCGTCGGAGCCTCGGCTCATGGAGGTTATGTCAAGGGGATTGGGACACTGGAAGCTGGATCAGCTGAACTTGTGCAGAAACACGGTGCCGCGCTCCATGTCCTCATTAACATACTGAGCACCGCCTTGCTCACCTCCAGTAATTATTGCACGCAAATTCTATTAGCGCCCACAAGAGAAGAACTGAACATCGTGCATGCTAAGAGGTCTTGGCTGGATATTGGAATTATGAGCTTCCGCAATCTTCGTCACATCAAGCGGCGCAGATTCATGTTTTGGTCAATACTAGGTCTTAGTTCCCTACCTCTACACCTCCTGTAAGCCTTTGCTCTTATTTGATTTTGACTCTTCATACATGGGAGAAAATATCTCATTATCTTGATTTTAGATATAACTCCTCTATCTTCGAGGTTACCACTGGGCAGCACTATAACATTTATTTTGTTAATGGCAGCGACTCCTCTATCCTGGAAAATCTCGAAAAGACGAAAACAAAGCTCTCTAATGGCACATGGCAGGCACTATATGACACTCAGTATGTACCGAATGCGGGAGACCTCTACTTGATCATCGACCAGTTTGCGCTGTCCGCAAAGCTGGATGTATACTCCTCCAAAAATTGGTCTTATGGGATTGCACCTCAATTGCCACAGCAAGCTCATCAGTTAGCCTAGGACAGACCGGGCCAGCAAGCCAAACTATGATCCAAGATACCATCGTCCTAAATAGTGACTTCACAAATAGCATCAATGCGCAGCCACAGTCTATCATTTCACTGGATACGAGCAGCTACAATAGTTCTACTATGCCACAATTGGCCTGGCCCGGTTTTGTCTACGTGAATGCTTCTTCCAAGCATACATGGAAGAGTGCAATATCAGTTGACGATCAGGGTTGGTTATCTACTACGACACCAGACAATGAAACCCTCGGATCCACAACACTACATATTTCCTATGGATTCAGCACGCCGATCAAGAACAGCAGCTCGATCCAGACTGGTCTTGCATTCATGGTGGTAGTAATTGCATGCAACATTTTGAAAGCAATTTCAATACTCTTCACGCTGAAGTCTACAAGTTCACAGCAGATACTCACTGTCGGGGACGCGGTGGCCTCATTTCTTGAAACCCCTGATTTGACTACTTTGGGTGCATGCAGCATGGACAAAAAAGAAATCCTCAATGATATGGTAAGCAGGACGAATTTAAACCAAAGAGATGTCATAATCGCCGAACATTCCACATGTTTAGTGTCATCAGCAACGAGTGGACGACTTATTCGATTTCGTCAGTTGCATACCTGAACTTCATTCTAGAGACTACTTAGCTGACTTATAGGATCGTATTCTGGCCAGCGCTACATGTATAACCGCATTGACTGCCTCGGGAAAGGTGCCAACCAACGATAGAGGGTACTGGAGTAAATGGGGCACATCTTCGCCACACCAAATGACGATTGTTTCGGGATCATTTACACCAACAACCATATTGTTAAACGCTTTGCTTGCAAACATACCTCAAATTCTGCTTTCATTCTCTTATTTCGCCATCAATCGATTTTGTACGTCCATGTGTTTTGCAAATGAGTGGAACAATTTTGCCACAAACCGCAAATGACTCAGAGTCACAAACCCTACCGGCTACCAGCGCAGCACTTACTTTCTGCAATTGCCATACCGCTGGTCTATTCCTCTCACCGCCATGTCAGGAGTTCTACACTGGCTGCTCTCACAGTCCTTATTCCTCGTCCGCTTAGAGATTCGGGACAGGAATGGTCAGATCATCCCATCAGAGTCGCGATGCGCGTGTGGCTACTCCCCGATCAGTATACTCGCTTTTTGTCTCGATTTTCTCACGCTCCAGCTTGTCGTACTCGCTCTTTTGCTGAGGCCCATGAAATTGAGAATGCCTATCGCGGCGCATTGTAGCTTAGCTATTAGTGCAGCTTGTCATCCGCCCATAGACGACAAAGATCTGCATCTCAAGCATGTGCAGTGGGGAGTGGTGAAGAGTCGGTTTGGAGGATCATTTGCTCATTGTAGCTTCACAAGCGAACAAGTGAGTGTGCCGATTGAAAAAGAATTGTACGCTTGACTTGGATGAAGGTAGAATAAACAATAGAGCTTCAGCATGTATCTGTTAGCCTCACAGTTGCATCCTTGATTCAGTATTTCCAAAAAGCGTTTATTATAGTAATTAGACTTTTAGGATTTGATCTATTCAGCGAGCAATCTCGGTAACAACTGTAAAGCTTCTTTCACGGCGAGTCGCAATGAGCATTAACGTTATTGAACGACAATGAGATGGGAGACCTTGCAAAAGCTTGAACAGAAATTTCTTTGGTATATTACTCTTGAAGAGCGTAAACCATTTCAAACCGGAACAATCTTACTGTTCTCTGTTGGAGCTATGCTCTAAACCTCTACTATAAGTTTGAACCCAGATATAGAAGCGTAGCACGAAATACATCAAACCCGATGAAAAGCAAGCCAGGCCACAATACAGCCACACTCCTGACCATCGAAGCGGCTCTGTAGTGCCCAAGATGGCGCCCGCACCAGGGGCGCCGGCCAACAAACCAAAGGCCATCATGCTACAACCCATACCGATGCGAGTGCCAAGCATGTTTTTGTCTCGCGTTAGCTGCACAAAGTAGACTGCCGGGAGGGAGACAAAAACATACCAGTCGATGAAGGCTCGGAGTCTCTGTGGTGGTGCACGCATCCGCATCACGGATAGTGGAACAAGCAATGTGACAAGCGCAATGAAACCTAACACCCGAACCGACCAGGCAAAGCCAATGCGATTCAAGAGCTCATTCAAGACGATAGGATATATAACACCGCCAACAGAAGACCCAGACGAAGCCAATCCGACCGTGAGACCAAGTTTGGAGCTGAAGTACGTAGGCAAAATGGAGATGCACGGGACAAAAAGACAGCCTGCTCCAATGCCGATACAGAAGCCCTGAGAGAGCATAACTTGCCAATACTCTGTGCAGATACTCAACATCATATGTCCAAAGATGACACCAAACAAGCCAACAGCGAGAAGAAGTCGGAGGTAGCCTCTGTCATAGATGGGGGCCACAAGCAAGCCAACAAGCAGAAGGAGGAACGCCTGCACAGCGCCGATCCATGAAATGGTTGAGGAGGAGGTGGTGAAGAGAGCACCCGATTCATAATATGTTTGGAAAACGCCTAAGGTGTTTAAGATCCCCCAGGAGTTGAAGAAAAGCAGAAAACCTCCAACAACGTGAAGCCAAGCCAGAGGTCCGCCCTCGGGACGTTGATCCGAAACGGCTTCTTCTGAGAATGATGTCTCTTCTGCAGGGAGTGGGGCAGATACCAGTGAATTGAGTGTTTGGCATGACTCGTCCAATTTCTCGTCTTTCTTCTGTGAAGAGAGGAAGGCGACGGTGGCCGTGGGCGGCAGGTTTTGTTGTTGTTGATACTGGGTAACCATAGTCGTATATGTTGCGGGCGATGGAGAACATGGGCGACAAACAGAGTATGCGAGTGGGCGGATGAATGTTCAGATAGGTTTGCGCAAAGCCACCCCGTGAAGAAATACATATACGAACGGAATGGGTGACCGGAATAAGGGGGAAGACTCAGGCTCTATCGGACGAGAAGCGAAAGCGATGCAACTTGTGGAAATGCACACAATGTTGGTTTCATGGGTTTTCTGTTGGCATTTCAGCCACTTATGTGTCGTCCTGCAACTGCCGCTGCTGCACTGCAACTCCTTATCCCTTCCTCCTTGTAATTTTGTAATGGTCACTGATAACTCAAACAAAGCTCAGAAACACGCCAAAAATAGATATGGTGTGATTTCGCGACTCTCAATTCGGATCAAACAATATATTCTATGTTACGCAGTAAACTCCAACTGAAGAAGCTAAATCAAAGGTGCCGAATAGAAAGCTGAACATTAATCTATCTGGTAAAAAGGCCTGGCTTCAGGGTAGTTGCTATTATGACAAGTGAGCCAAAAAAGAGGCTGGTGGGTTTTGCGGTAAAAGAGAAGGGTTTGGCCGCTTTACATAAGTTCCTCGTACTATGGTAGAGAGTCAAGTTCTCGATTCACAAAGGATGATCACGTTTCTCATGACTTCGCGACTTGAAACCGGCTGGGAACGGTTAAGTAATCCAACAGGATTGCCAAAAATAACACAGTATAATACCAAAACAAACATCCATCTTCTCTACATGCGGCAACTGAATAGATAATTGAGAAGTGTTGGAGCTGTCCTAACAAGAACTATATGACCTGAGCCACTGTTGCCAGAAGCGTTTGCAGATCCAATTACCACACCGATCTAGCTGTCTCATAGAGTTCAGGGCAAAGGTACGTCTGGATGCTCAAATCCTCCTTGGTAGGATCTTTTCTCGCGAGCCCGATAAAGGTGAAGATTCCCGCCTTTTCTTCCAGCTTTCGATGCGTGCTAATCAAATCAGATGTTTAGTGTCGGATCTTAAACGACAAAAAGATTGCAAATAAGAGAGAACTCACATCGCGCTATGGACTAGCTCGTAGATAGATCGCTCACCGTCACTCCACCCGTACTTCTTGGTCCATCTATCAAGGCCTTGAGCAACCAGCTCATCATTTGCGACAAAGTTGCGGGCGCAGAAAGCGATCTTGGGCGCTGGAAATGGATATTGGTCGGTGAGAGAAAAATACAAAGTCGTCAGCTTGCGTCGATTTGCTGTCTCAATTCTCTGTCTGGGATCCTCTGCCTCATCGACCGCGGTGCTGCCTCCCAAAAGGTTGACAAACTCTAAATACCTATTTCTGGCATCCTCCATGCATAGGATTCGACCACTCAAGGTGAAGAAGTCCCACATATCGCTGAATTGCATACTGGGACATCGGATATAGATCTTGAGGCGGGCCTTGGCTGGTGATATGAAGTCTGTGGCGAGATAACGCGTGCCATTCTCCCAATCTTCTGGTTTGGACGCGAGATACTCTTCAAGGAGCTGCAGGGACGAAATGATGTTAGGCGGGGAGGAGATGCCCGGAAGCTCTCGGATGGCAGTGCAGACGACCCTGAAACGTGTTTTGTTCTCAGCGGCAGCGGCGAAACATGGCAAGAAGTACGCCTTACCCATAACTGGCAGCATACCAGGACCGGGTGGTAATTCACGAGAAATATCGAACCCAATGAGAGAAGGGGTCATATGCCCCGCCTTGTCAATGAGATCTTTCTTGGCAGAAGCAGAAAGATGAGAATAATCCATGGATCTTTTGAGTGCCTGATACCAAGTGTCATCAAACCCCGAAGCACGACATGCAAAGGAGGCAATCGCGGATTCCGTGCCCTCATTGTTAAGAAGATCCGTCCAATCCACGGGTCTGAGTTGGCTAAAGTCGGCAACAAAGCGCACCTCAGGATCTTTTGTTGATCCTTTAAACTCGAAGCTATATTCGTGAGTCGAACCATCCCACGTCCAGCTTTTCTCATGTAGAGCATTGCTCGGGCTGGGGTCATCACCCAGCATTGGACAGAGTGTATTTTTATAATAAGACAAGAATTGGCGTTGAGTTTCCTCAGGATACTGGGCTGCTTGTAACATATTGGCAAGATCGCGACCTGTGGTGCTCCACCAGTATGATGAGCTACTCTTATGGGAACTAGGTCTGATTGCCGCCGAGCTTAGTCGCTGGGAACCTGTTGGATCGTCCGTCATAGCTGTGTTCGTCCGGATGTGACGCACAATGAGGGGCGGATAGGAGCAGTCTGAAGAGGTTATGGAGTCAAATCGAATGCGATAAGTGTCACGTGTTACTTGATATGCCCGAGTGACACGTAGCAAACGCAGCCTGGTTGTTTTTGTTTCGGTCTAACTTTTAAATTAAACCTCCGAGAGTTACGTGCTACTGGGTGCGCTTACGAGGAGTTGAACCTCACACTAGTCGCTCTCGAAAAATTCGCTTTCGGGTATATCCACGTCTACACTTGCTGTAATTCTAGTGACACGTAGCAAAGGCCTACTTGCAGCGCTCCCAATGGACAGGCTGTTTTAGCGTGTCTGACAAGAACTGCTCGTCTAGACTGCTTATGGACATGGGTTTTGAATGTCCGTTACTGTCCGTTATCTTATTAGGCGGACACGGATATTAGCTCAAAAAAATTGTTAATATTCGATTACTCGTCTACCCTGAAGATGGAAGCTTTTAAATAAGGTGGCTTGAGGAGGACGTGACTAAAGCCTAAAATTTAAGGTTAAAGTGTAAGGAATTTAAAGCCTGAGTTTAAAAATAGACTATTAATAGAGTAGCTTTTGTCTTGGCAGTTAAGCCGTCTAGAATTTTCTAGAATCTTGATGATGATGGATATTAGTCCGTCCGAATCCGTACTGGTACGGGTAGTGATGGCTCAAGGCCAAAGAGTGTCCGCCCTACCCATTGGGAACGCTGCCTACTTGTATTGCCGTCGTGCCAAGTTTCAGAGTGTATAATTTGATTAAGGAAAGAAAGAAAGAAAAGCCTTGCCAAGCCTTGCCACCATCAGCATGACCGATAATACCCTAGACGATTCCCACATAATCTTAGAGTCATTCCTTGGCAAGTTGTACCAGTATTTCTGCAACCTCTTGTGGGACACTCGCAAATGCACTGTGGCCTCCACTGACGCTCAGCTGCCTAAGATGCTGGCCACAGGCTGTTGCGAGGCTTTTTTGGTACTCAGGCGGAAATAGGGCGTCGTCCTCGCAGACGATAAAGATCTTCGGAATAGTAACCTCGGTCACGGCAAAGTCAACGCCGGTGGTAAAAGCTTCATACGAAGAGGGCGTCAGACTATCGAACATCATCTGAGCCTTATCCGGAGGCAAGTCATTATATAGAAGATCCATGGCCTTTTCATTAACGAAGAGCTGACTCGGTTTGTTCTGTCACGTTGGATTAGCTTTGAATTCTGAGCATGAAGATGGTACAAAGTTACTTACACTGCCATCTTCGAACTCGAGAACTTTATGCCACGGCAGCCAACTTCCACCCGAGACAGATAGCACGCTCATACCCTTAGCCGGCATGGCAAACGCAGCAAGGAACGCGAGGTGACTGAAGCCTCCTCGTTTTCCCAAGGTGCGTCTATCGTCGACAGTATTACCCCTGGTAGCGATACAAGCTGGGATGCCGCCATACGAATGGCCTAGGAGAATGATACTTTTGCCCTGATCGAACAGTGGGGTAGCATTCTCGAGGAGCATGGTAACGTCGGCATCCCAGGTCTTTCCCGTTTTCCCTGCCCCCATGGTTACCAGCTCGGGGACGAGGAGCTCATATCCGCGGGTTTCGAGCGCTTTTTTGAGAGGGTCGTACAGACTGGGCGGGTGCCAAGCTCCGTGGGCTAGTAGAATGATAGGCTTGTCTGTTGTCATTGTTGCTGCAGGTATGACTACGTACTACTTCGAGGAAATGTTGGTTGTTTGTTGGATGTTGGTGGCGGTAGTTGCTGATTGGTGGTAATGGTTGGATGAAGAAACTTTTTTCTCCGGTGGAGTTGTGAAGCCGTTAACTTATAGTAAAACAGGCATGCAGATGGCTGGGTGCCTTAGTGCCTTGAATTGTATGTGCATGCTCGCATAAATGCGCCACGGCGTTACGAAGGTTGTATTTCAAAATAATAATACAAATTCAGCTTAAAACTCCAAGGCTTGACTATAATAAGTGCATTTCCAACATTAAAATATCTTTGATGCATTTTATCTGACATTAGTTTCACAATATCATAATGTACTGCCGCTCCTGGATATAAGAACTCCCCGCGTGGAGTAATTCCGTATAAATACGTAACGCAGCATGATCTGCAGTGCGATACTATCAAGGCTGCCAACATAGTTGTGCCGCCCACAAGTTATATTGTAGAGGGAATCTATTTCCCGGGCAAATGTTGGTCTTTAAACCACTGAATCATGTTTTGTTCAAAAACAACTCGCCGCTGTCGAAGACAAACAAAGAGCAACTTATTTCGCGAAATTATTCTCTGTTCACTCGGATCTGACACCTTTTCAAGAACAGGCCGACAACAATGGCGCAGTCAAGTACCCGCCCGTCTGAAGGCTCGCAGCTTACATCGGAGTACCTCGCCTATGGCAGAGACCCCGTGGCAATTCACGCTATGTCGGCAGTCCTTGGTCTAACCACAATCGTCATCGCCTTGCGTTTTTGGATTCGTATACATAGGAGAATCAGACTTGGACTAGAAGACTGGTTAATAGCTATTGCATTAGCAAGAGGCATTGCTTGATGGTCTTTCTGCCTTGTTTCAGCAAAATCCTGGACTGATTCTTAGGCTATGTCGTAGAATTTGGATTGGACTCTCTATGCACTCGCTGTGTACGCCATCTTGCACTGCGGTTTTGGGAAGCATATCGCCGCCGTAATGTTGATGGACCCGAGTGGCCGTATCTTAGAAAAGGGAGAACTGGTAAGTTTCGCCCTCTTCTTCCCAAGCGAATCAATCTTTAATCGTCCACGATATTCTAACTTGCCTTTTCAAAGTTGAATGGCTCGGCGAACTTGTCTATGTCCTGCTGATCACCATCGTCAAGTGCAGCGTCTTGAGCATGTATCGGCGCATCTTTCCCACTAGGGTCGTACAGTTAGGAACCATGGTCCTGGGGGTCATCGTCGCGATGTGGTTTCTTGCCACCACACTAGCTTTTATTTTTCAATGCTTTCCTGTTTCAAAGGCCTGGAATCCGGCTATCACTACTGGATCGTGTATCGATAAAGAGAAGTTCTTTCTGGGCAACAGTATCCCTAACATACTAACGGACCTGGCCATCCTCTGTCTCCCTGTATACGAAGTCTATCACTTACAAATAATCAAGGCCAGAAAGATAGGACTCCTTTTCGTTTTCTTACTTGGAGGCCTTGTAGTCATCATCAGCATCGTGAGACTGAAAGTCCTCATCGATATTGCGCGAGAGGGGCTGGCTGCCGATTACACTGGTGAGTGCCGTCTACGTCCAGCGCCCGAAGAAGCGCTACTGGCAATGTTACCAGTGGAGATCAACGGTGCCAACATCTGGACCGTCGTTGAGCCTTCCATAGGGATGGTCTCTGCATCCCTCCCCACGCTAAGACCTGCCATTGCCATACTTGGCAAGGTTTTCGGCATCTCTAGCTCGGGCTCGAAGGATAACGCTCAGAAGAAGTCTGACAGCCAACACACTGTCGTGACAATTGGCGGCTCTGGCAAGTCTCGCAAGGCCACCCGTGCGAAGGGCAGCGGAATAACGACAACCACTAGCGATGTTCAAGGATCTTTTGAGAGGCTAACAGACGAGCATGGTCAGGAGGACTCCAGTCTTTGGCCGCCAGGCTATGAAAACAAGCGAGATACTCGCGTAACAAGCAAAGGCCCAGAAGGCTATGTAACGGATATACCTCTGAAACGCATTGCCGTCAAACATGATATAGACTGGATTGAAACGAGAAACGCAGACGCCACCTCCTAGAACCAATCATCCAGGAAATTTATGACCCACAAGATAGCCTTTGAAGGTAGGAACACCAATACTATAGAAGAGGAAGAGGGGAGGAATAGTTGAGGTTAGAGCCCTAAGACTTTGTAGACGTGGAATGAGAAAAGAAACAGGGGACGCACTTGCTCACGTCGGTCTTGGACTCCATGGAGAGAGGAGGCACGAAGCCCACTGTTACAGAAATACACAAAATTTCTATGAGACTTCTGCTGCTCCCAGCTCACCAGTGTCTTCGATCGTCGACACTCCACACCCGATCCATAAATTTAGCCCAGACTAACCCCGCATCTAAGCGACGCATTAAAAGGTGTTTAATTTGGAGAATGTGAATAATAAATTGATAGAGAAACTTTTTCGCTTCAAATGCTGTACTTACCATCTACAACTTCTGGTCATACTCTGAGTAGCGATAAACAAAAGGGTAGTAGCCTGACGCTGTAAGGTGGGAGTAGAGCCCATTCACTCTAACCTACTTTCTTACCTAATTCTCTGGTAGAGAATTTGGCAATAGAATCAGGTTGACTGACAAGTTATTTTACTTTCAAAGTTGTATAGGAGTGTTCCTGAAGGTGGAAGAGAATACCTGTGGGGTCGACGGGAAACCCCCTGTCCCACAAAGACTCGGCAAACCCCACTTTCCGAGACGAGACAATTAATATCGCAACGCTTCTCTGCATTCAGTGATTAATTCAGATGCCGGATTCCGAAGACGAGCTCGACCTAGATCTAAGTTGAAGTTGATTCCACTTCTTACCAGAACAAGAAGAACGCCAGTGCAAAGGGGGTATCAATCAAGAGTTTTGGAAGCTCCACGACAGAAAGCACATAGCCAATACTTTTCCACAAACATGGCTTCCCCATCATCCTATCCACCTGGTACTCACCACGTCCCTCCTCCACGTGCCTCATCCCCAGCAACAGCAAATTTCCGCCTAAACCACCTCATGCTTCGCATCACAAACCCAGAAGCAAGTCTACGCTTCTACAACGACTTTCTCGGTCTCCACACAATTTTTGTTTTCAACACCGGTGCCTGGACCATATACTATCTTGGACCACCCTCTGTATCCATGTCAGAACTTGGTACGGCATCTGGACTCCTTGAACTCTACCACATACCCGGGCATCTGGATGCTTACAAGAATGGTAATGAGAATGGAGGTGAAGGATTCGGACATATTGGGTTCACAGTCCCAGATGTGGAAAATGCATTGCAGAGAGCAGCAGAATTTGGGTTCAAGGTCATTAAACCGCTAGGCGAAAATGGAGTTGAGACCATGGGAGTGCCTAGCTTTGTGAAGGATGAAGATGTGGTCGAGGGTTATAAGTTCGTTTTCAGGCAGTTGGCATTTGTTGTGGATCCAGATGTAGGTTCATCCCCAGAGCTCGAAGTATTTTAGACGCAATAATTGATCTTCTTAATAGGGTTATTGGGTTGAGCTTGTTCCTCAAGTCGTTAGGTCTCCTTCTAATTAGGAAGCAAAAAGTTGAACATATACAGTAGTGTAGTCGACAATTGTAGGACAGACAATCGAAAGGTCGATCTTCTTAGCATCCGGTCCTACATTTTATGTAATAAGTAATCTATACCTTGAATCTGTCATTGAGAATCGTTTCCAAAGATGTTTGTCATACATCGTGATTGCATCACTACCCGTGGAGGAAATGAACATCTTTCTGACTCGAGCTGCTTCTGATAATCTAGTAGGGGGCACCCATATTCACGTCATTCACATGTCCGTCTTTCTCATCTGAATCTCGCAAATCTCTTCATAACCCAGAGCTTTGCAACTCAAAACTCTCAGATCGGCTTCGCTTAATGCCAGCCAGACCGATGTCTTGATGCGTTTCGACTATTCTCGGTGCCATCGTATACGATATTTTGATTCGACGAATATCTCCTGCTTCTCGATCTCCTTCTCGCCTTTAGCCTCGACCCGGTCCTCCCCCTCTTGGTGCTGTTCAGCATAGATTGCCTTGATTTGATCGACATATAACTCAATGCTCTCCTTGTAAGATCGGCACACCTTCTTGGCAGTCTCCTCGGTCGAGGAAGCCAATAGGGCCTCTATAAGAGCCGTTAGGAATTGAGCGAATTATTATGACAGCCTTCTTCTTGCCTCGTTCTACCATCTGTGGTCTCAACATTGAATGATAAATAAACATTTCGCTCTCGAGATATATCGAAAGTAGGTTGTTCATCTAGCTTGATGCCCTGACTTCAGAAGGGGTTAAGAGCCTTCCCCGCTTCAAGGAATACAACCAGAGAGTATCTGAAGCTGGTACAGACAATCACCATCGTTCCATTGTTTAGCCACTTCGGAGACAATCCAGACAATCCTTGTGTGGCTCTGGTTGAGTAAAATCCTCATAATCAAGCAACCTGTCACGCAGTAGTCGACAAGCACTTCATATAGGGTGAACGATAATATGGGTATAATGGATCGTAGTAGAATCTGTCTGAAGATCTAAGAGTAAGAGAAGAGCAGCAAACTTATATACTCCAAGCTCGCACTAAGTCAGGTGAGCTGACAACAGCCAGAATCATGTGATCTACTCTGTGACACAACCGCTTGCCAACTGTCACCTCTTTCATGTGACCATCTTCTTTGTGAGACTGTGCCCAGTCCCTCAATATCTGGGAGCTTTATAGACCAAATCCTCCAGAAATACCGCCGAGTTGTCCAATACCACGATGCGCAACTCCGATTCTGAGCACCTTGGCACGAGAAAGTGAAACTTTGATTCGGCGAAGGTCTCGAAGGAGACCGAGATGGTCCTTGTTGCATCCGTTTGTGATGGACATCGTAATGACAACAAGCTTTTCCATGCCTTGGCTACCATCAACAGTCTTGATGTCGAGAGCCAAGCCGACAGTTTCAACTCTTGATACCTTTGAATGCTCATCTACTTTGATGCCTTGGCTTTTCAAGAAATTCTTGAGAGCTTTGACGGCTTCTGAGTAGTAGCAGATCACCATGATATCGTTGAGGGCAAAGCCACGCTCCTGCAACTTCTTGACAGGTCCAACACCACAACCATCTACTGATGATTGCTCCTGCTAAATCCAGTCTTAGCGCACAGACACTTTCCGTCCTCGACGGATACAAAGGCTGACTGCTTTGGGTGTGCATACTTAATAGCTTTATTCTTCAAATGAACTATGTTCAAGTGCGCTACCTCTTAAAGTTTAGCTCTCTTGCTTTAGCGATGGCGCCTCGCTTACCGCGCTGCTACTTTCCATAATATCTACAAAAGCCCTCTTTCTTCCCTTATCAAATCTCCCAAAATTTATTATTTTATGTATATATAATTTATTTTTATTCAATCTCATCCAATGAGAGTTATATTAGACTTTTAATCATAGAGACTTTTACGCCTATGGTGTGGCCGTGGAATATGGCTAAACGATCCGAGAATGATTCCCGCTTGCGGCCCTGGCGTGCAACCTTGTCGATTTGATTAATCCCTCAATTATCCAATAGCAATTAAATCTATTCAGAATCTGGAGGAATATGAAATCACTTGAGCTCTATCGATGCATCTACTTTGCAGTGTTATGCCTGTAACACAGCGGCCTTTTGGAGCTTATCAAGATGTCGTGACAGTGTATCCGTTCTCGCTCTCCTGTCAAACTTACCTATGAAGCCATAGAGCCGATTTGGATTCCGAGGTCCCTTCCCCCTCCAAGTCGCATGTGACTCGCGAAAGCCGCAATAAAGCGCTCTGACAGGGATTCAGAACGGGTCGCCAAGGAGCCCGGAATTTCTTTCCCAGAAAGAGTGCATGATTCCACATTGCAACATAGGTACTTGTGATGCACAGGCGCAGCTACAAAAACATGATACACAGAACGGCAAAGATATAATCTGCCCTCGGTGGGAGTGAAAGACACCCACAAATATTTGGCGTCTTTGAGCCCCCGCCAGGGAATTTTACAATACTCGCTCTTACAAGAAACTCTTGAGCCTCGAACTACCAACGCTAGTTTGAGATTGCGACTCCCGGCAAAAAAAATTCGGTTGCAGATAGAACACGTAGAACTACCGAAGTCGGAGGAGGTACGGCCAGCGTTGGATAAAACCCGCACAGCGACGGCAACTTTCTTTGACTTTCGACCAACCTCTTCCAACTTCGGTCCTGAGCCTCACCTTCATCCAATGGCCGCTGAAAATCGTCCTTTGCTCCCGAAAAATGCTCCATTCGGGACAACAGATGCTATAGAAAGTCTCACGTCGAGCCCCAAGAATGTGGACGAATGGAAGCCATCCAAACGACTCCGTTGGGTACAGATCGGTCTGTTTGATTTCTATATCTTCGCTCCTTTATGTCCTAGCTCAATCATACCATACTTAGAAAGAAGTTGAGCTGACTGTTCGTCACAACTATCAAGCTACATGGGCAAATATATTTCTGAGTGGATTCGACACCACAATTGCTTTGAGTACTTACGCAGTCATTGGATCCGAATTCGATGCCGCCAATCAAGTGTCATGGATCTCTACGGCGTATCTCATTACAGCGACCGCATTCCAGCCCTTATATGGCTCATTCTCTGATATACTTGGACGTCGTGATTGCTTCGTTGCATCGATTAGCCTGTTCCTCTCTGGGACTACCTTGTGCGGACTTGCAAGCAGCATGTGGATGTTGAATATTGGGCGGGGAATGGCTGGGATAGGAGGGGGAGGTTTGTTCACCATGGGTAGGAACTGACTCTATCATCTCCATAACGCACTGCTGACTTCGTTCCAGCAACAATCATCCTCTCTGATATGGTACCATTTCACAAACGAGGCTTCTATCAAGCTGCTAATAACACTGTGTATGGCTTCGGTACTGCTTGTGGCGCGAGTATAGGTGGTCTCCTGGCAAGCAAATTGGGCTGGAGATTTGGTTTTCTGTTTCAAATCCCCATTTGCCTCTTTGGTATAGTCATCGGATACGTCCTTATCCCGCAAAACAACAGCAAACTCTTTCCGGAGCAAGCCAGATCCGAACGCGTAGATAATCGTGAGCGATTAAAGCGGCTAGACATTCTTGGGGCAGGTAACCTTATCATAGGTTTGGCAATGTTACTTGCTGCGCTAAACATGGGAGGCAATGTAGTGCCATGGAACTCAATTCGGGTTATTGGCTTCTTTGTCGCTAGTACCATATTTTTGTGCTCATTCCTTCTTGTGGAAACGAATATGGCCCAATACCCCATTATTCCAATGCGCATGTTAAGAGGGCGCGTGGCTGTTGTTAGCATATTTCTCAATGTATTTGCTGGGATGGCAGTGTACTCAGTAAGGTCTCGTTCTCGTTGCCCCAAGTCTACATGCTAATACCTTATAGTACATGTTCCTTATCCCACTATTTTTCCAAGCAGTCCTTCTCGAATCTCCTGCCAACGTTGGAGTCCGCCTCATCCTGCCATCTATAATGTTCCCGATCGGTGGTTTCGTCTCTGGTAATGTCAGAATCCACACAGCCTACGACTTCGCTGACTTCGGCAGGCTGGATAATGTCTAGATGGAATCTATTAGCTCATCTCGTGCGTACTGGGACAGTGATAGTTGCGGCTGGTTGCGCTTTGGCCATGATCTTCAACGAAAAAACATCTTACTGGGAGTATTTCGCGTGTCTCCTACCAGTAAACTTCGGGCAAGGTCTCGTTTATCCTAGCAGCCTCTTTTTGATGTTGGCAGGATTCACCCAAAAAGGTAACGTATGATTCTTCTTTAGAAGGCATTCTAACATGTTCACAGATCAAGCGATTGCAACAAGCACTGTCTATCTTTTCCGTAATGTTGGCTCCGTTATGGGCGTTGCTATCGGCAGTGCTATAGTACAGAATGCTCTGTTGAAGAAGTTGTCTGCCTCCTTGGCTGACGTCCCAGATGCAGAGAAGGTCAGTTGATGCTGGCGTTCTCGCGACTGGAGTGCTGGCTAAGAAAATTAGATCATTCACGCCGTTCGTCACTCCGTCGAAGCTATCTGCGATATCTCTCTCGAATATCGATCCGTGGTAATTACCTGCTATCTAGACAGCTTACGATACGGTTTTGCTGCTTGCACCTTTTTTGCTGCGCTTGCCTTTTTATCCAGTTTTTTTGGAAAGAACTCGATACAAAATAGGTAGAGCTGAGGTAAGGTAAGAACTAAAGCATATTTCATTGCCAATGGAGCGAAGGACAATCAATGATCCTGGTGTGACTCGGCGGCAAGATTCTAATGAGTCGTAGGATCATAATAGTCACATGGTCGAATTTCAACGCTGCAGGCCGTTGCATCGAACTGATACTGTAATTGCCGCTTTTATCGTCCGCGTTCAACGTCGTCCAGCACTTATTTGGTCTCTGAGGCAATGTATCTGCACGAACACAGAATAGGTAGTTAAGTTTTCCTAAATCACTTCAGCCCCGCACTAGTCCTCTCTTATCACCGGTGTGTGATTACTTGGGGGTCGCAGCAGATAAGGCTTAGACTTCAACGAGTCTCAGCCAATGATTACAAATGTAGGTGACTCTTGTTTCCGAAGACTTGAAAGCAGGGCTAGCAAAAATTCGCGAGTAGTAAGATTCCAATCATATAATCCAAGGATCGATCTGATCGATCCGATCACGATCAAGATTCTTATTATTTATGCATTTTTTTTGGCGGGAGCATGAAAACTACTCGTGCATAACTTTATACATCTGACTTCTACTCCCGCCAAAAAAAAGGCCTTCATGATTAGAACCCTGATCGCGATCGGATCGATCCCTTAGTAAAATCTTAATCATCGATTGATCGTAGCCGCGATTAGTTGATTAATGATTTTTTCCAGCCCTGACCTGAAGTGGTTGCACCGCTCTCTCCAGGGCGGAAATAAGTGGCTGAAATTTTTGGTGGTTTTCGCCTATAAAATCGGCCACTTTTTCTGCCTTCGGGAACACCGATCCGAAGTTTAATTTGGCAAGGTTGACACATTCACGACTTTCTTCGAGCATCATTTTCTTTATTCTCGTCTTTTTTTTTTCTTTTTTGCAATATTATAAATTAAAGTTAAATAAAACTAGTCATGTAATACGTATTGATGAAATAATTAAAAAGTTTTATTAATTTTATATATTGTAAATAAATAAAAATGCTGTACTTCCCGCTAATTTTGGTGTGCCCAAGACTCATGTATAATCTCGCCGAGTAGCCTCCCTCAGAAGTCAGGAGTGTACGATGCAGTGAAAACGAAGGACTAGGCAGTAAATGCAGCCACAATTTGTGACATTGTGCTCGATTGGTGAAGGCTCTGAATTTGAGGCATACTCTATTTGACGCCCGACGTAAGGCGGAATTTGTGACAAGGCGAACATAGCTCCTGATAGCCATATTATATCTGAAGTTCGAGAAGCTCGCCCTCCAACACGTTCAACCCAAATCATCTAGCCTCCAAAATTAAGAAGGGTTTTACAAGGCTATGAAACGCTCAGCGTCAGAGAAACAAACACAAAGCAATTTATCTTCACGATTCACTATTTCATCTAAAAGCCTACTACAAACGACACCATCATTCGGCTTCTCAGTTGGCGATTTCATCAGCGTGATTGGCAAGTGCTTTCTAACCAGTCTCAAAGGACTCAACTAACGTGCACTTCTATGAGCTCAGCCCTCATCACGAAAGTCAGCAAAACTTTAAGAAGTACTGGCGGAGCAGCTTCAGAATACCAACATGTGTGTTTCGAACTTGAAACCCTCCAGGGTACCCTTGGACGTCTGGCGACAATGCAACCTAATGCGAGCAACATAAATCACGTCAACCATATTCGAGCTGCACCGACCTATTCACCAAATATTCCATTGGCCAATAAATCATTCTATTGGCTAAATTTCATCGTTTTATAAATAAATCAATTATTTAGCCAAATATTTATTGTTTAATATTATAAAAATTAATATTCTTTTCTATTAATCTTAAAAACTAGCTTCGGAAATATAAATCGAGTGTTTATAAACGAATTTATAAATTTTTTAATATTTAATATAATTAATTTATTTACATCAACAAGCCACTCGTGACTCTCCAAAAATTTGCTGATTCGATAATAGGGTAATCAAACAAGACCTCACATGCACTATCTGCGAAGTTGCAATGCCAGATAAACACACCCTAATCCTGCACCAGCGTAACGGCCACGCATCACCAGACGAAAGATACCGCTGCCCGTACCAACATCATGGTAACCCGAAATGCAGAGTCAAGGTCTTTATGCGGAGGTATAATCTGCATCGGCATTTGAGACATATTCATGGGCTATACAAGGACCGTGCGTGTATGTTAAAGAAAGAAAGGGTGGACTTGGAAAGAGATTTGGATCAGGGGAGGGAGCTTGGTAGAGCGGAGGAGATGGCGAAGTGTGCTAGTTGGTGTGTAGATGCGAGGGAGCTCAAGGAAGGACGGAGCGAGAGCATATTCCATGATATTGGGACGAGTTGGGGGAGTGTATTTTACGACGTATGAGTTGTGTCGAATTTATAGACATTTGAAATTAGAAATTAATGTTAGATACCCTAAGATTAGAGCACGATCGAGCTGCAACATCCTTTCACGCTTATTTCTTCATATTCAGATAATCTACTGCGTGGGCAGCGGTCCTTAGCAACATTGGTGTGAAGATGGGACTTCTTTGGCCAAAGAAAGCGCACTTGCGCGCCTTTGCGGATCCTTAGGCCCAATTGTCACATAAAACAACGACCAAGTCTGCTGAATTCGGGCCTCATCACACCTGAACATTGCGTTTATCTGTAATCTACAACAAAGCGTCACGCAATTTGTGATTTTGTGGTAGGAGTGACTATGCTTGGATGGTTGAAAAGGTGCTGCTCGCTCGGGTAGTGTTAAAGACTGGTCTGACAGGGGTAGCCGAAGGGGAGGGTGAGCGTTCGCTGTCTTCGAGAGCTTGCAACATATTGTCCGGGTGTTTGAGAACCGGAAATTCTTCGTCGTCGTTCGTAAGCGCCGAATTGTTCTCTCGATGCTCCTCCAGAGCCGCGAAGATGGTATTCTTGATGACGCACTTGTAGAACTCCTTGCCAACCATGGAGCCGTGAACTACAGATCGCAGGTAGTCTCTAAAGGTATTGATCTTATCGACAGACTTGTCCGACTCCGTCACGGACTGGTCGATGTCCCATTCTCCACTGGCGTTATCGCCAGACAAGGCAACGTTCCAGATGAAGGAGTCAATAACATGCTTGGGGGCATTCATGTCAATGGCTCGCTCCACGACCTTGTCGACGATTTGACGCACAGCGTCATTTGACTGTGCACAGACGAGGACAAGCTATCCATGATGCTTGACACGATGCTGGATGCGGTGAGGACGATCTTGCCTGCTCCAGGTGGGCCAATGATGGGGGTGAAATTGTGCTCCATCAACCGGAGGAATGCTATACCTTGGTACGGATATCCATCGAGTCTGCAATCTCGTCAGTGAAACGAACTTCCAAATCCGTAGGAACTTTGTTCGGTGTAGGTTCTTTCAATATTCCGTAGGGGAAGCTGCGTACTCTCGAGTGCTCGGAAGAAGGGCGTAGTATCTGGCCGTATTGATCCGCTTCTAGCACTTGGATATGAGTCGCGCGCGTCCAAGAGCCAAAGCCAGAGCCAGTCAAGAAGAAGAAGAAGGTAAAGGCGACACAACCCTCGTCGACATTGTCTCCAACTCCAGCTGCCTTGCCGCGGATCTTGTCGTCTGCTCTTTAGGTTACCGAGGCTTCAGGATCGTCGAGTTCACCATCGAGAAAGGCGAACCCACGATCTCACAACACGGTCCCCACTGTAGCTTCCAGCTCGAAGCACACCGCCCCATCGCCACCCTCACTCCTCCGGCATTCTCCAACCATCAAGCATGAGTCACACAATCGACCAACCGCCCGTATGCGAGCCCCGGTCGGAGGACAAGGCTCGGAGAGCGAGGAGGATGAGGAAGGAGAAGATCCAGCCGCAGGGGACGAAGAAAACGAGGAAGACGATCAATTGGTGCAGACTATGGAAGATGAGGACACCATGTATGATAAAGAAGTTGGGGAAAAAAAACCCTGAACCTCGAGAGTCCGCGAATCGAAGGTGAACTCGCAAAGTGCTTGGGAAAAGCAGCTTTCAGCCTTGCACTACAGCATGGTCGGCGTAAAGGTTCCGGGCTTGAGAAAAATGTTCGTCCCCCCGACCCATATAATCTACAGTATGCTAACAATCAGCAGATTGAGACTTTGAGCCAATTCGTTGTCTTTCTTTCTGGAATATCTTTGTTCGTCCTGCAATGTGAGGAGAGTACGACGGGAGAGAACAAGGACAACGCCATGGCTACGTATCCGACAGTAATGTCGGAACTGAAAAGAAAGTTCGAGAAGGACGATACGGAGGCTGCTCGACTGGGTGATTCTATGGAGGTTTCACGGGATCCCTCTACTTTCCGAAACAAATAGAAACTTCTCGCTGCAGTACCAGCCATGCCTCTCATCTCCCATCATACCCATAGGATGAAAGTCACTCGCTCGAAAGGCCCTTTCAAACGCGCGCTTGCCTTGACAGCAGACCTGAGTCCCGATGCTGTCATCTCAGCCCTCGAACCGAAGTATACCTCGACACTTAGCCACGTCTTTCGTTTTCAGCGACGTCTGTCGACGCTCTTTTTAGTCTCTTCCATTCCTTGACATATTCTCTGGTAGGATTCAAGTACGTGATGAAGGATGATCCATTAATTCTACGGAAGGGCCTGGCCTTAAGGGCCAGCCGCTGACTAATATGGTGGGCGAGGCAGGCGCGAGCCTATCTCCTAACATTTTCCTCCTTCGGCCAGCATGGCACCGACGTTGCCCGAGAATCCTCTGGTCGATATCACCAAGGCATCAGCGATTTGGCTAGTACCCAAGAAGGGTACCGTCGTCGCAGTCGATATCGCGATGTTCGCGCGTAATGATACCATCATGGTAAGTCTAGGATCTTTGTAAATGTCGACTCTTGTGCAATTATCACAGCGTCCTACTGACTCGCTGTAGGCAGTGTTACAGACGATCGATGCTAGGCTATCTAAGCTCGAAAGATCTCATCCTAAAAAGTCATCGGTCAAGCCCACATCTCAGAGACGCAGGCAAAAACAGCAGACTGAGACAGCCGTTGAAGACTCGGCAGAAGAATCAGAAGATGATAAGGATACATAAAATGATGATTCCAATGGGGTCGAGACAAGTGGAATCGCCCTAAGACAAAACTCTCTGCCAGACTCTTTGCCTCGGGAGAACCAATGGAACAGGCCTATCGCCCCCCAGACACAAGGTCAGACGCTATGCCGTAAGTTCCAGCCGACCATTTCCCTCGAGTGATCATTGTCTTACATAAACCAGTGACATCCTTAAACTTTGGATGTCAGGAAGCTTTAGCAACAAGCTTCTCGCAATGGCTCATGGCAAACAAGTCTAATCGGCCTTGTTTCAATGGAGGTAGAAATGGAGCGGTTTAGTTCAAGAAAATTTGTTCAAACTGTATTTGGCGGCTTCTGAGCTTTTCCGCCCACATCTTGACGAAGTAGCTGGTTTCGATGGTTCGACCATGTTGGACATTCTTATTGCAATCTACAAGAACGCCAAGGCAGGGCACGCTGCTGGGAATCAGAGCACCACAGAGACGGCAAGCTTGGCAAATCTCGTTTTCAGAGCCGACGACGCAACACAGACAGCAGCAGCTCTTGTAGTGTCTGCTAGGCCTACGCCAAAGCTCAAGAACACATCTGCAAGTAATACTCAGCCTAACACCTCGGCGTTCCTTCATTCGCCCTGCGGCGAGCGCCGTACTTGTTTTTCTACTCCCTCTTCTCAGCCGCCGTCATCCCGCACTACAATACCCCTGGCTGGAGCCAAAACCCCAGCACGAAAAGAGATTGTGATTTTCTTCTGGGAAGCGCGTATCGAGCTGCGAAATGGCTCCAACTTCGGTCTAAAGAGGTCGATTAAAATCATCAGAGACTTCATGGAGCGTGTAGAGGTCGATATACTTAATTTGTCCTGAGTTAAGGCGCCGCCGACTCCACATCCATTGGGACGGAGGCCAACAAGGAAGGGTCTGGTAATCATTTGGGCAATGCGGGGGTTTCGGAAGGGAATGAGTTCACCTTGGCGGACTTGAATATGGATAATATGGATTGGCTCAATGATGCAATTGGCGGGGGGATCTCAGAATCCGATAATATGCTTTATGGCCTTTTCAGAGCTTCTAGAAGTCTCACCACGGGCCACGGCTGAGAAAATAATGAAAGTCTATGGTTTGGGATGATTGGGGCTTGATATGGAATTGAATGATCCCTTGGTGTTAATTTGAAGACTTGTTATGATCTAATGAGCTAGATTTAGGTGGTTATATTACTGTGCGATTTTCTTTTTAATTCACCCCGACGTTGTTCCTAGCTGTCCTGTTAAAGGTTTTTAGGTGCAGAATAGGGTCCGCCTGAGCCGAGGTATACCCACCAATCAACGCTCTCGGTCAGCTCGCTAATCGTGACTCACATTACGCACTTTATAGTTTTAAGCAAGCATTATTCTGTCAACAACAACAAACAGGCTTGATAGTTCAGTGGCAGAATTCATGCTTTGGGTATTCCTGACTGTATGAGGTAAGACATCATTAGTTCAAACATCTTGAAACAACTCTAACAATTTCCAGGTCCTGGGTATGCAGCAAACTCTAACTTCCGATGACGTCATGCTAATTTCGGTCAGGTTCAATCCCCAGTCAAGCCCGTCGTTGCTTTCTTTTTTTTTGCAAGCTGTGAAGCTATAACCATCAACTTTTTTTACTCCAGTATCTGTTGCTGGTGGTGGAGAAATGCGGCGGTGTTACGCTTAGCATTTTGCGCTAATCGAGTTCCTATTTCGCCGAGCCGAGTAAGCGACCCTATCACGCCAAAGGAAATCGAACTTTATGTGGGAACGGTCTTCAAACCTCCGCATCACAACACCTGCTATTGCAATTCTCATCTGAACATTTGAATATGATAGTGAAAATCTCTGTTTACTGCCCGCCATTATCGCGTAGCTTATTTTATTTTGTCTTGTTTAATTCAAGTGGTCGCGGTGCTCTGCGGCCGGAAGCTGTTCCGTCAGAGACGACGTATTGCGCATGCATGGAATAATGCAGACACAGAGTATAAACATTATAGCTAATTATAAATTCTTATAAAGATCCAGGGTGACATTCCAACTACCAAATATACTTACCAACAATAGTTGATGACTCCTGGCTCCATGATTCAGATGACACAAACTGTCAAGGGCCAGTCGCGAGGGGATCGATTGCGGTCATACTTCTCATGGAGGAGAATTGAGAAGATTCCTCACAATTGGGATATTACACACATAGTAAGTAATCGGCGCTCTATTCAATCATTCTGTTATCAATTTCATGTGCAACGAGAGAGTGCAAGTTTCAGAAGCAGGAAATGAATCATTAGACACAAAGCTCCTTTGCACGATGTTATTATCTTCAAACTCAGGTCAGAGAGAACTGTAAAGTAAGAGTTTCCTCCAGGCTCTGTTGAAGGTCGACTTTCTTCGTCTCTGAAACCGGGAGAAGGAGATTGATCTCATGCTGCTCCACTAAGCGAGAATGCAGGGGCCTGTTTGCAGGATTTGTCCAATCATCCGCCAAGTCGTGCAGAAAGATATGTCGAATGTAATACTCATTAGTGAAATAAGAATAATTGACTGCTAGGTTAATAAATAGCTGCTGTGGAATTCTATCCGTTTGCTTTACTCTTTCTTCGTTCGAAAGTTGCGATAAGCTTGTTCTAAATCGAGGATCTACGACAATGCCAAGCAATTATCTCACCAACGTCGGTGAGTCGGAATCCAACATTGCGCCGTACACGTATGCGTCGAATTTACGGAAATAAGTGCACAGAAATCGCTGCAACTTCAAGAACTTTGATAATCCACTGTTTTCGATATGCAAAGTGAAGAAAGTAACCTTGTAATCTTTCATTTGTGACAGCCTCTAACCGCAGAGCCTCAGACAAACGCAGCGGAACCTCTGACACACTCGATATCAAGACATCTCAAGCGGTTAGACGCGTCTCGCTCAATTGAGTCAAGCCAACAATTGCCATGGTTGGGGTTCCTTTGAGTCGTGGTTGCCAAACGTGTCGGAAGAGGAAAATTAAGGTTCGTGCGCAGGATTTTCTTCTTCTTTCGGCTGTCACTTGGCTGATTAAGAGGACAGTGCGATGAGACCCATCCCAAATGCACCCGATGCAAGAAGAGCGGTCTTCTATGCCTTGGGTACAAGTCTCGCCTGAAATTCATGGATGAAGGTCCGAAGCTTCAAAAGAAACCAAGGCAACCTCAACGACTTGTCAGACAAGATGTTCCTCGAACTCTACCTTCGTCTGCTTCGGAGAATCTTTCACTTCAACTTTGCCAAACATTCAGATCAGATCTCCCAGCAGTCAAGAATCTGAGATCATTTACCAAGACTTACTTCGTAAATGATTTGCCACGTCACGTGGGTCTAAGTACGGCTTGTGATCTTGCCATGAAAGCTTTGTGTCTCGCTCACTCTACACTACTGTCGTCTTGCGGTGATAGTTTTGTTCGAAGTCGTATACAGTATGGTCTGGCTTTAACAGAGCTGCAGCACTGTCTTGCAGACTCAAGACTCGCGAGGACCACCGGAACCTTATGCGCAACGATGATACTCGGTATAATTGAGGTGTGTCAACTCCTAAGTCAAACAACATTCCACGCTCATCAGTTTATAGCAACTTCTCCATGCAGACTTCAGAGCCTCAATCAGACATGCGGGGGGAGCCGCTCGATTAATCGAGGTTATTGGTATCAGCCATTTCGACGATCCCTTCGCGTATGGAATGTTTCACGCGTTTCAAGGAGCAATTGTATGTCTCTCTTCAATCGTCGACACTTTTGTGATACTAATATATAACAGGTTGTGGAATCGATCTTGTATCAACGAGGATGCTTCTTAGATTCACCCCTTTGGCGTGGAGTATGCGAGAGAACCCAAACGCCTTTCAGTGCCTTGTTCTCACTTCTCTCACAATTTCCAGAATTTCTCTCCGCATTACGAGATTTGAAGGAAAAATCTTCAGATGCGGAAGAGGACAGGATTCGCCTCCGCGAAAAGATTGTTCGACTCCGCAACGACCTTCTGATTTGGAGATTCGACCCAGCTTATACCGAGTTATTCCACACTATCAGTCATCATGCTGAAGGCTTTCTCGAGAAAAGCATCATCTACACATCCAGCAAATCACTATCTCTGCTGATTACCTACTCTGCGATGATGATTTTGATCAACGCTGCGTTACTTGTTCTCTCCGGAGTCGAAGCATTTGACCATCGGGCAGAAAATCTCGTATTGGCGAGACAAATATGTCAATCGTATGAAAACAGCAGGAAGTTTCTACCTGTCGGAAGTGTAGCCATTGACTTTTCATTCCGAGCAGCGTATCTCGTCTCTGATTCGGAACAGAGAGGATGGATTGCAGAAAAGTTGTGTAAGATGCAGAGTTCGTTATGCAGATGGCAGGATGATCAGACTATCGTTGTAGAGTTGGATAGCTGTTTTGATTACTTGGCATACTGAAGTATACTCAATGAATCTCACTTCGTCAAGTGATTCTCTCAAGTATACTCACGTGCCGTCTCAGCAGCGTTTCTACCTAGGCAGCATATATTTGAGCTTGTGTACAGTTCAAATAAGTTGACGGCTTCCCATATGGCCTCATTGTGGCCCACCGCTGTCGTATCTTCATTTTTCACTCTGATCTTCAAGCATGGCGCAAGTGTTTTCCGAGAAACCGATCACGTGATGCATTCAAGCCACCTGGGTATGTAAGTAACACCGCATCGGGATACTTCAAGGCGCTGGACTATGGCAATAGCGGACTCATAGCATCTGGATTATTGAGAATGATGTCGAGGGTAATGGATCTATGCTCTATTGCCAAAGCAGCGTATGGGAAACCTCTGATTCTGGCTGACATGCATGCATGTCAACAAATGGACGTGTTGAATATCCGGGCATAGAATTGATATCCTACCCGTCAGAAAGTAGATTATCATACTTAAGCATTGCTAGCCAGCCAGCAAAGCTGCCTACCTCGGTCGATTGTCACCAAGTCAAGTACGTCACGAATTTTCTTTCATTGGCGATAATCACCAACCAGACTCCGCATGAGTCAAGATATATCGATTGCACCGTCAAGTCACAATGCCTAACTTATGAAGCGACTGATTGGTTTTGAATACATTGGAATCGTGTGATTGCAGTGGAGATCGTGGAAAGTATCTATGGATCACGTGTAGTCTGAGGTAGCCCCTGACTGACATCCCGAGGTTACCATAACCTTCACGTCCCTAGCTCTCGGTGGTTGAGTTGATCATTTTAGACTTTTGTCGAGGATTTCAAGTCTTGACTTTCGCCCGCCGACGCCTCGTCGATGATAAGCTGTTCTTCCTGACCTGTTGTGGGTCAAGTCATTCATTCATGACCACCTCCAGGCATGCTTTGCAACAAATCAGCTTCCATTGTGAGGCCACGCCTATCATTCTATTCTGTGGAAATCCCCATCGGATGTCCTTGTACTCTTATCTTCGGACAAGAACAATAAACAATATCTTCAACAGGGATAATAGCTCGTCGCGGACCTCAATTCACAACCTAGCCAGGACACATAGCACCCGTCGGGCTGGAAAGTAAGTTTCGTGATCGAGACCCTTGCTGCATCTTCTTGAACCTTTACTAGTGTCTATGGCCGTTGCTCTTGTTTCGATCTTCTCCCTTGGAATAGAATGTGAACATGATACGAGTTTCGCCCAAGCGCAGTTGATCTTCGGGTACTTCTACGACCCCTTTTCTCTGTGTAATACAACTTTGAAGGTCACGGAAAATGTATAATGCTTAAACATCCCAAGGAGTCTCCAGCCGGACATGTCTCTGGATGTGATGGGAAAGGGAGATCCGGATGATGTTGTGTGGAGGCTAGCGTATTATGCAGGGTCCTAGTGCATTTTGCTGGAACTTTGATAATATTAAGATTAATGTGGTTGACCACACCATCTAATAAAACCACCCCAAAGTTAAGGTTCGGACGCGAATTTAGTGCACGTTAAGCTGAACCATCCGAAGTGACCACTAACTCTATTGGATAGACTTTGGATGCAAGAGCTATCGCGTTCTACGGGACCTATAGATCCTTCGGGAGCCAAATGCGCTCAGTAAGCAGATCAACGTCGATTGAAAAGAGTCCAGAGCAAGGTCATGCTTATCTAGCTATAGTTCTAATGGTCGCATCACTTTGCACTTGATAGCATGCGTCAGACAAATTCGATACTCGCAAACAAGATAATAAATTTTGATCGCACGGATGAGATTGGAATGTAACATCTATGCGGATGAAAGTTTGTGTTGCTCATTTGTTGGCACAAGTGTGCGCCTGAAGCATACCAAATCACACTTAGACAGTTGCCAAGTCTAAAGCCACTTCCCTGTGCCAAGGGAAACCTCTCTGCCATTCCGCTTGTCCTCAATAATCTGTTCAATGCTCCAAGGCTCGAACTTATAACCAATCGGATAGTTAGGAAGAACGTTCTCATCGTCATCAAAAGGGACACCATTCTTGATCGATGAGATTGCCTTTTCGTAGTTCTCCTCCGCGTACACTTCTGGGTCATGTTCCCAAATCCATCTAGGCATTAGTGGCTGCGCTCTGCGTGGGTCCAACTTCACTTTCTCCCAATCTGTCTCTTGAAGCAAATCCGCATTGACGAATCCAATCTTCTGGGCGCATGCTGTGCGGATGAATCTAATAGATGGTCAATGCAGCTGACGTGTGACGGGATGGGAAGATGCTAACCGAAATCTGATGTGAGCACGCACTGAGTCTGCGATATTATCCTTGCCTCCCTTCTGCAGACAAGTAGCAAGTGTGATAGCATCTTCAATTGCCTGTGTCGCTCCATTGCCGGAAGCAGGAAGGAAAGAGTGAGCACTATCTCCAATTTGGATAACACGTGCTCCGGGTGAAGTCCAACTTGGTTGAGGATTTCTCCAAAGAAGCTCGAAGTTAATGATTGTGTTTTTGGGTGTACACTTGACAAGATCTTTGAAGATGGGAGCCCATTTCACGGGCCCTGGGACGTCATCCATCCCTTTGAGGACTTCATCTACGTCGATGGTGTCGTTCCAAGATTCTTTCTCGCTTCCGGTGGCCTAAGAAAATATCAACATTCTTTCTGGATTTCGAAGCTTCAAATGAGGGTACTGACATCGTGATTCATGATCCAGATCATCATATCCGGTCTTGTAAGTGTCAAAGCGTAAGTTCCAGGGCTATAGAAATGTAAGTGAGTAATCATTCCAATTGATTATTCACTGCCAACAGGGAGTCAGCTTACCCGAGCCATGTTCGAACAATTGGATCTTCGCCGTTGACCATGCTGAAGAACTCCTTGACTTTGGGGTTCTTGTCGAGATTTCCAATTGGGAAAGCCGCACGCCACATTGCCCTGCCAGATGATATGGCTCTCACCTGCCCACCAACAAGCTTCTGAGATTTTGAACCAACGCCATCAGCTGCAATGACAACATCTGCTTCATACTTGGTGCCATCAGCGGTAATCACACCACCTTTGCCAGTTTCGACATCTTCGAAATAATCAACAACTCTTTGATTGAACTCCACCTTGACGCCCAATCGAGCGACTTGATCAACGAACATCTTATAGATCAAGGGCCTCATCTGAAAAGTTCCTGGCGGAGTGTTGGGATCCAATCCAACTGCACGCAGTCTCTCCGACACCTTCATGGTTTTGATCATTGGCTCTCCACTGTGCCTGTAAGTTTCAATCCAAGCATTGTGTAGACTGATTCGGTCATATTCCGCTGCAAGCTCTGGCCAATGCTTGAACCATTTGGTCGAACTGAGTCCCATGAAGAACATATCACCTGACAGAAATCAAATTCTCGTTCGTAGTAGTTAGGGTTGCAAAGTCATACCTGCTGTGTTGATAGTTGGATTTCTTTCCAGCACACGTACTTTCATGCCCTTCCGCGTACATTCGAGAGCTGCTGTCAGGCCAGCAAGCCCGGTTCCTACGATGAGAACATCGATAGGAAGTGGTGGATACGCGTCAGGTATCGCTTGGCTCACGTCGATGGACCCCATAATGAAGATATCAATAACTAATGAGAATGTTTTTCAGTTTTCCATGGATTTGTATAGTTCACTTGGGACCGCTTACCTGCAATCAATGTATATGTGCTTTCCCAGAGTCTTTGGAACTTTGTAGAAAAATCGGATTGACTAACGTGTGATGGGACAGGACTTGTACTGCATGCTTCCGGACATCTGAAGAAAAACCCCACAAAGTTCCGCAAGCCTTTCCGGAGAAACTCACGCTCCGGAAAAGGTGATTGGCGCTGAGCTGGCGAGGATCATGTACGGCGCAGTCAGCTTGCTGATCTCACCGACCAATAATAGTCCAAGACTTGCGCCAGGAAACGTTTGGGAAAGAGGAGGGTATCTTCCCTGCAATTCAAATTCTTTGGCCAGGTACAATCGTGTGCATTGACTTGTTAAATCGTGTAGCAATACATATAGTCATTATTTTTGGCACTAAGTGATAGTGTATATACTTGATGGCCGATTCGGACATGAATGACTTGGAACTAAAGGAATTCGACCGAGGGAATAACAGGGTCGATGAATAGACATTTCAATGGATCAGAAACACGTGAAAAGAATTCTCTCAACTCATATCATGAGATGGTACCTCTAATTTCATTCCTCACGTCTCCTGGGAGTATTTCTTGTGTATCGTAGATACTCGTCGCCTATTCTAGGAATGCTTCTTACACCCTTCTACCTTTTCATTTTCGGCATTTTGGCCTCTGGATATCTTGCCGCACGCAAACGAAAGCAGTGTCCCATCTGCGTTGACGCGGTGCAAAAGGAGTTCCCAGGCCCATACTTGCTGCCATGGATCGGACGTATTCATGACCTTCCAATCAACTACATGTGGCTGAAGTTCAAGGAGTGGGCAGACATCTATGGGCCAATATACAAGACGGAGATGCTAGGGGCAACTTTTCTCGTCATCTCAGATGAGAAGATTGCAGAAGAGCTTCTCGTAAAGAGGGCGAAGATCTACTCAGATCGGCCTGCTATTCGGTCTCTATTTGACTCCAAAAGTACTCATGGTTCTATGGAATATCTTCCTTTGATGGGCAAGAATAGTAAGCATGCTCTATCCAGTGTATAAGTACCCAAAGCTCTCGACTAATGCTGCTTAGAGTACTGGGCTCGACAACGACGATTCACCCACGCATATCTCACGCAGGCTTCAAACAACCACTATTATGGTGTTATGAATTTTGAGGTCAAAAGATGTTTGGCAAGGCTTTGCGAAGACCCTGACAACTTCTCCTTCACCTTGGAAGACATGGCATCGAAGATAATGTGTCAATTGACATGGGACGATACGAGCTTCAGCGCATACTATATGAAGAATGCATGGGGACTTCTCACTCAGATGTCGCCAGCGGGGCCAATCACCAATGTCTTGACACCGTTATGGCATCTCCCCTTCGCAATAAATCCATGGCAGAGAGCTGAGAGGAAGCGTCATGACGAGCAGCAAGCTTTCTGGATGCAGAAGCTTTCAGAAGTAAGAGGGAAGATGGCCAAGGGCGAAGCACGGCCGAGTTTCACTCGTCAGTATCTTGAGAGCCAGCAGACATCCAACCTCTCCGGTGACTACGAAGGGTCTTCGGTAATTGGAATGATGGCTCTTGTTGGGATATTCACTATCGCTGGCCCATTGCATTACTTTCTGATAGCTATGGTCTTCCATCAAGACTGGCTTGCAAAGTGTCAGGCAGAGATTGACTCCGTCTGCAAGGGGCGACTACCTACGCTCCACGATTCGCCAAAACTACCGATTTTGAGGGCATGCATACTTGAAACACTTCGCTGGAAGCCAAATGTACCAACAGGTAAGTGCACGTTCAACACGCAAACTAGATACTGATGCGATGTCGACAGGTGTTGCTCATGAAGTCGAAGAGGATGACTTCTACAGGGATGTCTTTATCAAGAAAGGCACTCGCATCCTTCCACTAGACTGGTACATATCCTTGAATTTCCGCGCTCATGCACTTGCTCATCACGAAACAGGGCTTTCATGAGAAACCCTGAGAAGTATCCGGATCCGGAAAACTACCACCCGGAACGCTATCTCGAGCCCAGCTGGCCAACCTACCGCGCGCCGTTGACGATGTACCCCAACATCAAGGGACTATCCTCTTTCGGGTATGGACAGCGGCAGTGCCTAGGCCAAACCTTAACGCAAGATGAACTTCTTCTTGCATGTGGCTCTTTGTGTTGGGGTTTTAACATGAGCAAGAAAATTGATCCGCAAACTGGCATGGAAATCGACATAGACTTGAACGCTTCAAATTCTTTGCTCATCGTAAAACCAGACCCCTTCAAGATGCAATTTACACCAAGATCTCCGGCAAAGAAGCAAGCGATGTTGAAGCAGTGGGAAGAAGCGGAGAAAGCTAATACCGAGGAGCGAGTAGCCTTTCTTAGAGCCGCTCGGAGCGCGAAAATAGGATAGAGTTAAGAATTGATTAGATCTATTTGTTGGATTTAGGGGTACGAGAATTTGCTTGGAGATACACGATGTACTTTCATTTTTGCCTTGATTGGGGCTGTCAAAATAATGTATGACGCTGAGATATTTGCTCGGCGGGCCGTTGTCGAATAGTTTTGCGGCCCCCCTGACACTAAAATCTTACCACTCAGACAAGCCAAGTCTGGATAAATGCTACCTTCCCCGGCTTATTTCCACGTGATTTTGACGAGCACCGCTCGGTGCAGGACAAGCGTAGTTCCTTTCACAAGATCGACAGCATATGCAAAATCCATGATGGATGAGTTCTATACGTTTCAACCAGAGGCTACATGTAGGTCCGGTACGGCCAATTACAAAGTCTCGACGGACATCCGAAGATACAAACATCTGTGTGGAGTCGCTCCACTATCCTCGTTGATAGAGCTTGTTGGTACACGCCAAATACCAAGTCTGAGAAGTTTGGACAGTCGTGAGGTTCGACCGGGACTTGACCACCTGGAGAGGATTTGTAATCAGTATTTATATATCACACCGCCCGACGCTTCCTCCAAGTCAATTTACCCCTTCGTTGAACCCGTGATTCTTTGTACCGCACCAAACGCCCTTGCAAAATTCGGACTTCGGAAAATGGCGCCAATCTTGCAAACCTTGGTACTTGGCAGCAGTATCTCGTTCTCATTCATTCTTGCTGGTAGGCTGTCCCGGCATACACTCGAAGCAGGATAGTTTCTCATTTTAATACAGGCAATGCAATCACTCAATCCTTCATGACAGTTCCAGCTCTCCTTGTTGGCTTTCCAAATTCCACATCGCCAGACTATTCCTCCAAGTCAGCACTTCTCGGTCGACAATGGGGAGTCTGCTGGACTGCAGGAAATGTGTTTTTTCGACCTATCAGTTCTCTTGGTGCTCTGGGCTATGCCTTCACCACTTATTCTGCCTACGCCTCTGCAACCACGAAAGCTGACTGGAGATTGTTTGCTATTGCAGCTCTGATGCATGTCGTTGTCATCATTCATTCTGCTGTCAACATGCAGCCATTAAATGATAAGATTGCATCCCTTGATTCGGAATCGAAAGGGAAAGATACTCTTGACTTGGGAGCCGAGACTTTGTTGAGGAAATGGGGCAAGTTGAATTATGTGAGAATTGTTTCTCCGCTCATTGCAGGGACTTTTGCATTATCTCAACTTTTTCTTTGAGATTGTTGTCTTCCTCACCATTTATTAGCTCAGACCTCGTGTGCTTTATGGTCGAGGAAACAGAAGTATTTGGCGTGGTTGATGGTGTACTGTTGTTCGAGCAGCTGGGACATGAGTGATTTTCAGCTTTTGGATATTCCAGGCTTTGGAGCTGCGGTGCATGTACAGTACCTGCGTATGTATCATATAACTCTGCGTTTCTCATTCTTGCCTCGCTTGACAGACTTGATATGAGATTCTGTAATTTTTAATTCGATGGAATTGGGGGTTTGGGCTTCTGTGGGATGCATAACTGCGGGAACGTGCGATCAAGATAGAGAAATATTGTTTGATTTGCGGAAAGGTTATCTGCAAGACTTCACTGTATTTCGTCAAGTTTCAGGCTCTCGATTCGTTTCGCATACGGGTGATCTTTATTATTTCCTTCACTGATAAATTTCTTGCTCCAATAGCTTTCCTATGCCTTGGCTAGACATCGTTCTTCAATACATTTCCCTTCGATCCCGCCATCAACTTCTCCTGAAGCTGCTTAGACCTCAAACTATCCACAAACTCCGTGGTCTCCACAACTTTCGTCCCATCCTCCAACATCTTCATGAAGATCACACACTCATTTTCCCACTTCCCCATCCCATGCAATTCCCCAACCATCTTCGCTTGAACAATCACAGTGTTTTTGGAGGCATCTTCGAACATGTTGTGTGGAACCATTGCAAAACTGCTGAAGATCGACGTGACTCCGCTCGCATGAGCAGCAAAGGATTCTCTGTCTCGTGGTGGAAATTCCAAGGATGAAGGAAAGACTTGATGTATGAAGTCGTCCGCAAGTGGTTTCAGGAGAGCTTCAACGGTGAGGGCGCTATAGCTGTTGAGGACGGCGCATGCTGTCTGGATACGAGTGGAGTCATTGCTACCCATGGCTGTTTGTATGTCTTGTAATATTGTGAATGGCAAATCTTTGAGAAGGTGTGTTGCTGGATGAGAAGGTTTGGAGGCATGGGAGCATATATACATGTTGGCCAGTAATTCTAGCTGTATCTCGGTCAACATCTGGTTAGCGCATATCACACTGCTCAAAACATGTCCGAAGCGGGATACCCAGTCTCCATGTACACGGATCCCCGCAGGTCCGAAACTTGAGCTAAGCTGTCCGGAAGAAAGTGCCAACTCATGATTCCAGTCACGTGTCAAGTGTGTCACGAAGTCTTCCGGAACAGATTCTAAACAACTTAAATAAAACACTATTCATACTGCAATGAGTCGAAGGAAGCCTATCATAGTCAGCTTCTGTCTAGCGATTCATAAAGATGATTCCATGTCTCTTGTGCTAGAGATGTGAATCAAAGATTTTTAACTATATTGATGGGGTACCAGATTCACCATGCTGTTGAGACCAACACGATTCTGAAACTAGTTTTGATATTTCCTGTACAAAATTATCTATAAAAGGTATCCGGACAGCATCCAACAAAGTTCATTTGGCAAATTCGGGGGTTGCACCACGATCTCGCAAAAGCTCCTGAAAATTAGCCGAGGAGCTTTAAGTTCTGCCACCACGAGTGCTGTGAGACGATATTGTGATTTTAAAGCTATCAAGACCAAGTGATAAGTCTACTACTAGATTTTCAGGACGTTCCCAAACACCCGCTCAATTTTCCGGCTTGCAAATTGCCTTCGATTAAGAAACATAGCGATTTGATCGATATCATATAAACCGCGCAAGCGCAAATGGCGGCACCAAGCTTCCTCTTTTTGTAATTCAATAGACCCAATCCATACAATCTGTTTCACACAATTACAAGTCTTCCAGCATACAATTGGGTAGTCCAAGATACGCGCCACCCGCTAATACTACCTTGGAAACAAACAAATAACTATGCACTCCACATAAAAAGAACAAGAAGATTATGAAGCGGCAACCTCTCCATCTTTATCTTCTCCTTCCGGATCCTCAACCTCGACATCTACCTGTTCTATCTCTCTCGTAACATACCACCCCCCAGCGGTACCAACGGCTGTCCCAATACCCGCAGTCCAGATACCCACTTGCAGCCACCGTCCATACAGCACGACGGAATTTGCCAGATATCTCACAGCAGGTGTAACAAGACTTCGCCGCTCTTCTTCAAGATCTGGATTCACAGTGATGAGCACCGCCACGAGCGTGATCAGAATTAGGCCAAGGAAGAGAGCCGTTAAGATCTGGATGGCGGCGAGAAGGTATGTGATGTTTCTTGTCGTTTGCAAAACTTTGAAGCCAGCCGCCACCAACGGCGTGACTTGGTCGAAGGCTAGGTTGATCTGTTTCGAGTATGGGATGCCCATGTTTGCCGCTGTCTTCCGAATAAGGCAAGGCTTGTGGAATGCGGAGATCAGCCCCGATGTAACTCTCCAGCGCAAATGTCCGAGAGCGCAAAACACAATGTTTTTATGACAAACATGCATGCGACAAAGAGAACTCCACATTTAAGAGTGTTCGTTGAACGCAGATATATGACGTCGTTGTCATCTACATGACCACTCAACGATTTGGACCCAAAACCCTGCTTCAAAACCCTGTTTGGAACCCCGCTTTTGGAACTCAAACTCCACGTGACCGTGAAAAGAAAAGAAATTCTTTTGATTCACAGCCTGCCTATTTCGTCCCATAAAGCTAGGAGAGCCCATAAGTTGTCCTTTGGTGTATTCACTTGAATTCGATCAAAATATGGTATAAGCCTCAGAAGTATGTCTCGTTACCTGAGAAAGGGGGAGTACTTCGCGTATTTTAGCGGTCATTAAACCCTACTAATAGCCACTCCACACTATGTTTCTTTTGTTTTTCACACCAGCAGAGCGTAGCAACTGAAGCTTTAAGATAATAAGGGGCTCGTCTTACACTACGGCACTATGCGCTCATATTTATCAGACTCGACGCTATCATTCATGATGAGGCTGTTGAGATATCACGATTGCAGGGGCATCTTGCACTTGTGCACTTGTGCCCCTGCCCCTTTCAAATGTTCGCAAACCGGGTAAATAACATCGATTTTGAGATGCCCGGAGCTTCAAGGGTAGCTCTGCATGTTGTATATTGACCCTTGCAGAAGGCCAACTTAGTCTCGGAGAAGTACCCGTTCTTGGCCTCCGTAAGCTGCAACCGCCACTTGAACCTCGAAAACACGAAAACACCAAACTCCGCCTGAATCATTTTCATTCAATTGCGTAGTTCCGCACACACAGAGCTACTACTATTACATGTTATTGGCACATTATGAGGGCGGCATTGATCATTAGAAGTTTGCAGCTTCTGCTCCTTGCCAGAGGATCATTATGCTCCGATGAACTCGCCACAGCTCTGTCACCTGTCTCCACAACAAGCGGGCTCGTCGTTGGACATATCGCCCCTAACAAGACAGGAGTAATTGAGTTCTTGGGTGTTCCATTCGCCGGCTCAACGAATGGTTCTCAGAGATGGCTTCCACCACAACGCTTCACCTCAAATTTAACCTTCAATGCATCTACCTACGTAACTTTCCCATTCCCCCTCTTGGACTCGCAACTAACTTTTCATAGGGCCCGTAAGCTACCTATGAACATTCTCGCCATCAAAGCTTACTCTCAAAAGGAGTTGCCCCGCTAACATTGCTGGCACTGTGGCATTCCCAAACAAGACGGCTCAATTTGACCGTATCTTCCTCGCTTTCACGACCCAAGGAGGAAACGTACAATCGGAAGATTGCTTAAGCTTGAATCTGTGGGTTAAAGGGGAGCCAAAAACAGGCGACTTAAAGCCGGTATTGGTGTTTCTTCCAGGTGGGAGTAAGTCGAATGGAGACATCACGTGCTACGTTCTGAAAACTGAATGCTTCGCAAGGGTGGAACACTGGGGGATCTAAAAGTCTCTTCTATAATGGCCAGTATCTTGCTGATGCCGAGGATGTGATTGTTGTTACCATAAAGTGCGTTACTCTTCTTACCTTCTTCCCTCTATGGTTCGAACGGGGCACTAAAGATCACAGTTATCGTTTGAACATCTTTGGTTTCCCTGGTGCACCTGGTATTCAGCAGAATGTCGGTCTTCTCGATCAACGAATGGCACTTGAATGGCTCCGCGATAACATAGCGGCTTTCGGAGGTGATTGCAATCGCATCACAGTCTTCGGTCAATCTGCAGGATCTGTATCTGTGGGGTACCTGGCCTACTCATATCCAGACGAACCCATTGTGGCGGGTTATATAATGGAATCAGGGACACCGCATAGCTGGACACCATTGAGTCCAACCTTAGCTGCTCAACATTGGTACAATGTCTCCTCCGCTCTAGGATGCGGGACAACAGGCGATGTGTTGAGCTGCATGCAATCTAAGAATATGTCAGCAGTGCTTGCTGCTTTCGCAAAGGTACCATATGATCCTACTAATGCACTCTATCAACCTCAATTTGAACCTGTTGAGGATAATATCACCGTGTTTCACGACTACAGTGCCCTTGCAGCTGCTGGAAATTTTGCCAAACTTGTAAGTGTCCTCCTTTGTCTTGAGCAGCTCGCTGAACAAAGCTTTCTCAGCCCCTACTCATCGGAAACAATGATTTCGAATCTGGATTCTACCAAATCGCAGCGTTTGCAACCAATAAAAGCTCCAACGCCACTCAACAAAAGCTCTTTAACCTTGAAGCATTTACCTGTGCGACTGCCACCGAAGCTGCCGCTCGTGATGCAAGCGGTGCCACAGTGTATCGCTACAGATATTTCGGCGACTTCGATAATTTGCGACTTTTCCCAAACAGCTCAACATATCACGGTAGCGAGCTCGAAATGATCTTCGGCACAGCTGAAGAAGTTTCAGGCTTACCTAGTACCGCAGCAGAAAATGCCGTCAGTGCATATTTCATGAAGGCTTGGGCTGCTTTTGCGAGGGATCCGCAAAATGGTCTTAGTCAACTCGGCTGGCCAACGTATGGAAATTCGACAACTCCTACCCTTGTCCGGTTAGGATACAATGACGATGATACTCCTAGCTTTGTAGCGGCTAGCTCTTCAGATGCAGATTGTGCTGCTCTTGGTGGAGCTGTGGATCTTGGTAAAGGCGCAATGTAATGCCTTTAAAGGGCCTAGGGTGTATGGTTGTCCATGAACTTCTGCAGTCCTAGGCATGTATCTGCAATAAACATATACATTTAGAAGCTCCATAAATTTCGTACATGCGAAGAAACTCCAAGGACTCGCTTTTGTGAATGTGGGACACAAAGTCACACAATCCAGGCAGTTTAGTTAATGGTATCGGAACCCTGCCAGGCTTCAATTCCCTCCCTCTTAAATATAATAAGACCGCAATGCGAAGAGCTATTGATTTCGATAATAACAATGGCATACTCAAGAGCTGTTTACACCTAACTTAACGTTTGAATTAAGGTTTACCTCCCCCCTTCCTACCCCTAAGCGAATCTCGCAAGCGGGCCCCTTAGGCTTAGCGAGCTTCCCTGAAACCAACATCTCGTCTCATTTTTAACGACACCTTGATGGTGTAGAGAGTCTCGATGAGACACAGTTTTGGCCTTATCAGAATGCGCTTCGAAAGTACTCTCTATGACCGTAGATTCGCCTTGTTTTACAAGGATTTGCATTGTGAAGTACAGCTCAGAAATTTTCCTGCAAATGCAAAGTCGCTAATGCTCGGCATATTCAGGCTGTCAACACCTGGCTTTATGGTAAATTCAGGGAGCTGCACAAATTGGCATTCAGGGTTTTTTAGAATTACTACAGTACATTGCTCACTTCTTGTGCCCGAAGATTTCTAGGCCGTAGGACCGGAATCTATTACTTAATTTTCAAAAGAAAAGCAAAGCAGAGGCGTCTAATGTGGCGCTGAAAAAAAACAAGATTAGATAAGATCTAGGCCTTACAGATAACCTGCGGCCAGTCCAGTCCAATTGGACCCGGCCATCTTTACTTTTTGGGACCTCACGCCATTTGAACTAAGCTTTTGGGCGCCCATAGTCACAGAGCCGTCCCTGCTCCCGTCCGAACCAACACCTTTGCGGAAACGGAATCCCACGCTGGAGCCAATAGTTCTTGGCATGCATGTCACAACTTTTGTCGGTACCGGGGTCCAATTGGTTGAGCCAGTTGAGCATCTCACTTGGACAGTAGCTTAAAGTAGTCCCCTGCTTCAGCTCCCGCCGTCCCTGCCCATCACAAAGCCGACCAGAAGCTAGAGGGGAAACCCCTCATCCTCTCAATAAAAACATTTCCCTTCCCTTTCGACCCAAGGTTTCTTGGGCGCAGGAGCTTGAAACGAGTTCGCAGACTGATTTAATTGTCAGGTCGTGAATTAAGCATATTAATTGCAGTACCCGCCAAGCCCCGCTTCCAAAAATGGGGGCCCCATCAAATACCGACCCCGAGCAACAAACCCCATCTTCGCTCTCGAACGCCTACAAAACCTCTCCAGACGAGAAAGATGATGTGACGATCGAGAAAACGGGCGTGGAGATCCAAGTTGCCGATTCATCAAGGAACAACGACCAGCGAAAATCGTTTAAGGATGGCTTCGCATCGCTATTCACGAAGCAAGGTCTCTCCGACACGGGCGCCGTTCTCTGGAAATTCGCCAGATTTACTGGACCTGGGGCAGTCATTACCGTGGCATACGTCGATCCAGACAACTTGCAGTCGAACCTTACTTCAGGTGCTGAGTTCAAATTCAAGCTCTTGTTCATGATCTTGTTCTCGAATGTGGTCGCGGTTTTCCTGCAAGTGAGTATTGAAAAACATGGCAGAGCGAGGGTTACAGTAACTAACGAAAACGAAGGCTCTGTCTACGAAATTGGGCTGTGTTACTGGCATGGATTTGGCGCAAATGAATAGAGCATTTCTTCCTCGATGGCTGAACTTTGTTCTCTGGCTGATGGCCGAGGCCTCAATCATCTGTACCGATATTTCACAGGTACGCTATTCCTTACATTCAGCACATGTCCCATCAAACCCGCTAATTTTCATGCAGGTCATTGGAACGGCAATTGCTATCAACATCCTGAACTCGAAGATTCCTCTCGTAGCTGCTTGCGGCATTTCGGTAGTGGATACGCTCGTCATCCTCCTATTCTACAAACCAGATGGGACACTCAGGCGCATCCGAATCTTCGAAATCTTCGTCTCGATGTTCGTCGTTGCAATCTTCATTATGTATTGCATCGAGCTTTCATACATATCCGCAGACGTGGGCCAGGTTTTCAAGGGTTATCTCCCATCAAGACAAATTTTCGTCAGCGACGGGTGAGTCTTCTTCTCCCTCCTGAATGTCTGAGCATGTTCACTAACCTCCAAACAGTCTTTACCAATCCTGTGCACTCCTAGGAGGAACACTCATGCCTCACACCATCTATCTCGGCTCAGGCCTCGTCCAACCCCGCATGCGAGAAATCGACCGTCTCCACAACCGCCTCCACGAAGTCAAAGCCTCAGACTCCAAATACGCCATCGATCTCTACAAACCCACTCTCTCAACCATAAGATCCACCATGTCCTACACGATCGCCGAGCTCTGCATCACGCTTTTCATCGTCGCTATCTTCGTCAACTCCGCTGTCCTGATCGTTGCCGGAGCCGTGTTCTCTGAAGATGCCAGCGATGCTGATCTCCCAGGCTTGTACCAGGTCTTCGTGGACACGATCGGGTTAGCCAGTGGCAAGATCTTCGCTGTTTCGCTGTTGTTCTCGGGTGTAAGTGCGGGCATTGTGTGTACGATGGCTGGACAGATGATTTGTGAAGGAGCCATGAATTGGCGCATGAATCCTTTCCTCCGCCGTTTCTTGACAAGATGTATCTCCATTATTCCAGCTATGATCATCGCTGCAGCCGAAGGCCAGCAAGGATTTGCGGCTGCTCTGAATGGTTGCAATGTCGTGTTGTCTGTTGCGCTTATTTTCTTGACTTTCCCGCTGTTGTGGTTTACGTCTCAAAACAAGTATATGAGAGTACGAATTGATGATACTAAGGAGCCAGTTGGTGTTGTGGATGGGATTTTGACTTATCAGACTGAGAGGGCGATTTGGGCGAGCGGTGGTGATGTTGAAGATACGATTTCCTTGACGAATAACAAGGCTACTACTACTGTTGGGTGGATCATCTGGTTCATCATTGCGGCAATGAATGTGGCGACTTTGACATTCTTGGGTCTGGGAATTGGGGGTGATTAGACTTTTGAGTTATTCATGAAGGGTATAGACAAAATCATGGAGTTGGAGGGGCATAATGAATATAGAATTATGTTAACGAGTTTCGAGGCAAATATACACGAGTACTCACTCACGAACCGCCATTCCGTGATGTTAAGTTCATTCAAACCATTACTTGTTGCTGTAATTAAATATCGAGGAGGCTAGAATCCATGTTGAATGACGATCAAGCCCTCTCGTACATATATGAAAGAATTACAAAAGGAAGTACAATCACCCAAGCTCCTCCAACCCTTAATCCACAAAATCTATCAACATCTAATAGTAAATCGGATTGGCCGGATCCGTGAAATCAAACACCACAACACTGTGCGGCTTAGCACCTCCCCTCGTCTGCGCAAAATTTCTCTCAAAATCAATGGTACGATTGAAGTTCAAGCTTCCATCAGGGTTGATATCAATATACAGCGCTTTGTAATCGGCCGGAGTATTGATGAGACCGATATCGCCCGTCTGGACAAAGTAGTCGGTGACGACAATGTGCTTTTGGTCTGGCGTCACTTTGATGTAGTGGGGGCCGATGGTGGGTTGGACCTCATCGGGGTCGTCGAGACGCTTGACGTTGTTGAGGTCGGAGATATCAAGGGCTGCGATGTGGTTAGCGGTGGTGAGGGTAAGGTAGATGAATTTGCCGTCCTGGGTTATGTCGGAGCTAGGGCTGTTAGCGTGAACGGAAGGGAAAAGGAGGGAGGGAGACATACTAGATGGCAATGGTATCTTGAGCTTTTGGTCCGAGATCGTAGAGGAGCTCTACTACACCTTGGTTGCCATTTGAATCATAGCGGAACGGGTAGACGATCCAGACTTGGCCCAGATGGACGGCTGTTGCGAGTGCGGCTGATTCGTTGTTGCCAGGGATGAACTTCACGTCTTGAATTCCGCCTCCCTGTGGTCATTGTCAGCGAGGACTTATCCTCAAACCATTAGCACAAAGGATTCTACCTACGTTTGGAATGGTAAGCGTGCTTATGATAGTCCTAGAAGCCAGATTCCAAAGACGAAGAGTGTTCGCATGTTGTATACCGAGTGATGGCTTCAAGATCGTGACCGGGACCACGAAATCGGAGGTAAGAATGAGGTTCTTATCCCAATCAACGCTGAGACCGTGGGGGCTGAATTGTTCTCCGAGGATGTTCAGAGTTCCGGCAACATCTTCGGGGTACTCGTGAATGATGTTGAAGTTTGCGTCAGTCTCAATGAGACGACCTGGTGAAGTTCCAACAGCAGCTTGAGAATATTAGCAAAAAGTCCTTTATTGACCATATCTAAGACTTACAGCCCATGTATGTGATCAAGAATCCACTATTAGAGGAATCAGTATTGCTCTGCAAGCATGCTTGAGGTGACGTACCCATCTGGCTTAGCGCGAATTTCATCCGTGATCGACGCCAAAATACCACGATTGCTTTTCTTGAAAGCTGGTCGGTATGGGTTGGAGACATCAAAGTAGTATGCAGTGTCCTATATGATGTGAGAGATTACCAGGCTATGGAAACTGGGTACTCACCTGCGTCTTCAATAGAGAAAGCAACCCACCACCAATCAGAGTCTGGCCGTCGTGGCTGACACCAAGATGATGAGGACTGTTCCCACTAGACGGAACATCTGCAAGCCAAAGAAAGGTTCCAAATGTATCCTAGGTTTGTCAGTCATTACGAAATGTAATCCTGTCTTGGTCTCTTACATCGTCAAGACTGTAAGCAGCCAAGAAATCTTAATTACAAAGTCAGTATTCAGCTCATTCAAAAGTGGAATGAACCCACCAGCATGCTCGTTGTCTCCAGCACCAGTCCAAAAGTATCCAATCTTCTTGGGTCTGATGTTACTTCCGGTGAACGGAGGACTCGGCAATGCAGGAGTTGGAATCTGCAGGATTGGCAATGGCGGTGCGTTGCTGGCCAAAGGTTCAGTGACACCAGGAATAGACGGGATCAGAGGTGGCAATGAAAGCTGCGCCTCAGGCTCAGCTTCTGGCACTGGGGATGCCAGTGCGGTCGAAGCCAGCAAGGCAATGGTCACGAATGATTTGATCATTGTGAGTAGAGTCTCGGCACTTGAAATTGAGAATGAGACTGAAGTGGAATGGGTTGAGAAGGTATGAGAAGGTTGTGAGCGGATTTAGGGATCTTTTATGGTTTATATAACATGCTGTCCTTCCCCATCATCCTCCTCGTAGCTCTGTAGTAAAGGGGCGACAGAAGCTTGGATGACCACCACTCCGGCCACACACTGCGCGGTAACCTCGTTCTGAAAAGCAATTCCATGGCAAAATGTCGTCATCAGAAAGTAAATGTATAACATTCTTCAAAAGCTGGAAGTCTATAACTACAACCAGAAGGGATCGACAGTGGCATAAGGAGGTTTTAATCATAGGATCGCGCTTGGGAAAGAAATGGAGACAGAAAGTAGGTTGGAAGGTGTGACTATTGAAACCATACAGAAAGCTAATGTTGGCCTCATCACACCCTCTCATCACATACTTCACCTGATAGTCTCGGAGGTGAGAGCAGCCGGAAGAATCTCCGAAGTGGGAGTGAAAATGGATAGCATGGCAAGGCTGCGGGATTGTGATCGTCGACTTCACCTTGGCAAAATTGTTACCATTCAGAACCCATCCAATCCTGTTTGACATGCAAGATGCGTCCAAAATGGCAGATGAGGATCTTACTTAAGACGAAAACTTATCAAGTCCCCGATGCCTTGGGACATGGTCCCCGAAAAATATGTTCCCTGGTAAACACGCCAGTAGTGCCATTCATACTCTATGAAAGTACGACTACTTGCATAGCTCTTCCCGTACTGTTCCTGAAGATCTGTGATCGTCCTAGGATCAAGACCCTGAAGATCGCCGACGTGAAGGGCAGGGTAATAGTACTAGTCCAACGGCGATGGAAAGGTATGGGAAAGTGAGGAGGGGTAACGCTTCTCGCTCTTGACCTTCTCGTCAACACAGAGGACCAGCTGTGTCATCATCTCGATTGAGTTGATAGAGTACCAGAGAATTTGATGCTTCCAACGTGATTTTGCTCTGTTCTCTCGAAGCGAAACACAACAGCGGGAAGTGATCCAACAGCCGGCGGAGAGACTTCTCTCAGAGAAGGTACGGCCCGCTTGTCACGACCATCATGAGAGGCACAACTCTTCCAAACGGTGATCTTCATGACTTGAAAAATCAATCTCGTGGCGTTATGCAACTCATAATTTTAAGAATTGTATTTGTCCTGCTGACAAGGTTCTCATCTCAAACAGGAAACACCAAAACAAAAGAAAGCCAAAAGCGCTGAATGTCAAGATCACGACATGTAAGCTCAGTGCCGGCATTTAGTAATGCCGTTCTCGAACCTCGCCCAAGATTTGTCATTCCAAGTTAAAATGTTCAGGCTGAAGTGAAACGTTGAAATGTAGAATATCTGCCAAGCATGGCGACATCCAAAACAGCATCCGCGATAGGAAGATCGACATTTCTTGGCAACACAAAACCACGAACAAGAAGTAAAGCCCGGGGCTCGTTGTCTGAATAAGCTTAAAAAGTAGCTTGGTACGAAAGCTTACTAGCACGAAGTGGGGGAGTTAAGATGGACGATCACATCCAGAGTCTGGGGATGTCGAAAGAACGCCAATAATGTACTCCATTTGGTGGTAATTGATATTGTAGCATCCCAACTTATGCTCGGCGCTTCATTTCCGCACGAGGTTGTCTGGAGGGGATTGGTGTCGCTCAATTTGAGGGGCGGGGGTGGATATATTTAAGGCTGAATGTCCATATTTCTGCAGGCATAAGTTCCTGCATTCCCGGATACCAGGTTCACATCTCTTCAACACTGCAACATTTAGAATGTGGTTCCCAAACGCTGTAGCCCTGCTTTCTGCAGCTGTCGCAGTCTCGAGTACCCCGGTGACTGAATCTGGAGCACATGCTCTGGAAAAGAGGTCGGGGCCTCAATTCGCACAAGGAGAACCGATCGACGGCTCCGGCAAAGGAGGACCAATTCTTGGTACGTCGATTGTCTTGATCATCTAGAAACGCGGAGACTGATATTGGGCAGGTGGAACAAACCATCAGCTCGACATCCAGAACCCCGACAATCTTGGTGCTCACACGACTGACAATGGTCTGCTTCCGAATCTGAAATGGAGCTTCAGTGAATCCAAGACGAGAATCTTTAACGGTGGTTGGACTAGGGAACAGATCATTTCTGATTTGCCTGCAAGCACTGATATTGCTGGAGCTCAGCAACATCTGGAGAAAGGTGCTAGTCGTGAGCTCCATTGGCATCGAGTGGTAAGTGAATCTTGAACTAGATAATGACCATGACTGATGAGAACCACCTCAGGCGGAATGGGGTTATCTGTACAGCGGCTCTGTCTTATTGTCTGCTGTTGATGAAAATGGCGATTATCAAGTGGACAAACTCGAAGTGGGCGATATTTGGTATTTTCCAAAAGGATCCGCCCACACCGTTCAAGGTCTGTTTTGGCTGACCTAAGGTGAAATGTGAACTGGGTGCTGATTGGTGCAGGTCTTGATGACGATAACGAGTATCTGTTGGTATTCGACGACGGTAAATCATCTTTCAAGAGAACCCATCGATCTTTGCTAACTCAATCAACAGGCAATTTCGAAGCATCCGGGTTCGTGATCCCACATGTGCTCTGTCTCTCATCTAAAAAGAATCTAACATTATCTAGGACAACATTCATGGTTGATGATTGGATTGCGCACACTCCAAAATCCATCCTGGCGCAAAACTTTGGCGTCAACGAATCTATCTTTTCCACTATCCCGACTCCAGACCCGTACATCCTCAATGGCACCGTCAGCAACGTCAACACCACTGGGCCTGGTAGTGGCTTGTACGGAAACTCTTCCTATGTCTTTCACCACTCTCAGAAAGAAGTCGTCTCTGTTCCAGGAGGTGGTGGAAACCTCTCGATTGTCGATTCGAGAAATTTCCCTATCGCGACAACGATTGCGGCAGCGATTGTATCTTTGGAACCCGGTGGATTGAGAGAGTTGCACTGGCATCCGAACGTAAGTTGCTGAGAGTTCGGTGTAGAGGTATGAGCTGACATCACAACAGGCTCAAGAGTGGCTTTACTTCCACCAAGGTCAAGCGCAAGCCACGGTCTTCATTGGCGGTGCCAACGCTCGCACTTTTGACTTTACTGCAGGCGATACAGCTGTATTCCCGGACAATAGTGGTACGTCTTCTCTATCTGACTTGTTCGTTGATATCATCGGCTGTCGAACGCTTCAGCTAACATACCACCAAGGACACTATATCAAGAACATCGGGACGGAAAATCTGGTCTGGATCGAGATATATCGCTCGGATCGGGTTGCCGACATCAGCTTGACTCAATGGTTGGCTCTGACTCCGGCAAACATCGTGGCCAACACGCTCAAGATTCCCCTCAACGTTGTGCAGCAGTTGAAGAAGCAGAAGCAGCTTCTAATCAAGGGTAATTGAAGGACACTTGTTGAAATCTAAAATGGAGATATGTTCTTGTCCAGGTCTTCCTGAATTAGGGGGCTTGGATCACCTTGGGATGCACACCAGGATTCTTTTGTATTTTAAGTTCGAAGTTCCGTCGAAGCTGTAGTGTAATACAATAACAATTCGAAAATCGCAGGTGAAAAAGGCATACATTAACGAACATGCGAGACCACCAGGACGTGGGCGAAAATCAAACCCTTTTCGACGTGGGAAAATCCGCCGACGTCAGTTTGAGCTGGCTTCTCATCTCTAAACAATTGCTTCTTGATCTTTTAGCAAGATGAAGATCTCATTCTCATGTAGAGACTCGAGATAGTGGAGAGGTTAGAGACGAAGGACAGCAAAGCTGATCCAGTCTTTGAAGATCCAGCTGGAGTGTAACAGAAGATGAGAAGACGCCGATGATCTTCATTACCAGCTTGGGTGCTGAGGCGCTCAAGCATACAAAACACAAATGGCTCAACTACAAGCATGCATATGTAAATTCTCCGAACTTAATAAATATCTTGACTTGTTTTTGTTTTCGATATCTACAGATCACGTGTATACAACGATTGCTGCCGAACTGATTCTTGCTGTAGACAACACACGTTGCAACACTTTCATGCATTCTCCATCGATCCGCCAACTCCGCTCATGGCTACTGTGATCCCTTTACGAACTCTTCCACCTTGAACGGCATTACTCGTTACTGGCAAGTGCTAGGGTTTGACTTGTTTCATTGATCTTTGGACTCAATTGTCTGCTTCAGCTTGTGCCTATGTACAAGCTGCGCGTCTTGGAACTGCTATAAGTGCCTCTCAACCTCTGGATCGAGCATATGCTTACTTGCAGGCTTCAAGGAATCTTCTTTAGTAGTCTCTACTATCTGGTTACCTTCTACTCTCCGATCCGATCCATTCTTCAAAACGAAACGATTACAGGAACCGTACCACGCATGCCGTATTTAGAAGTTGTTGCCAAGCAGGGCTCTGTCGGAATTATCGAACGAGCGTGGCACATCGACGTTCTTCCGTCTCTCTCCTCAGTCCGGCGCTATCCTCGCCCAGCGATCCCTCCTTGTTGGCACATCCGAGGCTACAAATGCATCGAAACCCACAATGAAGACCATGGAGTCAAGTCGTAATTACTGCAGATGTCAATAGCACAAATATGAACAAGCCGCAACGCCCGTGGGCCCTCTCCGGGAGGAAAGGTATTGCTTGGACTGTCTCAGGAAGGTTCAATAAGAGTTACAAGCTCGCATACCGTAGGTCGAAGGAGAAAACACACCAAGGAAGCCAGAGTATAGAAGGAGATCCGATGGGTTTATCATGCGGGAGGCAGTCGATTTCATTTGCGCGAGCACCGAGTGAGCATAGCACTGCGTACTTGATACATCGTTTGACCTGATCCAGAAAGTCAGGAAGTAGTGCTTGAAGCACTCGATCAAGTTATCAGGTCTGGTGATGCCACATATCTTTGTCTGTCAAATATTTTCTACCATTGCCAATTTTTACTTCGGATACATCTCGTTCCTCCTCGTTCATGCTCTGTTATTCCTTGAAGTACTCTCTCTCCCAAATCTCATACTGCTAAAAAAGCAATTCAACACTTTTTCTTTTTGTCCTTCGTCGTGGTGTCAGCGTCTCATTCGCCGCCCAAAACGCCACATAGCCGAGCTGAATCAGAGGCTGAAACTTGACCGTCGAAACTTAGTGCAAAGTCTCCGAGATTGGTGGAGAAACTAGATCCTGGAAACTGGTTGATGGAACGTCAGATGCGATGTGCAACAAAGTGATGCCAGAGATCAGAACAACCTGGAATGGAAACAATGCCGTGCGGTCCAAGCCACGTGATTGAAATACAGAAACGAACGGCAAGCTCCATTTCCATGTCGCGCTCTCTTTGGTACTACTGGGCATATCTCGCTCCTCCATGGTCATTCCAAAGCCGGTCCCCGGCGTTTCCTCTCATTCCGCTTCAAGTTTTCCTCGATCAGATTTGAGCTTCAGTCAGGGACGCAAGGAATCATTGTTCTTCGAATCTCTACTTCTGACTTCCTGGACGACTTGAGCTTGAGTTAAAGAACTCAATCATGACCGAGAATTCAATAACAAAGCATAGTCCATCATAAAGTCTCCCAACTATCTTCGTGGTGAGTAGCGGCGGCACGACCCGACCCGGTGCCTCGATCTTATAAGTCTTAGCGCAGAACCTCATTTGCGCCATCGATTCGAAAATGGACTGTACGCAAGACTTGCACGAAGAATTTTACCAGTTCAGATCTGAATCACGGTTTATAAAAATCGTCAAGGGCGTTCACAGTGTCGTCATTCTTCCATCCCCTTCACACAACACTTTCACCCAAAGGCTTTCTCGAGGTTCGACAAAATTTAAGTCCGATACCAATATGACTTCAAGTACTCTCACAATAGCTCCTTGTCGCTTTGAGCGAATAGTTGCTCTCATGTTTGAGTTTTCCGAACCAACTATCGATCCAATGCCCGAGAAAACTCGTCAAGGAGGGCCACGCAACTGTTCCCTCGAGACAGTCCGTCGTTGCCTTAGCTTACCAATTGGTTGTGATCCAACAACTCCCTCAACTCTATCATCTCTCACATTCTCCCTCGACTGCGAAGACGTCGTATTCGTCTCCGTCGACACAAAGCGAGTGGACCTCAAAGAATTTAGCATCTCCGTCCTCGATACTCGAGACCTCAAATCTCTGAACCGCACCTCCGATTGCTCGTCAGTCATCAAGACTTATAGCTACGCCTACCAAGCAGTTGGCAAGGTCGGACAACAGACATGCGATGTTTGCCCCCCACTTCAGCGCATTGAGGAGCGCTGGGTCCCGCGCCTGCTCAACAACATCCTTTGCACAGGCTCTCCTGATCCCAAGGTGGAGGAGGAACGAGTAGTCATCTTAGTCGGTTCTTCGATTGGCACTGATCCCCAATCACCTTTCGGCAGTCCCTTCGGATCGGAGCCCGTCGTTAAGGTTCCTCTTGTTGACATTGTACAGCTATGCGCTGATGGCTTTGAGACCATGGAGGGGCCTGTAATCTTGGGTGTACCGGAGGAGTATTTTTGTGATGCCTGTCTGATGTTCAAGGTAATGATGATCTTGGCGATTGACAGTAGTGATCTCGGCACAACGGAGGAGCAAGAGAGGAGGGCGGTCTTGGAAGCTGTTGTTCATGCACATTTGGCATAGCTGTAAGATCAGATTGAGCATCTTCGTGTTGGAGTACTAAGAACGGCGATTGAAGGGGATGGTTGATGAGGTATTTATCAAAGGAGAAGAAAACGCAAAACTACCAATTGGTGTTGTTTCTTTCTCCAGAATCTTCATCGTTCAGATGTAGATAGTCACTTGCAAGAATGCAGTTTTTAAATTTTTCGAACTCATCTCGGGATTTGTCACTGGCTGATATTCACTGCGTGCCTCGTTCTTCATGCTTGGCTTCCTAATTTCACATCATGGCTTCACATGAAAGCCTTGACCCTGATCCCTTTGGTCCCTGGTTGCTGGATAGGCAAGAACGCATCACTCTCAATCTCAACATCTCGAAGACCCGTCTCCCACAGCTCGAACACACCAACATCATCTTTGCCTCTGCATTCCTTACTACCCCACTGTCTCCAGATTGCGCTCAGTCCCAGATACAACTCAGCATGAGCAAGATTTATGCCCATACACTGCCTACTTCCCGCTGTAAAACTCACCATATATTTGTCGATCGCTTTGTTCTTCCCATCAAGCCAACGCTCAGGAGAGAACAGTCTTGAGTTGGGGAAGATGGACTGATTGTGGTGGATCTGAACACCGGTCATACCAATAGGAGTATTCGGCGGGATAACATATTTCTTGTCCCCATCCATGAACACGATCTCGTTGTCCGGATCTAAGCGTGCAAGGCGACAGGACACACCATAGGTGAGGCGGAAACCTTCTTTCATTACAGCATTGAGATATGGAAGCTGTTCTAGAACAGGAAGAGGGATGGTTCCTATCATCGATATGTCCGGAATTGCTGTCGTGAGCTCGTCCTTCAATTTACGAAGAGTCTCGGGTTGACGAATAAGCCAGAACATCACGACTTCGAAGACCCAGGCTGTGGTCAGTGTTCCAGCCATGGTTAGGACGTGTGCGTCGTCCGATAATCGGATGTCTCGCTTCTCGTGCTCGGGAAGTTTGCTGGAGAGGATGGAGTGGAAGATTGTTGGGTGGGAATGGTCTTCGTGTGCATTGTTAACACCGGCCTGGATAGCTTGAATCTGTGCGAGGACTGCCTGTATATAAAGTTAGAGTGCTTGGTAGAGGAGGCAGGTCGGCATACTCGTTTCTGGGCTACGAATGATGCCATTGCTGGATGCAAGAGTTCCGCAATGCTGTTTGGAAGTGATTTCATCAGGTCGTTGACCCAAGGTGCGTGTTTAAGGAAACTTCCTGCGGTGGAACCGAAAAATGATGCATCTCGATATGAGGGGTCAAAATCTTCGGCCTCTGAGATTCATAGCGTCAGAATAGGTTTGTGGAATCAAGGCGCTCTACTCACCTAATCGTTTATCACGTCTTCCGAAACAATACATCATGACGACATCTGCCAAGTTAGCATATGATTTGAAGAACTGCTTTTCCCATATAATTTCAGCTCACCATTTGTCAAAGCCGAGAAAGCCCAGCTAGCCATCAACACCTCTCCTGTTCCTCGAAACCCTTTCAACCTTTCGAGAAGCAAATCGACCCTCTCTTGAATCACAGGCTGCAGTCTCCTCACACTCGCCATGCTAAAGTACGGGCTTAACGCCGCTCTCCTCATCTTATGCAAATCATGACCTGCAGTTCCAAACACACTGTAATCCAGACCAAAAGACTTCGAGAACCACTCATACTTATCTCTTCGATGTCCAGAGGCTGAAGAGGCATACAAGGTATGGTAGAAATCTGGGTCGGAAATATGGATTTCCCAGGGTGAGATGCGGATTATGGGTCCGTATTGTTCGTGCAATTCGATTATCTTGAAGGTATATTTTCCGCCGAGGTAGAGATCGTAGTATGCTTCATACCTGCCTGAATTAGTACTGTTTGCACATCGAAATACGGTAGCCTACTCACAATCTCGTGAGGGCTGCAAGTTTTGGGCCTGGGATGTGCGCAATCGGGCTAAGGTACAAGCGGTGAACAATCCCGTAAAGCGTGTATGCAAGTAGACCAAGCGAAGTGAATAGTACCAATCCCATCTTGCAACTTTGAAGCAGATGTTGGAATTGAAGACGAACGAAGTGAGAGGGAAGTGTGGAAATATAGTCTTTCGATCGTGCGATGTTCTCTTATCGAGGTAGTACATGCATGCAATGCAAAACAAATTACCCTGCCTGCATGTTTCCGCGATAGGCGTTGCATTTCTGCAGGACTTGTCGCATTCGTTCCAGTCACAAATCCAGGAAGGTGATTTGACGCCAATACGGATCGCCTCGCATCGAGACTGCTTCGGTTGTTGGGAACGATGCAGAGAGGCTTGAAAATCTTGAGAGTTTAACCAATTTGAACGAATGTATCGTAAACAAAACGAATATGTAGCAACCGTCTGATAATTGCGAGTGAAGTGGAGTCTTCGGGCGAATTCGGCTCGGCTCCCCTTCGCTTAGAAGTAGACGCAAACAGAGCAATTTCAAAAACTCAATAACGGAAGAGTAAAAGTCATTTCTGAAAGATGGACTTAAAAGAAAAATCGGAAGCATACTATTAGAAAATTTTGCAAGAGATTTGCCCCGGCATCCTGAGATAAATCCCAGGGCCCAGGGGTCCCCGCAGCCGAAATTTTACTGGACGTGTTCATTCCAGGGGGCAACTACTCAGCACCGAAGTACCGTGCCAAATATTTGCTTATTTAAATTTATAGCTATGATGGGCGGTATAGCGAATGTAAGCGAGCTTGGTCGAAGGTGAAGCTAACCGTAGAAGCACTTCGATCATTTAATTTTAGCATAGACTTTCCTCTTCACCGGGTGAAAGATTCGAGGATTCGAGAAATCATGTTACATAAACTGCTCATGAGCAGAAAAGAGACTTATCTTCCAGATTCACCCTTGCTCACGAGCTTTTGAGTTAGTCCAACTTCCGCTTGGGTCCAAGTCCTAGTGACGTAGTTTCGATTTCGCTCCCAAGAACGCGAAGATTGTCTTCTTCAAGAGCAAGGCAAACGAACCTCCAATGACACCCCAAATCTTAAGTCCATTCAAACACGCATGCAAATACAGAGTGCCAGCCCGGTCACACGTCGCAGAGAGCCAGAAGAACCCGATTATCCAACCTCACCACAGCGGCGCTTATATCCCCAAAGTAGATTGAATTAATGTATCATATATAATAATCGTTCAATATTTGCGAGTGAGATCGAGTTTTCGAATACGAAGCCGACTCTTTTTTCCGCTTAAAGATAAGCACAAAAAAGCTTTTTGCTTAGAGTGTCTGAACACTGAGATAATACATACCCATCTTGTTCACATCCACTGGTGACTATTCGAGGCGAGAGGGCCGACTTGTATATGCATTAGCCAACAGCAAGTTAGATCTCGTTCATTATGCAGGCTGAGTCATGATCAGGAATGATAGATATCAGGATGAAGACCCGATACGGGAAGATGTTTGTTTTTTGGTTGTTGGAGATTTTTTGCGGTGGAGTTGACTCTGGGTTCGGCATTTGAAATCTGCTGGTTTGGCATATTGCTTTTCCCGTTGGCTTTATAGCTTATCATCCCCTCAAGAGAGCGATTCATGTCTGAGTTGATTTCTTGGCTTGTGCATTCTTATGAAGTCTGATACTGTATTTTTACCCCGATACCCCGCTACTGTGTCACTTTACCACTGCCGGAGTACCACGAGCGCGAGTATTCACACCAAGGAAACAGACATACTTGTGGTAGATAGTTCTCAGCTTCGGGGGCACGTCTGTTTGCTGAAATTTGTATTCTAGAGTCGTGATGATTATTTAGACTCCACGGATGAATAGCGAATGTCCTCGACTCTCGGTTAGCGATAATTGATCGAGGAATCAGTTTCGCCTCACTGCCTCGACATCAAACTGCATCAGGGAATATCGAAAGCAGCACGCATCAAGATCCCAAGTCTTCGATTTGTTAGTCTATTTTGTTCTAAACTGATCTAATGTTTCTGACAGGCTCAGGGGTTCAGATGGTGAGGTAGAAACCGAGCAGTTGGACATCGTGCAAGTCTTCACTCGTCTCAGTTTGGCAAGGCAGCTTTAGAGGCAGACTGCGCGAGGGAGGCTGAGATGCTTCTGAATGTCATTGGAGAGCTGCAGGGCAGCTTCTGAGGCGTACGGGATGGGCCTGGAACGAAAAGGCTGTGCCGCTGTCGTTTATTAGGCAGGGCTGAGGGTGCATGGCCAGGCCCAGTCCATCCACCTAGATAGTGCTCACAGCGCACTGAATACTAACATGGAACCATATCGCTAATACATCCTAGGAAGCCAACATTCACCATTTTGTCTGAGCTACACCTATGGCTTTCGCTCCTCCGCTGTGGCAATCATAAATTGACTTTTGCAATGCCATCCCGCGCAGGTAAAAGGTTCTGGAGAGCTCGAGGAGCCAAGGTCCAAAATCTTCAGCCGGACTACAATACCCGCTGCAGGTGCCATGATAGCGGTAGTGGAACTTTTAGATGGGTGAAGGACATGGCAGATGGAATAAGATTCGAATACAGAACAGAATGAAAAGAACACGAAACTCGGGGTATCTGAAACACTATGTCGTGCCACGTTACACAACTAACCAGAGTTAGTGGCCAGCAACTCGTTGAGGTGAGACCGACAATTCTCCAGAAAAATTCCGTCGTCCAGCCATTGTCTTGTTTCTAATGTATTTGAAATGCATGAAAGCAGTTCCTCAAGTAATTCACGACTCTAGCTCCAATATCCTAGCAGAATTCCATTCATCCAAAGCCTCCTGCCGATATTCCTGAAGCAACTTTACAATGCCAAAATTCGGCTCAAAGTAGTCTTCCTTGGCAATTCGAAGAGCAGAGGCGTAACGTCTCTTTGTTGGAAGATGGCTGTCAGCCCCAGCGTTAAGAAATAGCTGCACTATATCTAAGGCGCCGTATATAGCAGCTGTCTCAAGAGGAGTTCTGCCAAAGACTGTGCTTTCCGGTCCAACAGCATTGATATTAGCCCCCTTTTCAAGCAGAAGTTGAGCGATTGCAAAACTTCCGCCCCTTGCAGCGTATTGAAGAGCTGATCCTTGGTCTGAGTAGAACCCATAGTCATATATGTGTGGGTCTGCATCAGCTCCATTATCTAGTAAGAGTTTTACTGCTTCTAAATGCTCTCCAAGCGTGGCAGCCATGAGAGGCGTTATGTTGCATTTCCAGTATTGGTTCACTGGTGCTCCTCGTTCCAGAAGTATGCGGATAATCTCCAAGTTACCGTCACTAGCAGCAATTTGCAGTGGTGTGTCCTTCGGTTTATTGACTGCTATATCCACGGCTGCACCGCGGCTCAAGAGAAGTTTGGCAACTTTGAAATTCTGACTCGCGGTGGGTAAGTGACTCTGCCTCAGAGCAGCCTCAAGCGGAAACTCAACATCACCTGGGGCAATAGAGTTGACATTTGCACCTCTTTCCAGAAGCATGGTCGCCATCTCAACATCGTTGGATCTTGCTGCTAGATTTAATACAGTAACTTTGAATCTCGAATTCTTGCACAAATGTGCTGGGGTGTCAATATCGGTGCCGGTGAGTAAAAAGTCTATTATGTCAAAACGTCTCCACCTGACGGCGGTATGGAGAAGTGGTTCCAGATGCTCTTCCATGCGGTATGCTCTCGCGGCAATCATCTTTTCGAAGAGATAGATCACTACCAATGAGTCGACTGGTGGGTTTGAGGTGATTGACATGTGCAACATCGTAGCCCGTTCGGAAGATGATCGTACCTGTCCCAATCTCCGAGGTCGATCCCACCATTCATCAAATTTGTCTTCCACTAAGTCGTCGTCCCTCGGTAGCTTGAACCAGCAAGCCTCGTCAACTACTTTGGCATCAATACATGCTCCTGAATTTACTAGATTATGCACTGCTTCTATATTGCCTCTCTGAATAGCATGGCATAATTGAGTTCTTGAACAAGCAGCCTCATTTTCAAGCTCTGCATGTCCAGATTGGACAACCTGAAGAACATTTGAGTCGCTTCCTTGTGCTCTTGCTGCTTCGATCACGGCCATTAGAGCTACTGCGTCAGGCCTCCAAGCTAAGGGTTCCAATTCTGCGCCGAAATCAAGCAGAAGCTTGACCATGACAAGATTCTTATTTATCGTCGCAGTCAACAAAGCTGTTCGAGAAGCCTCATAGTTTGTCGCCGAGGCGTTTACATCTGCTCCATGTTCAAGAAGAAACTTTGCAGTATTGACGTGTCCGAAGTGGACCGCAGCTTGAAGCGCTGTCATGGCACTTTGACCTTGTAGTGGCTCGTTGATGTTTGACCCTTTCTCAAACAACAGCTGCACAATATCAGTGCGGCCTCGTGCTGCAGCTGCCTGGAGTGCCGTCCCTATGAACGACATCGTAGAGAAGTTACTAAGCTCCTCGATGGTAAGGTCGGATTGGAAAACCTCATCGGGACACACTGTCTGAACATGAACATCTGCGTTACCTTCCAAGATGAGCCGCAAAATCTCTGTCTGGCCACCAGACACCGCGAGGCTCAGTACAGTCACCTTACCCCAGCGTTCATCAATCAAGACTCTCCCCCATATATCATCTACCAACCCACTAAAGTCTCCCCAGTTCCCGTCTACGAAAACGTTGACGTTCGCACCAGCTTCGATCAAGAATTGTACCATTTCAGTGTCTCTCCTCTGAATAGCTGATAGTAGGGCCGAGTCACCAATATTCTTGACCCTGGCATCTTGAGAAACAGTGACAGCCACTTCTTTAGAAAGTAAATTTGCCATGGTAATTGATTGGCAATCTCGAAGCAGTCCTGCTTTGACCCTTTCCAATTGCTTAGTTGTGAAGATATCAAGCCCAGATTTCAAGAGTAATTTCGTCATCTCAACATTATTATCCCTGATAGTGTCTGATAGTAGGGATGTCGAGCGTAACACAAACTCTTGTAAACCATTGTCTGTACGTAGAAGGTCTGCCACCAGGCTCTCTCGCCCGGTTCGCAATCCAAAACGGAGCAATTGAAACCGGAATGCTTGAAGTGTAGGCGATTGATTTTGGAGATTTCTCATACTTTGCATTGGAACATGGTCCGCAACCCAGTGCATAGCTTGATTATATCTCAGGACATCAGACGTAAGTAGACTGTTGGAACAGAGGTATATGATGATTTCGACTAGGCGAATGCCAGCAGAAAGCTGAGGAGGTCCAAGCAAGGTATCTAAAGTGATGTCTTTGTCGCCTGATTCTCTTTCTGGCATATTGGCCAGCATCTTGGGCAAGAAGTACTGAATAGCCTCCAACTCATCTAAAGTGTCGCTGGTTAGAGAAGCAATAACGTTGCTGAAGAGAAGTGGTGCGAAAGAACGGATGATCGTAGGATTGCGCCTTTGGTTCGAAAGTTCCAAGGAAGATTCAGATAGCGTCTCTTCCCTAGATAAGCTCATGAGATCACCCACTGTATCAAGATCGTCAAGCTACATGAAAGGGTCCCAATGATTGGACGGCTCAGCATCAAAGATCTCCGGTTGGAAGAGAGTTTGCTCACTGGCTGCAAAACATGGTTAAGCTCATTCAACTGGCGAATATTCTGATGACGTATGAAGTACTTACCCAAGTCTATTAGATGGAAGAGGTCTAGAAATTGAAGATATGGGATCTGCTTCTGCTGTCCATGGTACGCTGCGTCTGAAGCAGAATCAGCGTGATTAGTCTTTGGCTTCGATCAAGCTCTTACTATTGCATTGAGTCTCCTTGTAAGGATCATTTGAGACCACAAACATAATGACAACATCGTCACCATCCTCACGCGAGTCATTTGTGGGCCTGGCCTTTGAGGAAGAGGCGATTCTGGGTACCTGGGTGAGTGATCTCCTTGTATTAGCCGGTCGGCTATAGAGAGGAGTGTGAACAGAGATGCCGTTGGGTGTTGGCGGGGCAGGCGAAAGGTTCTCGGTTCTGTTCAACTCGAGCATCGGGAATTGATATCTAGCCTTCTTGATTTTGCTGTCTGGTACCTCTTGGCCAAACAGAGTGACTAATGTCGGCTTTCCCAGGCCTTGGCGTTTTGCGACTTTGCATAGGATATATTCCCAGCCCTCCTTGGAAACATTCTTGCTGAAGTTCCATTGAGGCTCTTTGAATTTCCTCTGGTATTGGTTTTTTCTAGGAAGTTGGTTAGGGTAATAGCTCTAGCGAAGGAGGAGAGACGCTTACGATGCGATGAACTTGTACTTGGAGTCCATATGTTTCATGATATCTTCGAGCTTCATCCCCTGATGGCGAAAACGCTGTATTGTTGATTTGTGCTTGTTCCATTCTCCCACGGATGGAGGTTTCGTAATCGCTGGCGGCATCGTCTTTGATGGGGAAGTCACGATCGAGGCCGTGAGCTCCAAATGCAAGTCTCAGATAGTCAAAGTAACGAAAGGAACTACAAAGTGTGATACAATCAGTGGTAGACAGACTGATTTCATACTGTGTCGGTTTTGAATATGGCTCTGATTCTAGTCTGAGGTGCTGACGTGCGGTGTGTGCAGGTGTGTGCATGTGCTAAGCCGCAACGCCCGAAATGTGAGGCTGCAGCACCCATGCAGCCCGCTTTCCGATTGGAAGTTGCGAAAATATTATCGTAGCACTATCCAATTTGGTGTACCTTTATCCTTCCGAGTGCTTCAAGTGCCACATCGAGACCGATTCGTGAAAAGGGACTTTCTGAATGGTCAGTTCAAAGATATTAATGGGGCTAATCCTTGAACAGACATAGCCCACCAGCTCAGCTATCTTTACTGGTCATGGATTATATCAGTTCGCCCAGACTTAAGTCTTCAGGGCCAAATGTGGTACTGGAAACCCATGTTGATTCCTACAGTCATTGACCAATCCTAACGCGAGAAAAAAATGCCGGGCGCTCCCAAGTCACAAATCAATCATTTCTCGGCTGCCTCGAATAAGGTCTTCAGGCGTGCCATCATTCTTCGGAAAATGATCAAAAGGGTCGCCAAAGGAAAGGTATCAGCATGCAATGTGCTACAGTCCAGAAGATATATTAGCTAACTATAGTTTCAGGAAGCAAGCAATCCATTCCTCAAAACGATCAAGATCTTTTGTTCCAAAACAGAGACAACGGATGCCAAGATGATCCTCGACACAGGATGCGAAGCTCACAATCTCATATCATATCAAGTCATTGATGATATGCACAAGACCGAGAATATCATTAAGTCTGCACAGCCCATTTGCATCTGCCTCAACGGCGAGACCCTTGTTTCGATGGGTACGATTATACTTCGCTGGAAGGGACGCGGCTTCCGCAAGATCTTCGAGACGACTTTCAATATAATCGAAGACAATGATCTGCCTTAGCAGGACATCCTCGGCGCTGAGACAATTAGAAAGGAGTCCATCTTGAAGTTCATGGGCTTTGGAGGACGTACTATGCTTCCGAAAAAGACGAAAGGTATGAAACCATGAATTACAGCACCTACGCCAAGTTTTAACAAAGTTTCTTAGATGAGAAAGCCGAAGCAGCTGAGCGACGAAGAGAACATGACCAAGAAGTAGCAACAAATGAAGCAGATATAGCTGCAAATGAGATGGCAAAACAGTCGGCTTCAAGCTGGTCCAATTGGGAATGGGACGAAAGTCAACAATCCTACTATCGAGCCAGGCTTATTGGAGGTAGGTTCTTGTCCTAATCAAAAAAGGAGGGTTCCATACACTAAATTGATGTTCAGATGCATGGCAGTACCAATACTCCACCAACCTCATTTGAACAAGATGGAGAAGCATATCACGAGGAATATCGTTTCATAATGAAATTTTTCCCATATACTCTGCTTTCAATATTCCATCACCGGTGTTTTGGCTCCGTTCTTCCTTCCATTTCCTTATGGAGGACTCGATGAGATTTAGCTAGGCTGTATTGCTCCATCCATTACTAGCAGAAATGAAAACAACTTGGACAGCGGCGAATCTTTGTTGTGAGCAAGTCAGTCTCACATAACATAACATGAGATTAGAGATTACCTACGTTGAAGTTGCCATAAAAATCTCTCCCCTCTTAGATGAAGTGAATACAGAAACACAAGAGGTAAACATCAGAGTGAAAAGAACCGTAAGACCGAGACGAAGCTTCATCGAAGACGCAAAGTAAAGTACGACCGTCGCCAAGATAGGAAGTAAGGATGCAACGACGTTCGTGACAAACGATGTATACTTCGCTGCGACGTTGCTCGAATAGTAGTTGATGCCGGACTCAAGATCACCACCGGATTTAGAACGGCGATGTCGAAAAGTGTAGTGAAACCAAGCAATGAATTTCCGACTGAACCATCTGGAAAACTTATCTTCGCATCCACCGGAATTCAAAGTAAACAAATCGTGAGAGTCGAATGGTTGATCAGTTCTACCCCACGTCTCTCGATCTGCTCCGATCAAGGCGAGGTTTCCAAATGCTTCTCTTTCGAGCCAATCTTGTAATGCTCTAAGATCATGCTTCTCTGGGTTCGCTAGTCGACTTATAGCCGATTGCTGCAGAACTGCCTCGTCTACCTTCGAAGTCAGCAGTAGTCATCAAGAAGCCTCGTAAAACTCTTACAGTATTCCTTCAATTTACTGCGAATAGAGAGTACAGTCTTCAACTGTTCACCCGCGTCTCCATCGGAAGGATTATCAAGCCAATACCAATCCTTGGAATATCTAGCTCGATGTCCCTCGGAGGATGTACTATCAGTAGCTTCAAGACGATGAAGCTTTTGTTCGAGATGCACCAATTCTGCTTGGAGGTAAAGTAGATTTCACGTGCAAAGACCACCAAAGCGTCGGAATACGGCGTTGTCGGAGTATTGGGCCATATGAGATGCCAGCTTCGGGTATCCTTCCACATGTTGAGAAGTTGGATTGTTCATATTTTTTTGATATGAGTTTCGTGCCCGATGGCTACTTTGATTATGACCAGAGAGCGATTCATTTTTCTCTGAGAAAGCCAGAAAAGCCGTTGGAGAGCCCGTTCTAGAGGGCGAAATGCAGCCTTGCATTTTGTACACGTCGTCCAGCATATCAGCGAAGGGATTGAGAAATACTGCCTTGCTGCGCATTGCCTCGCACTCGTGCACTTTTTTCATCTTCGTAATTTAATATGGAAGACGAAAGTCTAATATTATTCGTTGTAACTCGTGAATCGTGAGCGAGCTGAGCTCGAGTCTGAATTAATTGTCCTTCATCTGCATTGCGAGCTTAGAGATCCTCATATGATCCTGAAAATACATAAAACACACGCACGACGATATTTAATTATAAATTACAAAAATATTTAATAACGTGCATTAAAAGTCGTTGAAATTATTTACGTATTTTGTAAAATAAAAAAATATATATTAAAAATTTTAAATTTATTTATTTTAGAAATTTTAGAAATTCTTTATAATAAAAATATTAAAAACATTTAATAAATATTAATAATTTTTAACGAATAATTTGCTTGCTTAGAAAATTCGGAGTAAACTATCAATGAATCTGGTCATATTATCACTAACTGACTAGCTCTATGCCGCCTACTTTTTTGCCGTCTCTCTTGTTGCCACACTTACAGCTTCTCGAATATTTCAAGCGCAACCTTTGCAGTGCTCTTTGCACTCTGTGGGTTCATGCCTGTCACAATTCTCCCGTCGGTGACATGGAAGTCGTCCCAGACGCCAGCAGATCGAACATCTATAAGATCCAAAGCGTTAACAGCTAAATTTCCTGTACTTACCAATTCCAGGAGATACGTACACTTTGCACCCAACTTCTCCGCCCATTCATCAATAAGAGGCTCTCCCCAGCTTTGGATAGGTTCCATGATATGCATATCATATTCTCCTTGGGTAGTGAAGCCTGTGATAGTCTTACCTTGAATTACAGACTTGCCTGTGTCAGGATCAATGACGCCGGGGAAGATTGCTGCGCCATGGCAGCTACATCATCCGCATCAGCTGAGTTGTTCAAATGGCTCAGGATATACAGAAGGGAAAGGGGGAACATACACAGCAGACAAGACACCGCCTTCTACCCAAACATCTGTAGCAATCTTCTGCAGACCCTTCGCGTGGGGAAAGTCAATGAGAGCGGCATGTCCCGCACTAGCGAAGAAGATGCCGTACTAAATTGATCATACGTTAGCTACGTTACTGCTTTTCTGCTTCGATTCAGTTAGTTACCTTCTTCCCATCAATGCTTTTGACATTGGGCATGTTGTCGAGTTTCTGTCGAAATGCCCCGCTTACATCCTCCCACTGCTTCTTGTCCTCACCAGCGAGAAAGTCTGGTTGCTGACTCAACCAATCTGGTACATATTTACCTGTCTCAGACACGAGGTCCACTTCAAATCCAGCGGCGGTGAAAACTTGGAAAGGATGAAGGGCTTCGGAGATAAAGAGACCTGTTGGGTTGCCATTGTGAAGGGGGGCAGTGGCGGAGGTGATTGCGATAACCGCGCGGCGTGGGTGAGACATTGTGAAAGTAACCAGGGCTTGGATTGGATTGAAGGCTTTTAGAAATATAGTATCGTAAGATGGATACAGATTGAAGAAGCCTAGAGTTATTTTTCAAGTAAGGCACAGGGGGTGATATTTATATATGAGGTCAATACCGCTCGCAGTTCTATGGCATTCTGTCAAAGTCATGAGGTGCAAGCTCAATCCTTACAAACTCAACCTTATCGTGAAGCTTAATAATGTCTTTGCATACTCAGGAGTTGTTCTCCCCCTTGTCGTCTGGTCTCGCTTGTCTCGTTACGCTCGGTAAGCTCGCTAATTGGCTCGACTGTCTGCACTCGTCGTCTTAGGGCCACAAAAAATACCCTTCCCCGCTTTGCTGGCTACCGCCCAGACCTCCTCTCTCTGGCAGAGGATTTGCAAAGTGGCTGAGAATTTCAATCATCGAGAAATTCGGCCATATGCAAGAGATTGACTCTGCAGTCAGGAACAAGGGTGCCATACAAAAGCACAACTAAGGGATCAGTGCGTGTGCTTTGAATTCTAGGCTCCTATATAAGCATATGCCTCTCCACTAAACCTTAGTTCTAAGTATACCGCCTCGATTACCTTAACGTCCACATAATTCGTGAAGTGCCAGGATCATTTCATTTATTAGGCAAGTCAATCCTAAAAAAAAAAAGGCTTGACAATGCAGGGCTATCAGAATGCGAGTTAAGCATTAAGATTTCTGCATTCATTAATTGGATTGGAAATTGATATAGTTTCTGCAGGGCTAAAACACATTGATTCTGTTCATAGTCGGCCGAGGTAATTCTTTTAGGCTAATAGAAACTCCATACAACGACATGAACCACGCCCCACCCTCCTTTTCTAAAGCGAACAGTCAGATTAACCTATACAAATTTTTAAATGATTTGTTGATTCAAATCATATCTCAGACAGTAAGTGTATTTTAGCTTGCTTGCTCCACGAGCAACGCAAATAAACTCTCAATGACACCAACGTCCCAAGTCCACTCAAACACGCATGCAAATACATAGTACCAGCCCGATCAGATGCCGCAGAGAGCCACGAGAATCCGAATATCCAGCCTCGCCACAGCGGCTCTTATATTCCCAAAGTACATGAGATATCCACTGCCAACAGGCGTTATCGCAATTGCCACTGGTCGTAAGTCGCCCGGTGGTTGCAAGTTATTCGCTGGTTCGAAGCTATAGATCTCTTCCCCAGGCCCAGTACCCATGACAGCAACTGCCACCATGTGACTCTGCTCTGGAAACGGGGATACTGACGTGCCTGTAAGAAGATTCGATCCAGAGCCTAAAGTAAAGACCTCGGATCCAGGACCACAGAGTCGCCATGGCACTCCAAATTCTTCCTTGAAGAACGAGGTGGAAGGACTGGCGGCGGGGTGATTATGAAATTCAAACCCAAATGTTCCTCGACCGCCACGATTAACGAGATAATGACAGAAATCAAATCCAAATATTGCGCGGCCACCGTTTCGGATGTAAGACTTTAGCTTTTCGAGGACAGCTCTGTTCGATTCGTTTGTCAAGGCATGGTCGGTGACTATGATAACCTTGGGGGTGTTCGTATCGAGATATCGGATGGCACCTGGACGTGTTTTCGCGGATTTTACTACCGCATGGGTCATCAGAGATCTGAAGAGGTCTTCGAAACCGTCGTTATCTCGAGAGGCAAGGCGGAGGAGAAATATCTCTGAGCGGTCGGAGGAAGCCATGGTGCAAAAAGCGGACAGCAAGACCTCTGGTGCAATCTCATCTGAGCTTTACAGAGCTGATATATACAGCCACATCATATCACAAAGAACTTCTGCGTGGCTGACATCGTGGGTCTCAACATGGAAGGGCTTTGTCAAGACGACACAAGCTCAGTCCCTTCTCTAGGATGCGGCCTTCTTTGCTTCACGCCTAAAATAGAGTGAAATTCCTTGCTGATTTTGAAACCAGTGGTAGCTGGAGCTGGTCTTGAAAAGAGGTCACGTGCCAATATTAGAGTCCAAGTTGTCTCATCTTAAGATTTCAGAAGCGTTACTAGACTTAATTTAAGAGTGAGGTAAGTGGTTGTTAGCATTGGTCACGGATAATTAAGCAGGATAAAATGAATATCAAGAAACTGAAGAAGAATGGCACAGACCGAAAGTTATATATTGAGCTGTCGAGGCGTTATAGTGCGAGGAAAGAGTAAGAAGACGACGAAGCATTCGGGAGTATATACTTCAAATAAAGGAGCAGAGATAGGGTGTTGCAGCCCATACGTCAAGTACAAAAAACGTCAAATAGCAACGACGACCCAAACCTCATTCGCAAAAGTGAATCGCCAACAAACTCCTCAAGCACCGAGACAAACGAGTAAAGACAATCATGTAAGCAAAGCAGCAGAAGTAAACAATCGTTAAACCAAAATCAAATGCAAGAAATCATGCGACATGAATCTATGGACCGTGTTGTGCATATATTCCGTTCCGTTCCCAGCTGGAACCTCGAGTCATAATGAGTGGCATAATGTGTACCATCCAGATACAGCGTTGCCGCAGGTCCTACGCCTTCAGATTTGTTTACTATATGGCTTGAATGATGCAAGACCAAAGAGAACGCTTCTCGACATCCCGGGCGAGAGCTGGGGCTGCGTCATACCTTTAGAACGATGCCACATATGTGTTCTAATACCTATCCTCCGGCAGTTAAATGGCCAAGTCAAGCTCAGACACAGACCTATATCAGTTAATGACAGCGATGATGCTAATCATCAATATCGGGAGTGCTAGCTTGACCATTGACCCAATGATCGATCTTGAAGTTTGATCGAAATGCTTTGCTTTTTGCTAATGGTGATGAGTGATGATGGTGATAATGATGTTTCGTTCTTCGATATTTATAGTTTGATGTTGTGAACCGCTCCTAACTTGGGTCTCGGAATTGCAGATGAGCCGGGATGTATCCTCTTGATATGTCTTGCCGCATTGTCGAGCCTTGAGAAGGCTGGCTTGCTAGAACTTCGGCTGGCTCTACAGCTGTCAATGGGACAATAGTACCCCAGGAGTCTCTGATGTGTATCCATATGGCGTTCAAGATCTCTTGGAGTAGCAGCTGTATGTTGACAAGTTGGGTTGGGGCAAGCGTGCGGCTTTATGTGCGTATCTAGGTGTTTACTAACAAGAGTGAGTATTGAAATCTTGCGACTAGAAGAGATGGCACTGACTTGAGACTTGCTCTACCTTCAAAGGATCTTGCACACCCGGGCCATCTACAATCCACTGCATTGATTGTGTGCGATCGAACGTGGTTCCTGAACAATTTCTCAGTTTGGTGCCTAGAAAAGTGGTATCAAACAATGAATGGTAACTTACCTCCGTTCCGTTGAACTGCTAAAAACAATCCCACATTGTTCCCAAAGACAAGGTAAATTGTTGTTCGGGAATGATGACCTTGACTGCCTGACCAGCTCGCTTTGATAGTCATCATATCCTTGCATTCTTTTCCTCGGGTTTGCCTGGAGGCTTCTTGCTGCGACCATTGGGGATGTGGTGACGGGACTTGCCATTTCGATCTCGCTCGCGGTTGACTCCACTAAATCGATGTCTGAGCCTGAAGGGGACGTAACAGAAATCGTAGATGGAGTAGACAGATATGACTTCTCAGGTGCTGTGTGCAAAGACTTTTCCGATTCAGGCCGGGCATCTTGGAGTAAGAGAACAGAGGTGCCTTTAGGATTCTCATCTCTTGGCTCGGACATGAGCCAATCCTGAGAAACTGGCAACTCAAGCTCCGGTAACAACGTGGTTCGATCCAATGTGTCCAGAAAATTGAAGGTATTGCTTAGAAGCGGCGACGCTGTGGGTTGACCACTGCTTAAATCCCAGCTTTGGTCTAGCTCTTGCCAGAAAGGTGAAGAAGGTTCGAGTCCAAGTAATGAGTTGTGAAAGGGTAGATCATCAAACAATTGAATATCGGCAAGCGAAACATCGAGGGGTATATCATCATCAAAAGAAGCGTAAAAAGCATCGAAATCGAACAAGCATTCAAGGTCGTCATTGCAAACTACCAATTCATGATCACGGTTCTGGGATATGTCGCAAGGGCCGGGCTCTGCAACCCGACCGTAGAACGGCGGGAGTCGAAGATGTGAAGGCTAAAAGCCACTCAGGGCCGGATCGAAAGTGCTGAGGGGAGTACCCCGAAGGGGTTCAAGGTAGATGAACTCCAATGCTGGGTTTTTGATGAGCGTGGACTTGTTGGGTGCAGAAGCTTCTTTCGAAGGAATTTCGGGAGGCCTCCCGATTAGTCATCTTACCCTTTGGGTCACCGAGTGATCGACAGCCTCACATACTCACCAGCCTATCATGATCGTGTTTCCTGAAGGCTCAGCTTGAAAGGATCCCTTCACGTGGTTTGGGAGGCCTCCTGCTAGCCTGAGTGATGACTTCTACAACAAACATAGCTCGCGCAAACAAAGTTGCGCGCTGAGGAGCGGTTTATTAGCGATCAACCCGAACGTCCAAATCTTAGGTACTTCATGGATATGTCTAAGGAAGCTCCTCCACGATCAGAGACATCGCTTTCTTTGGTAGACGACAACATAGCCTTAGCACTGATCGATGGCGAGCGAAGGGCATTGAATAACGAGCCAGTTGGCTCATGGTTTGGACTTGGACTGTCCCCATGGCAAGAGCTCGAGCTCCATTTCAAGATTGTGGCATGCCATGCTTCGGACTTGGCCTATATTCTACGACAACGAGCCTTTCAGACGGTAAAACTTCAATGGAGATCTGACTATTTTGCGTGGCGCATGCGGTGTCTAAGTCGGATGTCATTGGCCATGTATCAAACGATTCACGGGTCTGGTCGAAAGTCAAATTCGTTCCAAGATTCCAAAGACTTCCTTGCCACGAGTGCAATTGTCAGTCTCAAAAATTGCATCAGGAACCTTCAGGTATTCGGTTCGTTCTGCCAGGCCATTCAGCACCAATCTGGTATGGACCAAACCTCATGGTCCATGGTTGACCTTGGAGATTGTTCGGACGAGGAATTGGCCACTGGAGCTGAAGAGAGATCATTCGATTTCATGATACACAGCGCAGAGACATGCATTTTGAACGCTGCGAAACTCGTCTCGGAAGCGGCAACAGGGCAAAAGGAGTTGTATGACAAGATCAGCTATCATACGTATGTTGCAAGTATAGACTTCTCAGTTGGCGTTTCCTGATCCATGTAGCAAATATGAACTCACCAGAACACTGGACTACGCTCGAGTCCCCGACTTCGATCTCGAGATCGCCACAAGCGGCGACGGTATTGTTAGCGTCAAAGGGTTGGCTCGGAAAAACGAGGAAGTAGTCATGTTGGCCAAGCGACACCTCCCCCGTGCTATCGAAACAGAACTTGCAGAGTTCTACGGTAACGTTGAGAAACTCTTTTTAGAATGCCAAGAGCCTATGTTACTGGACTCAGCATCACGCGTCTCTCCGTTAGAGGGCATTGGATCACCTCTTCTCCTAAAGAGTAACACCAAACGTACGAGAAACCAACAACTACAAGGCACGCTCGTGGTCTCACTCAACAACATTCGACCCAGAAAGAGAAGAGTGAACGCCTCGAAGAAGAAAATCGTGCTTTCACGAACAAACAGAAACTGGGACCAAACACTCATTCCTTCTCATGATATATTGCTGGTAACTCAAAGACCTTCAGGCGCAAACACCACGTCGCTAACCGTATTCTGGTATTCCGAGGCTGAGATCACCGGCATAGAAGCACCCAGGTCGTACAAAGTTGAGAACGTTGAGATATTCTTCGATGACATGGAGTTGTTGACGATCTGGAAGACGAAACTTGCGAGGATGCAGGCATGGGTAGTTCAAGCGCTTGGCAAGTCTACAAGCCAAGTGGAAGCAGCAGAGTATAATCGAGGGAGGGCTCGAAGTGTTTGATCGGTCTTTCTCCAGGTATTGGTATTTGGGTCGGGATGGAGGTGAACGGCACATTCTTTTGCATGCCCGTTTGAATGGTGATGGAGTGGTTACTCCCAGCAAAGAGAGGAATTCGCATGATGACTGAATGGAAGTGCGCTAGACGAGACGCATTATTTAATGAAGACACGGCTATTACAACTGAAGGAAGGAGCATATCTGCAATCACGTGAACTTGAACTGACCGCGTAGTGGCCCTGAACACAGCAGCGGAAATAACATGAAGGGTGCAAATGCAAATACGAAAAACGACTAGACGTAAAATTGTAAAGGAATTGCAGGTATAGAATGTGGGGCGGTGGATATGCATATCTCTCAAGCACTTACTAATTCTTTTCGTGAATCCAACATTCACTTGCCCAACACTAATGAGACTACCCATTGTGCATAATGACCAACCCAGACCAGGAATATTCTCCTTCATCAGCCTTCAAATCATCTCTTAACCCCAATCCCAACAAATAACCCATTAACCTCCCTCACAAGCCCATCCTCTCCACCCATTCCCCTCCACTCCACCTCAAACAACCCTCTCGCCTCCTCCCTCCTCTCCCTCCACTTCTCCCTCCCCCTCGTCAAGTCATCAAAAACATCCCCTCCCTCCTCCACACCCCAAACTCCCTCCTCCCCCATTCTTCCCAAAAACTTCGTTCTACTCGGAACCTCCTCCCACGCCTCCGTCTCAATTACCCTAGCATCTAGTCCCGCACCCTCCATCATCTTTCTCAAACTCTCAGCACCCTCCACCCACTCCCAGTCCCCTAACGTTTCTACTCCTACCATTTTCCCGACTCTCGCTAAGGTCTTGATACCCAGCATAGCCCTCGGACAAGGAACATCACAAACCAACCTCCCACCCCTCTTCAACCACCTCTCCACCCACCCTTTCATCGCTTCCCCCGGCCTATCCAACAAGACTAACGCTGAACAAATGGTAATGACATCAAACTTTTCCTCTTCCTCTTCCTCTTCCTCCCCTTCTCCATTCCCTAATTCCAACCCCTCCAACCCCTCCAACGCCCCCACATCCCCCTCCAAAAACCTCACCACCTCCTCCCCATCCACCCCTACCCCTTCCACCCTCGCCTTCTCCCTCGCAACACCCAACATCCCCGCCGAACAATCAACACCGACAACCCTTCCCCTTTCCCTCCCCATTTCCCTCCCCATTTCCCTCCGCCTTTCCCCCCCCCCATTTCCCCATTTCCCTCCCCTTCCCCGTAACTCCCAGAAACGGCAAAACCCCAAAAACAACCAACCCCGTCCCACACACGAGATCGAGCAGCGACTCACCTTCTTGAGGCGCGGCGTAGGATATATACTCGTGCGCGAGGCGGGCGTGGAAGGGTGTTGCTGTGTCGTAGGTTGGGGCGCGGTGGTTGTATGCCTGTGTTAGGGTGGGGTTGGGGGACATTGTTGAGGAGGAGGAGGAGGATGGTAGAGAGTGTGCGTGAGAAGGAGAGAGGAATGGAGGGTTGATGGGATGTATATATGGTGAGGATTCGATAGGAGGTTGAGGATTGAGATGGGAAGTGGTGTGGGGAAGGTGGGGATTGTGAAGTGAGTATCGTGAAGTGAGTATCGTGAACCAACACACCAATACACCAACACATAAGAACTTCAATATCCAACAACACGGAAAAGAAAAACCAAACCTTTTATACACACAACCAACCCACTCCACAAAATGATTTTCTGACAAATCCCAAGAAGCGGCATCTATGCAAAGACCAAATAACGATCAACATCAAAACCGCATGGCACCTCGTGGCACCTGGCTCGCTAGTTCCCTCCCGAGCGGGAGATCGGCCAACGATGTGATTGACCAACAGATTGACCAGATGCGGTAGGTGATTGACTGGCAGGATCTATGCATTTGAATGAAAGTCGGAGTTATTAGAAAACAGTTTTTGGCGTTAACTAAAGATCGAGAGAATCCAAAGCCACTTGGCCGAAGTCACCAGTCACACCGAAACAACAATAGCCAAAATTCCGTGTTGTAAGAATCCAACTCATCATTCTATACATTTCATCACCCCCTCCCTCTCCCTCATCCATAAAAATATATACAAGAAATTAAGCACTACCAAAGAACCATATTCTCGAATCGAAGATATCAAGAATCGAAAATTTCCAAAATCCAAATAAGTAAAACCCAAGTTTATCGATTCCCACTCCCTTGTTGTTGAGAGTGGGAAGATATATAAAACGTCCCATTTATCCAGGGAGATGTTGTAAACGCCGAATATATCATATCATATCCCTATTCCTTTCCCTGTGGGGTATAGACGCCAGCCAACCAACCAACCAATCCGATGTGTACTTTTCCATCCAAGATGCAACCATTCTCTCTCATCATATATATACTTTATTCAAAGCAACCAACTCGCGACCAACAACACTAACGCGAACAAGCCGACACTCGGGCCCGGTAACGACGACGGTGAGCCGGACGTGATGGCCGCGGCTAGACTCTGGTTCACGAAATTCGGGCCGCATTTAACGTTCACTTGCATCGCTGCACTCACGTAGTCGCTCGCTAGCGCGCTACTACGGTCGGAGCTCGCGGCCTCGAAGACGGACATGGTGTTCTTGAGACAACTATCGCACGTCGGTTGACTTCCGCCAACTAGGCTTACGTTTAGTGGGAGGAAGTAGATGTAGCTGTCGGTCGGGTTGCTGCTGTTTGTTATCGCGTCTGCGAAACAGTATGCCGACGTCGAGGGGTTGCGCAGGCACGATGCAGAGTACAGAGGTCGGTATGCGAGGAGTCCCAGACGGGCTTGTTGGATTGTTGGATTCTGAGATGCGAGGTCGCTCGAACAGGCGGATGTGCTGGTGATGTTGCTGGCAAAGGAAGCCATTACTGCTGAGCAAGTCGTTACATTTGCTGCGCAGGAGTAGTCGAGAGTTTGAGTGATTCGAACGAGAGATTTCGAGGCTTGGAAGAAGGAGTTGGAGTTCTGTTCAGAGTCAGCAAGTGTTGATAACTATCTTATGAATAGAGGCATACTTGGAGGAGGAGAGAGAATGGCAGGCATGATTTGAAGGTGCTGTTCGAGAGCATAGAGGTCATGAAAGATTGACAGTTGGTGGTAATATTATTATTGAAGCCGGTATCGAAAGGGGTTGGCAGAGAAGTGGCCGTCTCCGTCGCCGCAACGGCAATGCCGCTGGACGTAGTAGTAGGCGCCAGCGTGGATGTCGATGTGCCTTTTCCAGTCGACGACGACGACGATGATGAAGAAGAGTTCTCGGTGTTGCGGCGGCGAAGATCGTCGGCGGTGTCCAATTCCCAGTTCTTTGGTTCAGGTGGCGGACTCTGATCAACCAAAATGGTCCCTGAACGAGCTAGACGAGCGAATGTCGATCCCAAGAGTTCCGTAACGTCGTCGGGCGACCGCTCAACCATCTCCTCCTCAATATATATCGCTGCCGACGAGAAGGTCAGGAAACATGTCAGAATTATTACCAGGAAGAGCTGCCGTGTTTGAATGGAACAATGACGAAGCCAAGATGCGTGTTCGTGCCGGTGGGTAGGGGTGCCAGTATGGTGCGACGAGAGTTGTGTCGAAGGAGCCCTCCTCGGGTCGCTGGAGAAACAGGAAACATCGATCAGTTGACATTGTTCTTCCATGATGGACATAGAGTCGATGATGAGATATCTCCACGTCTATGAGGGTTTTTATAATCGTGGTTCCAGCATTACTCGCAGCGGCAGTCGACAATAGGTTGTCGTCCCAAAGATGTCGACTTTCCAAAATGGGATACTCAAATTCCGAGAACAAACAACCAAAGTCCTGGGAATCCGTTCAGTACAAGAAAGAGTACACAGTTTTCGTATGATCCCTTTTCTTCGGAGGCCGTTCCCGCAGAAGGTCTGTATTGGGAGGATGTCGCAGGTAGATCTCTTGCCCTTGAGGATCTCAGCCCGGTAGCTGTTTGTCGTGGGAACGTCAAATTATATGTATCACCCAAACACACCGAAAAAAGGATCGTGAAGGGAGGTATTGGAGGAGGCGGAGAGCAGAGACCAAACACAACACAGGAAAACGAGTGACTGTAGTTGGTGTCCGTGAGGGTGGGATTTGAGGATCTGGCCGTTCAGTCGAATTCCGTCGATCTCCTCACTCGATTATGTATATAGTCGGAGGATACAGGCAAAATGCAAGGCACATCAGCATTCACGCTCTTCACTCGACAACCAGAATGCGACTACTTTGGGGGACTGCACCCTTTTGTTCGGCCTACCCTGTCCTACGAGTTAAAGTACCCTGTAAATTGGGGGGATGGGGTGCCTGTTGTGGCGCTGTCATGACCTTGTCAATACTGTAGAATATTGAGTCGGCCACCACGGCTACGACCCTCTGTCCTAGTCCTGAGTCTAATCCCATCTCATCCCATCTCGTCCCATCTCGTCCCATCTCTCTTTGGTGCCCTGGCACACCACGCTCTCACCTCTCACCTCTCACAACGACTTGCAGCGACTGCTGCACTAACTGCTTGCACGCATTCACCAGGCTGCTCTCCGTTCCCTCACTGCTGCACCCAAATCTGACTTAGGCCTCCCCAAACGGCCGGGGCTGCAGCACACAATAGGCGGCGGACGTATCATTTGACGCCATGGGGCGCCACGAGCTGCAGCCAATATTGAAATATTGAACGCCGCGACGCCCCGACCAGGAAGTCGATAACAGCCAAAGTAGCCCACCGTCAAACCGCTTGTAACGAGTAACTGTATACAGCCGGAACCCCACCATTGCTCACTTCTGCCCACGATCATACTTAATTGCTTTATCTGTTTCTTCCTGCACGGCAATCAATTCGACCTCGCCTCCCGGATGGAGCAGCAGATGACTTACAGTAGATGACTTGGACGGCTGCCTTTCCCCTCATCTGGCTGGCTGGCTGGCTGGCTTGCTTGCTTGACCCGGGCCCACGTACCGGAGCAGACAGACTGTGTCACAGCAATCACCAGTCTTGCAAAGTGTGAATGAAGCAATTTAGAGCCCACCATCCGACATCCGGACTCCGCCACTCCTCACAGGTCAGGTCCAATCCAGATCAGTCCAGTCAAGCGTGGTGCAGTTTCCCTGGTCTGTGAGTGCCAAGTGCCAAGTCAGGAACAAACTGCCACTGCAATCCACTGCAATCCACTGAAAAGCAGTCCCACTGCCTTACTTTCGGGTGTTTCCTCAGCAAAGTAAGATAGATCCTAGCCTGCAGCCGAACAATGCATGAAAGACTCCCAGTGCACGAGATTTCGACCCTTTTGCGTTAGGCACAAATAGTCGCTGGTCCAGAACACGAGGCTCTCCACCGGCGGCTTCTAGATTCTCACGGGGCCCTCGGACCATTGCCTGGGCCACGCAGGCGCTTGTCCTCATTTGCTCCCAGGAAGAATTGCCGTGCCAAACGAAATGAGCACTAATCGGCAGCCTTACCAATCGAGCGCAAGCCCGGGACAAATTTGGATTCTGGATACTGTACCTATCCAAGGGGAAAGGAAGCCGGTGGACATCATTCGACATGCATTAAACTCACGACTAGTGAACTCAAATCTACGCGATATGCCAAGAGATGTCTGTCTGCACGCATCGGTTGGAGTTGAATATTTAGGAAATATCGACAGCGGGATCTTATTGAGCGGATAGCTTCAACAAAACATCAAGCCAAAACAAATAATACATGTGAAAGCAACTGTAACACAAAACCACTTGGTTGGTAACCGTTGAGGCACTCCAGCTGCACCAATACATAATAAGCTTGTACCTCAGCTGCATCTCGGGAATCAGAACTCTACTTTAAACAAGGCACTACCACATGTACCGGCCGTACCTCTCGGTTCCTATCTCACTCACTCCTTCACTGCAAGGAACCATCAAATTCCCACCACGCGATTCCAACGAGGAAATCTCACCTCACCTCATCATCATCGTTCATATCGACCCCAAACTAATCTAATACTGCATATCCTATTCATCTGCACAAAACCCCTCCCATCCCATCCCATCCCATCCCATCCGGAATCTATTCCCGCTGCAGTCACCCATATTACCTACCTACCGCGCAATCAATTCGGGAGGCAAACACACATATACACATAAATTACATGCCGAACAGATGTTCCGTCTCCTTCCTTATTTTTCGTCCGATATCTCGTTCCGTCGGGAGTTTTCCCTCCTGAGATCGTGATTCGATGATGCATGCATCGCATCGCATCGCATCGCATTGGGCTGCATATACCCCTATCCCATCCTATCCTATGCTATCCCTCTTAATAAAATACTGTACCAGTACACCAACCAGATCTTGACGACGAACACAAGTTTGTGACGCATAACCAGAGAAAGGAAAAAGGAAAGAAAAAAAAAAAACTCTGCTTGTTTGCAAACCCCTAATTCTCCTCATTCCAAGAACTTCTATAGCATTGCCTGCTCATCCTTGGCCACACACACCATCGATGTATTACCCCGGAAAAAAAAAGGCCACTTTTTCGTCCCAAGAAAAGATACGATACAATACAATACAGTACTGTAAGTTCCCAATCTCCATTCTCCAATCTCCAATCTATCGTAAGCACACACTCTCTCATTCACTTCCTCCCTACCATTACGCAAGCCACCATTCAATACACGGGACAGACAAGAAAACGTTGTGCCGCACAGCACATTCCATTCCCGTTCCGTACCTCATCCCATCTTTTCGTCAGCAGCCCGCTGCATGCATGCAAGTATGTGTTGTGTTGTGTGTGTTGTGTGTGTGTGTGTGTGCCTGACTGTACATCGGCGGTTTTCGTCCCATCTTTTGTTGGTGGGAGCTGAGATTTTTTTTTTTTGATTGCACTTTCCAATCGAGAGATCTGGATGTAATCTTTCTTTCATTTACCTTCATATGAATAAATGTAGAATAATGAGACAAGGGTGCTATTTTTGTTGCTGAGTGGTGGAGTGGTGGAAGCCAAGCGCTACACGTTGTGGTATGGCTTGCAGCCTCGAAAGTTGAGGGTTGGTCAGTGGGAAGGATGTCGTTGTGGTGTTTATTAGGTTATCTTGAGAAGATTGGCGTGATATTGAGGAGATTTGTTTGGATGAATGGGGATGGAGGGTTGGTCACGTGAATAGTCTGTGTTGAAGTTCCAGGTCTCCTTTCAAGACTTTGGTTAGGATTTCGAGGCAGTAAACCCTGGATATTGATGGATTCAAGTTTTATTTGAGTCTTTGCAAGTGTTTCGAACCCCTTTTTGCAGATCAAGTGTGATGTGAATCACGTGAGGAAATTCTCTTCTGTCCTTTCATGGTTTTCTCTTTCAAGTCGTTGAGCAAAGAGAACTAGTAACTGACTAGTAATGACTGGCGTTTCATACGAGCCTATTGGTATTCAAATCCACTAAGTCGTTGCAAGCGGCATCGGGTAACCGAGCTCCAAATGGTCTACTCAAGTTGGCTTACCCTCTCTTTGTCCGCAAAGCTACCTTAGGGTTGGAATAAGAACTATTGATAGCATATACCATGATGACTGAATACTGCCTCATTGAGCGAGACTTCGATCGTGGGAGACGCTATTACTTCTCCAGAATTGGCCTATCTTTACTCATCCTTGACTTAGCATAACTTGGTAACGTAAGCTTCCCAATACTATCAACTTCGAATAACATCATTATTCCACCGTTGCTGGTCGTAGGCCATCCCAGCGTAGTAATAATCTTCACTTTCCTCTGCTTCTTACCACTTTTGGTCAAGCTTGAGAAGTTCAGGACCGGAAGTCCGTAAATGGTGAGTTCCCAGAACCAAAATACAACCACCCCAACAACAGCAGACACCGATTGCAAATACTACGCAGTAGAGACTCAATGTATTGTGTAATGGGAGATCAGCCCATAAGCATAGCATGCCATCTCATTACTTCCGTTCCATTGAATTGGGACTGCGTCGGTCCTCGGTCCTCCTCCTCGGCGAATGAGTCCGGCGATGTTTTTGCTTCTAGAAAAACACTTCACCGAGACGTGACTTAGGCTTTGCATTTCAGAACAGACAAGACTCGAGCCATCAACCTTGCTGCTTGCATGCCGTAGCTTCCTAACAAGCGGAGAAACAATGCAAACTAAAGAACAACGATATAGGTACCTTCCAAACAAATCCCAAATTCACCCCTCACGATCTAGACGTCTACCGCTCAGCATTCCAAGTTTCTAGAAATGCAGATAGAAACCTTTCCTTCCAGATGCCGAATCTTGCATCCCGCCGTTGCGTGCTCAGACCATCCATCCGCCGCTGCAAGACATCTCACCCGGTCCCGTGCCGCCTGCTCCCAACAACACCAAATCATCACTCAACTTCGCAACACTTACTAAATCCCACAACAACAATAATAGCACCCTATCCTACAAAAGAACCAAACACCAGAGCCTCACACCCCACCAACCAATCCAATCCAATCCCAACCCTCCTCTCACCACAAACACGTGACATAAGCACTCTCCCCTCTCCATCGCAACTGTGCCTCACCACCCAGGATCGCAATCCTTCCTTCCCTCTCGCTCTCTCTCCTTGAATCCCCAACCAGTCAATCCTCAATATCAAAACATGCACCCTCCTCCATAACTTGTCCACCCCAAAACACCACCTGACCCCCATCCCTCACATAGGTAGGTAATCAACCAACATCGTCCCAAAAAAAAAACCAACATCACCCATCGGCCGACAAAGCCAACACAGCAACCCCTTTGTTGCACATCGCAAAAAAGACCTCTTTCCGAGCGGATGCATGGAATTGGCCATCGGTGCGCCGTGACTAGGTGATTCAGCAGTACGAGAGGTGCGTGTTGCGAGGGGGCGAATCAGAGGGTGGCTTGGGGAGCGAATCAGGGGCCGTGTGTCGTTCCGTGATGTGTGCGGGTGCGATGTGTGTGCGATGTGTGTGTGTTGTGTGTGTGGGGGCCGAGTCATCGAGATTGTGGATGTGGATGCTCACAGTTGGGTTTGATTGAAGGTATGGCTCAGCTACCTCATAATGTTATTAGCTACATACAGACATTCTTCTGCGATACCCATAGGAGAGATTTCCAGCAGTCCGAAATAGCAACACGAGTCTGACTCCAACTAGCTGTCTGGGAACCACACTTCCAGCTCAAGCACCATACCCCTTTCTCGCAGACATACAGCAATATTCCTAGCCCTTACAAGTGGCTCTACTTCCCGTCTTCTTAATCATCCTCAAGATATTTGTCCAGCGCTCGTAGACATACAGCACAAGCAACATAGCGGAAGCTAACAAGTGGCTCTGTCTTTCTACCACCTGCAGGTGCACGAGACACTTCGCCTAAACTCACCGAGAAGCAAGCAATACTGCGTGCCAATGTCTCTTCTAGGTCCTCGTAGTCGTCGGTGACGCCTCGGATGAATCTGACAGTCGAAGCCACTTCCCGATCAAAAGCTTCCTTCATGGGAATGGATAGATCCCGTTGCCTGCGCGACTGTATGCCTTGTGTGCCGAGAATGTTTCCAATGAACGCTTCAAGTTCCGATATTGGACGCGCGGGATGTTCACTGTAACTCTTCATGATGCTAAGGATAGACTCTTCGTACCTATCGCAGAATGGTCAGATCAAACACCATGATGTAGAAGACAACACTCACATTTCGCGAATCTCTTGAGCCTCGCTAAGATGCTGGTGCCATTGGATCAATCGAGTCTCTCGGACTACGTAATCCCAAACCTGATCGAGGATTTCTAAAGAATCACGGGAAGTCATTCGGTATTTGTGGAGATCGCTGAATACAGCATGTTCGTCAATGGCGCGAAACAACTTGCCAAGTATCTTTGTGCTCTCGTAGTATTTATAGGGTGTAAAATCTTCCTCATCGTTTTCATCAATGGGTGTATTGTCGTCTTTTTCAATCAACAACCCTTCTTTCTTGTGGATCTTGATATTCGGTCCTGGAGCCATGAAGTCTGGTCTGACTGGAATTACCTTTGGCATCAACTTCATGTCGACCTACACGAGGTTAGCAAGCGGCAGACAATATGCATTCATTATGGCTCACTGGAATTCCGGTCTTCGAGAAGTCAACTGCTGTGGAATGCAGTTCGGCTAACAGTTTGCAATCAGGATCCGATGTACCCATGTTCTTCTGGTCCGCAAGCACTTGATGTGAAGTCGCGATTCTTCCAAGTTGGTCCGTCTCCATGAACTTGATGAAAAAATCCGTCATGTCGTCTCGTTCGACAGTACGGCCTATGTCTTGTGGAAGTTGCCTCGGATAGTCTGCTGGATGACAGTAGTGAGTGGGCTTGCATCCACTGTCCCAAACAATGTTGTAAAGGTCGCCATCTAGATCTCCGCCGCTTAGCTTACTAGGTAGATCGCGCTCTCCTTTCTGACTGAAACAAATGCAATTCGACAGCCACCGAAGAGGGGAATGATCCGGTACATTGACTGCTTCAACAAGTTGTACATCGCCAGGGTGTAAAGCTGGAGCTCTCGTAATGACCAAATTCTTCCCAATCAAGATAGTCGTATCTTTACCTTGGGTGAATGTGCAAAAGACTTGACCCTCTTCAAGAATGCCAGTCTCGTCCATGACGCCAAACAAGGTTAATCCAAGTGGTACTGGAATTCGAGCCCGATACTTCATAACTCGGACTTGCATCATGACGGATAGCTCGAGAACGTCTCTGAGAAACCTATCAGATCGAAATTCTAACCCGAGCGAGGTTAATTTTTTGATAAACCAAGACAGGCTACCAGTTTCGCCAATTGACTGTGACTTGAGAAACTTAGCTGCATTTGCTGCTGTCGAAGTGATATTTCTGAGACGTTCAATTTCTTGAGACTGAAGATCCAGGAACCAGTGGTCATCTACTCCCATATCTTCCAATATCTTGATGACTTGTCGATTAAGGAACATAGGTAGAGGTCTAGCATTAGATCCACAAAGTTCAATATCCACCGAGGTCGAGCCTTCGAATTTAATCATGGACGGGCGAAGATGGACACGTTCTCCTTCGAGACGATTGTCAAGAGAAATCATTCCCTTTGCCCCTAGGATCTTGTCAGCAAGCTATAAGTGACATGCTGTCAACACGCAAACAAGAAGCATCCACGTACCTTGGAATCGAATCTGAAAACAGGTTGGCTTTGTGTCGCGCATTGAAGGGACAGCTTTCCATATCTTTCGCATGGCAGCAAGAGACAAGGTGCCCACTCCATCGCTGAATACTCGTCCATTACGTTCTACATCATTGATCTTGATAAAAGTCTCGGGTGGAAAAGAAACAGCGGTGGGAGTCTCCGAGAAGGCCTGACCAATTCGTGCTGCACACTTAGCAGGGCACCGTATTTTGGTAAAGTCACCAAGCTGTTGAATCAACATTCTGTCGAAGAGTAGGCTGCCGTTGTGTGTGAATGGTGCCATGAACCAGCAAGACTGAGCTCGCAAGGAAGAGTGAGAGAATCCAAGAAAGTTGTATCTGCGCCCTGCGATGCTGATACCATTCCGGAGTACAGACTTGAACCTCTCATTATAGATTAAGTCGTTCGATACCCGAGGGTTAAACCTTACTGGCTCTCCATCTTCATCACCGAATTGTACGCGAAGGAAGAATTCGTGATGATTAGGATATTTTCTCAGAACACGGTTCATGGGTTCTGCATCTGGTCCATCAAGGTAGATTCCTGCTGGTGTAATCATGGCTCGATGAATCATAGCCAAGTGGTCTGAAGACAGATTTATAGGCCCGTCCGTTGAGCGTAATCGATCATCGCTCTTCGCTTTGGCTTCAGCTTCTCTTAGTTGCTGCACCAAAGCTTCTAGTTCCAAGTCTTTCGCATCGGTATCCGAGCCAGCATACAAGATTTGATTTCGAAATCTCTGCAGTGCTGTGATGCAGATATCCAATTCAGATCGGCCATGTAACTTCTGAAACTCTGGTAACATGGCGAGAGTCTGTGATGGTGTCAAGTATCCGTTGGACACTAGCAAACGAATTTGGAATTTGAGCTTCCAAGGCAGGGTTTGCGAAGCTGAGAACGTCGAATCAAGAGCTTTGAGTTCGCTAGCAAATGATTTTCTGGGACGATGGCCATCAATCTGCTGGTGGGCTATCGGTGGTAACCCAGGCACCTTTTGCAAAGCACGCATATCATCCTCGATGTGATTGTTGGAATTAGATTGTGGTGGAGCATTGTCATGGGAGAGTTCGATTCGGTAGACAAAACAACTGCCGGCAATTATAGCATGCTCCGGAGTCAGAGAACCTACTCGCCGACGCTTATTGCCTCTTTGGCCATTGAGATTCAAATTGGCTGCGCTTGCGATTAAAGACTGTATTAGATCCATAGACTCGTGTTCGTAAAATCTTGGAGCTTCCCAAGTTTGGACACTGAAGGAAGGTCGAGGTGCATCTTGCATGGTAATGCCATACGTGCAAGAGTAGAGAAATTCGATTCGTTTGCCGGAATCAAGTTTCACAAGCAGACTTCGAGATCCAAAGATAGCCTGTCCATTCTCATGAAGAGCTAGGTATGGGATGAAAACCAAATCAGTGTCAGCGTAGCCCCATACACCGCATGACACAGACAAGACGGGAAAATCCTTTCTGGCTGGCAGCTTTGAATTTTCGCTTGGAGCAGTCTTGCTCTTGGCTTTTCGATCTTTCTGTTCCTTCTCTAGACTTCGAAGAATGTGCGGATTTGGAGGTTTATTGCTGACTCCACAGAAGATAGTGACCCGCAGAATTTGGATTTTCGGTTTGAACACGGGACCATTCGGAGCATTCCGTGAAGGTTTTTGTTGGCCATAATGCTGAAGAAAGCGGTTTCCATCCTCGGCGGTGAGAAATACCAAGAAAGCAAACCTCTTTTGCTGTTGTTTTGTGCAATGAAAGATCTCGATCTTCAAGGTCCTCATATAAGGCTGAAGCAGATTTCGCAGCCCCTTCTCTGTCACTTGCTCGGGCACATCTCGAACGAAGACTTCCATGATGGCGAACTGTTGTTGACGGCAGGAAACTGGGAATCAGCTGAGATACGTCGATGAATTGATCCGAAAGCCCAGGTTGCTGAAACAGATTGAGGGTGGGGCTGTTTGCTTAAACTGAAGGTGCTGGTGACACAAGGCTAAGGGATGCCTGCAGCACGCTCGATTCGATCATCATCTGCCAACATCAACGTCGGCATTGCAAAACTAATGTGAGCGCTTGATATTAGAGAAGTCGTGAAGAACGCGAAATAGGTGTATTGAATCGAGGAAGTGGTTGGTGGAAGTGGAAGTGAAAGTGAAGTCCGGAGCACTGATCACGCTACTAGTGGCACGCATTAGAGTTTGAGTTCTCGATAAGGAAGGAACAGAAGCGTACACGTCTGGGTTGTGGAGTCCTGAACTGTGAATTTTGACCTTCAACGAATAATTCGTAGAGGTATAACAAATCTCTGGATCTGGACTGCTCTGGTAAGGGTCTTTGAAGATGGTTGTGGAGGATCACGTGAAAGTGTAGCGGGTACCCATTTTTGGAAGACCTTATGCAGCCTTTGCAATGCTCATTCTATGCGTACACATCATTACCATTACTCCATTTCTCGTCAATCTTCGGCTCTGTTGCCCTATTCCTCAAGCCATGCCCAAACCAGAACTCCAAAACCACGATGCAATAAACAATTAAACCACAAAAGCTTTGCTTCCCTCTACCAATCCATCCATCATCTTAGTAATCACTGTCCACGCTGGCGAGAACCTCAGCGCCTCATCTAGAGCCGGGATCGTACCGAGCTTATTTTGATCAGCCCATAGACAAACTACTCTGCCCCTCCGTCCTTCTTCGCCTTCTTTCTTGCTATCGCTGACAGGCCATTCGACATCGACAACCCATTCGCGATTCCAGTCTCTGTGCCAGAGCTTGATTTGGTCGCTACCACTTTCGGGTACGTCTGACCAGCGGCCGTTGCTTGGGGCTGCGCCGCGGACGTGGAATCCTGTGAAGGGCTCATCGAAACGGATGATACAGGCTTTGGTCTCCTGGCCTGAAATGTGGAAGGTTGCTTTGTTCAAGCCTGGAGCTCGAGTCACGTTGTAGTGTAACCAGTCCTGGTATCCCTTCTCCGGAGGAACGCCTTCGACGACATTGTCTACAACTTGAGGAGCCAGGCCTTCATAAGTGCAGAATGACACGCCAGCACGGATTTGTGGCCTTGGAGCACAGTCGATAGATTGACCAGCTGCAGAGGGAATGTTAGAGATAATATCTCGAATGTAATGCTCGAGACCAGCCAGAGTGACATGGTTAATGCCACTGTCTAGATCTACAGTCTGTTGGAAATATGCTTTGTATCGATTGTTAGCCGAAAAAGGAAACGCGACGAGGTTGTAGATCAAAGTGGCGATGAAGACGAGGAACAGGAAAGTCGGGACGGGTGCTGTAATTCGGTGCATGAAAGGCGTGATTGGCAAAATAATCAGAACCGTGAATAGAGCAACCACGAGGTAGGGAAGCAGCAGAGGGCTCCCATCAGGTCCGGTCTGCGCCAAAGCAGATACTAGCAAGAGGCCAACTTGACCAATAATTACCAGAATAAATGGGCAAAGAATGAGGAATTGCAATAGCCATGTCCAAGTAGGCAACTTCGCTGACCATCTTTGCTCCTCCCCAAATGCATGGTGCTTGCTGTGACCGTCATCGGTAGCACCATCTGTCTGGTCCGTGATGGATCTTCTGTACCCTCTTGAAAATGTGTTTCCTAACACAGTCCGGTGACCATTGCCACCAACAAGAGGTGTTGTTTCACTTGCTTCAGCCTCATCATCGCCACCATCATTTGCTGGGGCGAGGGCTTCGACATTCGGGATAGCGGAAAACGCTTCTCGAGTCTCGTTTTCTTCATGGGCGTCCTCAACAATAGACATCTTTTTGGGCAAAGCAAACAGCTCGCACAAACCGATCAGAGTCGCTAAGAAAATAGCGGACTCGTAGATGACGAACATATAACCACCGCTGATTTTGTACCTGTCTTCGAATACAGTAGCAGCGACCAAAAGTCCCCAGCCAAGTATGAACATCCAAGTCAAGGCGTAGACTCTATGCAGAGCTGATGGCCGAACGAAGTTACATCCAGCCATGAGGAACCAGAACACACAGAAGAAGAGACTGATCGACATCGTCCAGACGCTGTATTGCGACGAGTACACAATCAATGGATTGACCTTTCTAAGTAGAAAGGCAGCTCCGAATGTGATGGCCGCGGAAACAATGAACACAATAGGGAATCTGAAGGCACCTCTCCAACCTTTCAGTGAAATAGCTGCATCACTGTCTTGCCCTTCTGGCTTCACAGCTCCAGCAAAGAGGTAGTACTTGTCTGATCGAACCAACAGGTACGAAATGATGCCTAAGATGAGTGGAGACGAAATGAGAAGTGCGAGAGACCAGGCGAAGAGCGTTCTCAAGCGGAAGATGGCCATGGCACTTCCAAAGAGGTCAAACCAGACACCATCAGAGCCTGAACCATTTTTAACCTTTCCTGTCGCATTGTCTCCTCTTGGGCCAATGAAGTCCTTTGTATCTGCAGTCAGATATTTCATGGTCTCGACAGAAGCCGAAAGCATATGCCACAATGAAGCTTTTGAAGCATGCTTAGCATCGTCCTCATTTGTGTGATATCTTGCTCTTGGTTCCCAGAAGGCGACATCTAGCCCGCGGTATCCTTCAGCCCGGAAGACAACATAGTCTGTTTCGCTTCTTACGAAGCCCAAAGCAAATCCGTCTGCACTTACGACAGTACCAAAAGGATGTTTGGCCTTTCCGTATGCGCGCGTCACCTCAGTGTCAGTGCTTCGGAAAAGTGTAGCTCTACCTCCGGCTCCGGCTCCTTCGAGGTTCAAGAATGCATGAACAAAAGCCGCCATGGGGTGGGAAAGAAATGCCTTGGCGCCATAGAGGCCATCTTCCTCCCCATTGTTTAAGAGTACCACGACTCCTCTTTTAGGTGTGTTTCCCTCAGTGGTAAAGTATTTGATCAGCTGCAAAGCCGTTACCACCCCCATGCCATCATCTGTAGCTCCATATCCAGTTGATACACTGTCGAAATGGGCGTTGACCATGATTCCACCCTTTCCAAATGTTCGTGGTGTGAAAGGAGGCACTGGTTTCCACCAGTCGCCTTCTTCATCCTCAGTCCCTCGTATGTATACAATTATGTTACTTCCTTCGAAGTAGGTACTGATTCCAGCTCGACGTCCGCTCACGCCGATGCTCGTGAGGGCTGTGCTTGTATAATTCGATAGCAGATCACTGAATACGACAGCAGCGTGATCTGTGGTTCGCGTTCGAAGGTCTTGGTGGGAAGTTGAAGCCGGTTTGGCATCAGTAGAGCCGAGATCCAATTCGTCTAGGTTTGCAGCTTCAAGAGGGAGCTTTGAGGGTGATGCATCCCAGGATTGGGTATTGGCAGAGTCGTCTGATAGGAAGGACACTCCATTACTGTGTAGTATGCTTTCTATCCTTCGCAGCAGCCAATTCCTGACATCATCGTTCCTCCGACTGTTGAAGGGATGGTATCCATTGCTCAACTCGTCCAAGTCCAGCCATGCTTCAGTCAAATTGAGGCCGCGGTACACAGTTGGGTTGGTAGGAGCAGGTGGGACTGTTTCGTGGATGACGAGAAGAGGAATGAGGATGGCGAGATAGACGACCGTGGTAGTTAATGTCACCGACATGGGAGCGAATGCAAAAGGGTTGGAGCATTTCATGGTCGCTGTCGAATGCCTGTGTCTAGGGCAAGATGGTGTAGAGAGTGTGCCCGAGCTGCTTAGAGAGGAAGGATGCTAACAAGGTGCCATTGAGGATGTGAAGCTGTATCCGACAGATAGGAAGATGCAATCTGCATGAAAAAGAAATACAGTCTTCTCCTTGTTATGTTTGAGATAGAAGAAAGAGAACACAGAGAAGAAGCTCGTGGGACTTGAATGTCTCGTAGGTAATGAGGGTGGCTGACGCCATCGATAGCCTGAGCTCCTAGCGGGGTTGATCGCCAAGGAGAGGCGTTGCAGGGGTGAGACGCGCTAACGACAAACATCACCTCGTCGTCGCTTCCTCACTTTGTATCTTCACTCTTTGTATCTTTGCTGTTCACATTTCCTCATCTATCAATGTCTAAGGTGATCACTGAGCATTAATACGCGATTGTTGACTTCAACCGTCAGATTGGCATTGTTACTACATCTATCTTTCCCACTGGTTTGTGACTTGGACCCAGCTTTGCCGATAGAAAGGCATCCTAGCTAATCATATGCCACAGAAGTTCTCTCTCCCCAGAACCTCTCCACCGTATCCTGAGAAAACGCCAACCCCGTCTGAGCATCTGCGGCCTTGAAGAACTTCACAACTTGAGGCTGATGCTTTTCCCAGGCGACAAAACACCTGCTATGATCCGTTTGCTTCGCAACTTCCCCAATCTTTTCGATCAGGTGCATCAGCTTTTTCGGATTTCCTTGGTTTCCTTTTCCCAACGCGGAAATACTTCAGCAAAGTCCACCTTTTCCATAGCGTCGACCACACCGTCAACATGTTTACCATTAAACATGTGATTCGTCTTGGAGAACCAAGATTGAGGTACTTTCGTCCCCAGACGGGCTCTTCGAACCATTCTTTCTGGTCCTCGCCTCAATGATTGAATCAGGAGACACCAAACTCCCTCTTCGAATGACTTTGACTCCTTCCAACATCTCATATTGTTGGTTGCTGTTCAGAGATACGGCATCCACACGTTTCGAAAGTGGCAGTGCCACTACAGACACATCAGTTCCTTGGTCCGTGGCAAACCCATAATCAGCGTCGTTGTCGACAAGATAGCCATCGGCCTCGAACTGCAAGATCCATCGCATACCTCCCAGTTCATAACTAACAATGCGATGATGAGAACTGCTATCTTCGAGACCAACTCCATGCTCAAGGAAAGCCTTCTCAAAAGATTTGCCGTATCCATCATAAAACCTGTCTATAACGTGTTGGGATGGGTCGTTCTCCCACCGAGTCAGAAAAATGGTGCCCTTCATCATCTGAGCGTCGATTTGCCAATCGTACTGCGACCTTTTGCCAGAAACAAAATCGAGAAGCTTGCGAATGCTATTGCGGTCCGCGACGATGGAGCCTGGAAGCAGGGTATATGATGGTTGCATGAAGAGCAGTGCAGCGAAACATGCTGCCCATCGAGGTGCGACGATCCGATCCTTACTGTCTTCACGCTTTTTTTGCTGATTGTCCTTTGGAGCTGTGACCGGGAGCGGAGGTGCCCATCGTGCTGGCTTACCTGTTTGATCCATCAGTAATTTTCTTCAAATGTTTTGCTTCCTTTGTTCAAGAGCCTACCTGGTACAAGAATCGTTGGCTCGCTGATATCAACCCGGTTATACGAGGCAAGGAACATATAGTTCTTGATAGCTACTGCAACAGCCGGATCTCCGTATGCTTCATCGAGCTCTGCAAGCTGCACGCTAGAGACCATTTCGAGATTCTTGGCTGTCCTTCCCGGAGAATCTTTACCGTGCGTCGTCTTGTTCTTGTTCTTCTGGTCGTTTCCCTTCCCTTTCGAATTTGAGTTCGTTGCTAACGTTTTGGCCTGGCTCGAAGTTGCTTGTGCGTGAGCACCGTCATTTTGCGAGTCGGCCATGATGGAATTTGTGTTGGAGTTGCAGAACTGGATGTGCAAATTGTGCAAAGCAGCCTTGAGGCAGTATCGCTCCTTGGCGTGAAGTCTTGGCTAGGAGCTCAGCTCAAGGAGAAAGACTCTGCATCGCCATCTGCACGATATTGCCAATCAAAGCTATAACTTGTATCATTTTCGGCAGCAATGCCACCACTCCATCACAGCAAATCTGTCTTGTTCTTGCCTCATTCTTTTCTCTCGCACAGCAGCACAGCAATTGGTCGTGGATTGAATGTTCTCGTATCAGATCGAGAGTATGTGCAAGATGCATGTTGCTGCTCAAAGATACTTCATAATATCTCCATCGCTCTTTGTCCTTGAGCAGAAGTCCCCTAATATCTTGTTGAACTTACTGGCCCTCTATAACGTTGCTTCTTCTTCTTCCTCTTACTGTCCTCATCACATTTTCATTCCGAGTCACTGAGGCAAAAAGTGGCTGTAGTTGAACAGGATTTCAATTCTAGAGACAGCAAATATGCCAATCTATACTGAATACTGTATCCAGAAGCCTATTCTCTTCTTCCATTCCCTTGTGTCCGTGATTAAGGTCTCGAGCTCCGTTCTTCCATCGTATGCAACCAGAAGATCAGGAAGAAGGAGTCGGTCGTGGCCAGAACTGCTCTTTCACCTCATCAGAAAGACTAACTCGAGTGTCATCATTTGCTCGCAAGACTTGCAAAATTCCAGGTCCTGCGTCAACGTCATAGATCAGATAGCATCTTCCACTAGCGTTGTCTCTGGCGGTCTTTCTGATCACTTTGATCAACCCGATGAGCCTTCTTAATTCATGCTGATGGCCAACATGCTTCTCCCATTGGGAGAATGAACTGCCCATTCGAAAAGTTTCGATATTATTGACAGTGCCTTGTTGGTGTTGTCCAGCGAGGACAGTCTGCGTTTGTGATAACCAACATTGAAGGCTCACTCTGTCCTTCTGTTGTTGGAGTGGAGTTCTGTGACTAGTACATTTTGCTTCAACGATCGAGAGCGGCGAGACAAAATCTCCTTTTTGAATGACCTTTACGCCGTCCACCTCCGGAAACAAAGACTCAGTCCTGGACGTCGAGGCATCGGTTCGAGAATTCGAGCTCTCTCCCGACTCGGCCTGAGTATTGTTATCGGCCACATATCCATCGGCCTCGGATTGTACAAGACACTTCAACCCACCCAACTCATACTCCAATATCCGATGATGTGAAGAGCTATCATTCACATCCCCCTCAAACTTGAGACAGGCTTTCTCAAACCCAAATCCGTACCCAGAATGGCCAGGTCCAATAAACCGTCCAAAGCTCTTCACCCACTTGCTCAAAAACATTGTCCCTTCAACAATATTCGCATCAAGACGCCAGCTGTCTTCTGTACTACTACTACAGACCCACTCAAACAGTCGACGAAGACTGCTTCGATCAGTCACCAAGTCGATTTCGCCAAGGGGGTAATTTGGTTGCATGATGAGCATCGATGCAAAGAAAGGAGCCCATCGTGGAGCTGTAATCAAGCGCCTGTGTTCGTCTTGTTCACTGTCTGGGGCTATGGTGAAAGGCAAAGCAGGAGGCGACCACCGTGCTGGCGTTCCTGTTTCACATTAGTATAGCCTCGAAGATGGAACAAGATGCCATACCTGGGACATATATACTGGCCACATCAGCTTTGATCCAATTGTACGACGCCAGAAACTTGCATTCCTTGATCGATATATGGGGCATGATACCGGGATTGATGTCCGAGAGCCTGATTGTCATATATGCGACATTCTTGTTCGTGAGCTTGGTCGGGTGCGCTTTGGGCCATGGAGGGTGGATGGCAGGCGGAGGGGGTGTGGGCGTGTTTGCGATTGGTAACGGATTCGCATTGTCCCTCCAGGAAGCTGCGGAATAGTCCCTACTTGCGCCAGCTCTCTGGGTTGACGAACCTCGTCTTCTCGAGGGTCCACCAGAGGCCATGGTTGTTGCGTCTGGCGTAGAATCGTGTCGCCTCCTTGGTGGCTCTCTTGCGATTGGAGACTCTGGACTCCGAGAGAGTGTGTCGGAAGTTCTACGTTGTACCTGGCGCGTTGGATCTTGTCGTCTTTGAGGTGCGTTTGCACTCGAAGGGTCTTGCGTTCGAAAAGGAAGAGGTGGTAAACCAGCCACAATATCTTGTCTTGGGTCTGGCTGTCTTCGAAGAGGCTCTCTAATGTTTGGCGGATCTTGTCTCGTCGATGGCAGGGGAGAGGAACTGGATGAAGGTTCTTGTGTCAACTCCTGTCTTCGCGGAGCAGGTTCTCTTGCGTCTTGAATTGGTGGTCGCATAGAACCGCGTCTCCTCCAGAGAGGTACTTGCTCTGCTCCGTCTGAGTTTGCGCTTGGGGTGGTGGGAGGTTTCGGCTTCCCCCAAGGAAGTCTGTTGCCATCGCCCTCCATGTGTGGATGGGGTAACTTGTCAAGTGGCAAGTAGTTGATGGAAATGTGGGTGGTGGCGGTGGTGGAGATGTAGATGTTCTTTTTACAAGAAGCTTTGCTTGCGAATTTGATTTTATATCTCGCAGATTTCAAATGGTGAGCCTCCTGCTTTGAGCGCTATATATGTTTGGATGAAAGTCGCAGTTTGGCTAGTGGACCAAATGGTATGAGGCGAATCCTTGCTATTGTGGTTTGAGTCTAATTTGGTGTTCTATGATTGTGTTGGTCATTATGATACTGTCTCTGTATATAAACCGTTTTGCCTTGAATTTCCGTGAATCCCTTTGAACTGGAAATGAAGCTCAAGTATCTAAGCCATCCAATCCAAGACCCTCTTGATCAATCAAACTTCGCACGGTTCCTAGTCCAAGATGACAAGCTCTTCTAGCCATGTCGTAGCTTGAGCTTTCCTTTTGTCTTTAGTTCTAGTTGGTCTTACTAGTGATGGAACGTAAATACGCATTCACCTAGCAACGTTTCACGCTAACACAATCTCTCAGATTCTTCACTTTTGCTGAATGTTCCAAACCGATAAAGAGATCTTTGTCAGAAATTTTCTGGGGCAAGTAGTTCCATCTTGGAAGAAATAAGTCCAGTGGAACTCAGCGAACGGTGGGCATCGAGATCAATTCTAGAACGTTAAAGTAACTTGCTTGTTAGTGTCTATACAATTTCCAGGAGCCTTCTTTGGACATCTTATATGATGATATGATTCTTCGTTGCATTCCGAATGATTTAGACTTAATTGGAAAAGGGGAAGTGCTGCAATCGCATATATTCGGGTAAATTTCTCAAGCGATTATTCGGCACAAATTCATAATGTCTCTGCATTTCTAGAGACTTGAAACACAAAAGTACTACAAATGATGATATATTAACGACACCTAATAAGCCTCCACCTCAGCCTGCTTAACCGTCACCTCCGCATCCTCCTTCATGCCACCCAACAACAAATAAGCCGGCGCCTTCATCTGCTCCTCCTCGGGCGCCGTAAACGTGTAGAACTTCTCATCGTGCCACTGTCCAGCAGTAATGTATCTCCCATCGCTATCAGTAAACATCGTCTCGTCCTCCGCACGCAGGAAATAGGCAATGGAGTAGCGGTGCTCGTTCGGGTCCAAGGGCACGACGCGGTGGATGCACGATTGCATCGTGTGGCCCGAGGCGAAGCGCAGGGAGTCGCCCACGTTGACGATGGCGCAGCCGACTTTGGGAGCTACGAAGCCGAATTCTTTGGCTCCTGTCATTCATTCTCATTTAGCATCGTATTCGTGAGGGAATTTTCACAGAGTAGATAGGTAGGTAGATAGATAGATAAACTAACCAGGAGGACGGATCTGCAACCCCCACTGCTCGCTAAACAACAACGTCAACGAACTGATATCCGTATGCTTCTGATGCCCGATATTCTTCGCGGTAACCGGCTCCGAGGGGATATAATGCATCATGGCCAGGGTGCTGGTCGAGGGGCGGTGGTTCCGGTGCGTGTTCTCGAAGCGGGATGAGCCTGCGAGACCGAGGCCCGTGGACAGCGCGGAGAGGATCGTCTTGGTGATGATGTTGGAGCCGGCGATGGCGTTTTCGAGGACCTTGATGTCGCCGCTGTTCTTGATGTTGCGCGGGATGTGCGGGGAGTCGCGTTGGATTTCGTCGCGGGAGACCTGTTTGGCTGTTGTTAATGAGTGCCAACAAAGGGGGGAGGGAGAGGGAAGGAAGGGAAGGGAAAGGAAGGGGAGGGGGTACCTTAATCATCTCATACCCATCCTTCGTGTTCTCCAACACACCGGTGCGGGACCCGACGGGCTCGTAGCCCAGATGGGGAGATACGAGACCGTACTCATTCTTAACCTCGAGCGGGGACTCGAAGAAGCGGTGCATGAGCTTGAGCGTCTCTTGCTGGTCGTCGAGCATGCGGCGGCCGTCGATGCCCTGGAGGTCGATGTAGAAGAAGCCCTCGGTCTGGCAGCATTGAAGCAGCTTCTCGAGCTCGGCGGGCTCTTGCGAGAGGAGTGAGGAGAAGTCGACGGTTTGCATGGGGTAGACGGGGACGGAGGTGCCGTTCCAGCGGACGGAGGTGGGGGGTGTGGTGGTTATGCCCATGATTAATTGGTTGGTTGGTGGGGTTTCTTTTGCGGGGGATGGAGGTTTATTTTTTTTGGAGTTGGATGGAAGATATATTTTTTCCAAGGTTGGAGGAGGTGGAAGAGAGTTCAAATTCAAGAACGAAATTCAACACTTAGTCCAGTAACGCCAAACCCACACCGGATCTGGCTCTTATATCAACTAATTACTGTAGGTAGGAGCTTCAGTAGTACCCCGCAGGTTCCAGGCTCAATCAGCCAGCTTCAATCAGCCGAGATAGGGGGTGAGCGTGCCACGCCTGTCATGCTTAAGTGGTTTTCGCGCTTGATCTTCAGAGGAAACCCAATCAGACATGGGGAATTCCACTTTCGTGCATGAAGCCGAGAATGGCATCGCAGGCCAAGTTGCCAATAGATAGGTACAGGTGGCGTAGGGACCAATGTGCATGCTGGAGGGCAACTGCCGCCAAAGGTGGGGGAGAGGGATTGAGCATGTGCCCGGCTGGTGATGGAGAAGAGCGTTCGGCAGGTGAGGATATAGTACTGCCTGAAAGATGTAGAAAGTCCCATCTTCGCTGATTCGTATTGCCCAGAAAATCGTGGTATGAAGATTTCCCCTTGGCACCGCTCCCGTTAGATGAGCAGACACTCCACTATTCCTCCTCCAGCTCAGCTCATCCACCACATGTCTCCAACTCCATAGCTCTGCATACACGAAAACTAGAGCATTCTCGTTCTCGGCGAAGATCGGATCTCCCTCATGCATAAGTCCCAATAGCCTCATCCACAATGCGAGCGTCTCGAACCCCAATGCAGCAGTGCACGCGGAAGGCTGCAAACTAGCATACCGGCGCGGCCGCCGTCTAGCGATGGCCTCCTTTTCATTCGCTGAACAGCTACCCCGCCCCCTGAGAGCACCCCACTTTCATGCAAAGCTATACTGTATCTCTCTTTCAGCGCGAGGTTTTGTGCCACCACCAGACGGACGCAGGTTAGAGCGAACGTGGATGTGAACGTGGCAGCGCCGATAAGGGGAGGTGCGAGAATTTGGAAATTTATTTTTTTTATTTTTTCCGTGGAGGGATAAGGTTACAGCGTTGTTGATATTTGTAGGGTAATCTTACCTAGGCAGGCAGGTAAATAGTGATAGGATAGGGTTTAGCTGTGAGTTATTGATTGTTACATGCATGGTCTCTAATCTATGTGGGGAAAGGGCTGATATTACTAGCCTAAAGTGGAGTGAGTGGACCTGACCTCAGATCATTCATCGAGTACTGTACCTAGGTAGGGGGGGTCTTCTCCCACCATCACCACGTGGTGTCGAGTCGAGTCGAGTCGCGTCGCGATCTTTTCATTCTCCTCTTTCTATATTTCCATTTCCATTCCACCTCACTCGCCAAGATGGGAAGTCTAGGACACGAAACGACTCCATTACAAGTCGCCATTGTCGGCACCGGAATCGCAGGACTCACAGCCGCGATTGCGCTTCGCCAGCACCCGAATATCAATGTCGTGCTGTACGAGAAAGCCACGGAGTTGAAGGAGATTGGCGCCAGTATCACGCTGGGGCCAAATGGGTTGAGGACGTTGGAGCGGTTGGGGTTGCAGGATTGTATTACGGATCAGGTGGCGTATCGGGGACCGAATCCGATTTCGAGGATTTATAGACATTGGTGGGTGTTCTTCTCTCTACCTTATTAAAAAAAAAAAATTGGTTGCTCTAGATGCACCTCAGATATTTAGTACGGGAACAGAATAATAGATAAGCTAACCAGGAATATTATAGGAAAACAAACGAAATCATCGGCGAGGATTTCTACGAGAATGTTTCGGAACCATTACATTACACGGCTCGATTCCATCGCGGACATCTCCAACAAGCGCTCCTGAAACATATTCCCCGCGATACTATCCACCTCAAGAAGAAACTCGTATCAGTGACCGTACACCCGGTTGATGGCGTACAAATGACATTCCAAGACGGAACGACTGCAACCACTGATCTTTTGATCGGAGCTGATGGTATTGCTTCTGTAAGTCAAGTATATAACTCTACACCACAAGTCCCCAAAAGCTAAGTTCTCATCCCTAAAGGGTGTCCGGAAATCCTTCGCCCCAGACTTCAAGCTGGAATGGAGTGGTCACAGTACGTCCAACTCCCCTCATTTCCTATTCCTCCACCCACCTCAATTCAATCTACCCATCAACCCCCCCTCCTCCCCTTCCAATCTCACTCCAACCCAGACACTAACCCATCTATCAATTACTCAGCCGCCTTCCGCGGCATCTTCCCCGCCTCCCTCGTCGCCCCCATCGCCGGCGTCCCCCTCGACTCAACCCACTGGTGGGGCCCCGACACCAACTTCTTCGCCACGCGCCTAGCACGGGACCTCTTCACCGTGCAAGGCGGCATCTACGCCGATCCCAACGACCCCGTTGCCATCGCTAAGTTCCGGGATGGAGGGCGCTGGGATAGGGAGGCTGATGTTGAGTTGTTGAGGGAGAAGTATGTTGTGAGTACTCCTCCCCTTACTACTTTTTTTGTATTTGAATGGAAAAAGAAGAGGAGAGGAGAGGAGAGGAGAGGATGGGGGCTAATAAAGAAACAGGACTGGAACCCCGTCGTCCAGAACCTAGCAAACACCTGCCCCGACATCCGCTACTACCCCAACTACTTCTGCGGCTCCTCCCTGCCCACCTGGATCTTCGGCCTGGGCCGGGTGACGCTAATCGGCGACGCAGCGCACGCGCACGGCGGCGCCTTCGCGACGGGCGGCTCGCTGGCGATTGATGATGCGTATGCCCTTTACTTGGCGATCCTAGAAGTGTATCCCGTGACGGAGACGGGGAGGAGGTTAGGGAGGGAAGGGGTGGAGAGGGCGTTGCGGTTATACGAGAGCACGAGGAGGCCGCATGCGGTGAGGTTGTTGAAGGTTGTGCATGCTAATAATGAGATGAAGACGCGGAAGATACTTGCTGAGACGAGGGAGACGGATGAGGAGCTGAGGGCGAGGGCCAAGGCCGGGAGTGGGACGACGTGGTTGCATGAGCATGATGTTGTGAAGGCGTTTGAGGAGGTTGTTAGGGCTGAGAGGGAGAGGGGGAAAGGTGTTTCAGAGGTGACGGCTCGATAGAAAGATATTTTTTCAAAGAAATAGGAAGGTGTCATATATGCTAAGGCAGGCATGAAACGGTTTTCATTAGCTCTTTTCGAGTCTGAGTATGTTCTTCAACACCCGTTATCTACGGATATCTACCGTCAGCACAAGATCATTGAAGATTGAGGAAGAGGAATATAGCGAGGAGAGACAGGGAAAAGGTTCTGAAGGCTTAGTCTTATATCATGTTAATATACGGACACAGGATGGGCTTGCCCCACTAGAGGCATACGGGAGTGTTTGGCCCAAATATTTGGTGAACGATAGATTATGGAGCATATTTGCTTCAGCACAAGAAGTTTTCATGTCGAATCGAAGCTACAGTGGTTTAATTTGCAGATTGAGCATACTTGACTCTAAAGGCATAGACAAGTCTGTTGATTTGCGTAGAGACAAAGCTTCTATTGCCTCTCAACAGCAATTGCAAAGTCCTAGCAATCCGATCTCCCTAATCTTCGCAGCGCCTCATTCCAACCTCCAACCTCCAAACTCCAACTCCCTTCTTTACTTCTCACTATAATCCCCCTTCGCCCACATCCTCAACACATTCTTCTTCAGCTTCCCCGTACTCGTCTTCGGCAACTCCTCCACAACCTCCACCTCCCTCGGCACCATGAATTTGCTAATCGCACTCTCATGCTTAGCCCACTCTATCAGATCCTCTCCCTTGAGACTCTTCCCTTGTTGCACGGTAATAAACGCTTTCGGTCGCTCGCCCCAGTGGGAGTCGGGGACGGAGACGACGCCTGCTTCGAGGACGTCGGGGTGCTGGACTAGCATGGATTCGAGCGCTACGGAGGAGATGTTTTCTCCGCCTAAGAAAGAAGAGTTAGTGTTTGGTAAATAGAGGAGACGGGACGAGAATGAGGAGGTACAGTACCAGAGATGATGATATCCTTTGCTCGATCCAGGATTTGCGCGCTGCCGTCTTCGTGCCACACTGCCAGATCTCCGGAATGCAGACCACCACCCGCGAACAATTTCCTCGTCGCTTCAGGATCCTTGAGATATTCTTTCGCGCAGATATTGCCAAAGAAGATGATCTCGCCTATTTCTTTCCCGTCTTTCTGGACATCGATTAGAACGCCTTCTGGTTGGTCTGGCTTGATGATTCGGATTGGAAGACCGGTGATGAATCCATGCCCTTGACGAGCCATGCGTGCGTATTTCTCTTTTATGGGAAGTTTTTCCCAGATCGGCATGTGGTAGCCTTTGGTTATCGGTCCGTATGTTTCCGTGAGGCCGTAGACGTGGACGGGGATCAGGTTCAAGTTTGTCATTTGCTCGAATAGGTGCGCTGTTGGTGGTGAGGCTGCTACTGTTACTCGGACGGGGTTCTTTAGTTTCTCTGCTTCTTTGGATGCACAGAGGAGTGTGTTGACTGTGGGCGCGGCGTTGAAGTGAGTTATGTTTTCTGTTTTGAGGAGCTTCCAGATTAGAGGGTAGTCGATTTTTCGGAGACAGTAGTGAGTTCCTCGTACTGCTGTCACAGCCCATGGGAATGTCCATCCTACGGCATGGAACATGGGCAATGTCCATAAGTATCCACATCTTCCAACTTGGTAGTTCAAACCGCTCTCAATCACGTTGCCTAATGCCGCCAAATATGCTCCTCGATGTGTATAAATCACACCTTTTGGTTTCGCCGTCGTACCGCTGGTGAATGGTATCGCAATCGTTCCATTCTCGTCTTGACATTGTGCCTCTAGTCCAGCCCATCCTTTGTTCCCTTGTTGATGATCATAATTCAATCCTTCCAATACAGCTTCGTCGAAGGGTCCCGATAATTGTCCTTCTGTGGCATCTGTATCCGTATCGATAATGAAAGGAACGCCAGGACTCTGTTTCCGGAAATCATCTAGCAGATGAAGATATTCCTCATCCACGATTATAACATCCACCTCCGAGAACGTAAAAATGTACGATATGTCCTCCGTCTTCAATCTATAATTGACCGCCACACTCACACCTACAATCAATCAGTCTCAACTCTCATCTCCTCCCCCGAATTTAAACAATCAGAAAGAAAACAAAACTCACCACCCGCAGCCGCAATCCCAAAAATACTCTCCAAAAATGCCGGCGTATTTGGTGCCAAGATCCCAATCCGCTTCCACCCCCTCTTCCGCAAGTAATACGCCAAACCCCTCGCCCGATCCGCAAACGTGATGTAGTTCCGCCGCAGCACCTTGCCGTTGGCAGTAACATGGTAGATAGCCTCAGCATCGGGTTCTATCTCTGCTGCGCGCGGGAGGAAGAAGGTCGGTGAAAGTTGGTGGATGTGAGGTTCGTGCGGGGCGGTCGTTGAGGGAGAGGAGGACAGGAAGTGCGAGGCTAGTTTCTGGAGGCGGGACGTTGGTGGGGACATTTTGAGATGTATAGAGGACGAAAGAAGAGAGAAAAGATGGAAGAAAAGGAGGACGGAGATTCCGTTGCGGTAGGTAGTACACTTCAAGCCACCGAATGACTTCTGGAGCAGGATATCATGCCCAAGTCCTTTGCGGAAATGCGGAAGAAAGAGAAAGAGATAAAGGAAGAAAATGTCACTAAAACTCAGCTCTTGTCCCAGACGGCATCTTCAGTACTTAAGTCGCCGCTCCTCTGCAGTCATGGGTAGCTTTAGCAAATCCCAGGGCGCTGAATGGTGATCACTAGCTTGGTGTGGGGTAAGGGGAAGCCAGCGGGTTCGGTTCCGCGATTGAGTCTCCCGAGGTTGGAGGGCGAATGGAGATAGCCGTATGCGGTATCGGTCAGGTTTGTTATTATGTATCTAGCTAGGTATGAGGTGAGATGAGAGTCGCATTTTGGTCTTTTTTGGATACCGGTGTAAGTAAATTCTTAGAAAGAGAAATGCGGTAAGGCTGACATTGTGGGGGAGATACGTGCTGTTGAGTAAAGCAGCAATGGTAATCTAGGATGTCGATACGACTAGAATACGAGATCCAGACATTGAAGAGGGAGATAAATGGTATCCAGGTACAGATCATATAGGTATATACGCATATCGACGAATTGGAAGGAGATCAAGAAGTAAGTGTATAAAAGGTGCTGGCAATCGATCATCATTTCATTTGCGGCTTCACTCGCATACCACTCACTCCACCAGGTCCATTATTATTCTTATTCGTAGGTTTCATTTCCTTATCAGCAGCATGCGAGACGGCTTATACACAGCAGGACCCAGATCCATGAACGATCCTTTTTTCGTGAATAGCAAACCCTCCAAACCGTGCACCGCTGTATGATTGTGAAGAACCAGCCCTGGGCTTATCTTCCCGTAGACCAGGTCGAACAGAGCATTGACGTTTGTCGAAGGGGGTAGCGTTGAAAAAGCAGAAAACAGAGAAACATTCCCGACCAAATCCCAACCATCCAGACCGATATGCGAAATCAATAACGCCACGATGTCTAGTAGCCGTACTCAGCCAGTTGCTTCTTGGTCTTGTCGTCAACCTTCGCGCTCTTCTGAGCTTCCGATAGTTGTCTTCGTGCAGCCCGCTTGCGCTCGTAGTATGCTTGACCCTTAACCTTTCTTCGCTCCTCGAGTCTGTATCGTAGTCAGTTGCCCGTTCCAAATATCATATTCCCAAAAGAACTGACCTCTCAACAACGTCCTTGTACTTCCATCCAACCTCGTGGCTGAGTCTGCCAACCGTGCAGTACTTGCGGCCGGGCTTGAGTCTCAGAACTCTCAGGGCTTGGGGAACCACAACTCGCTTGACCTTGTCGTATGGTGGTGGGACACCCTCGAATACCTTGAGTCTCTCCATAGCAGCGGCACCACGGGCGGTCTTGTGGGGAATCATGCCACGGACGGTCTTGTAGAAGATTCTTGACGGAGCACGGTAATGGAAAGGACCTGTTTTAGTCAGATATGCCATTTGCGCGGACACGAACGGCGCTTCGATGTCTAGCTGGTGATAACGTACCTCCTCGGGTTGGGTTGTATCGAGTCATCTTTCGGAGGTAGGCGTGGTACTTTACTGTATATCGCACCCAAGTCAGCCATGTTGTCCCTGTATGCCCAGCGCGCCAATATATCCCAGCCTCCATGCTTCCAGAGTCGCGAGTAATAAAAGGTGAACGTACGCTTCGCACGGAAGAACTCTCCAGAGATGTTCAAGGCCTCACATCGCACAACGACGATCTTTTGACCATTGAGCAATTGCTTAGCCACGGTACTGGCCAGCCGACCAAGCAAGTGACCCTTGCCATCGATCGTGATCTATCAGACACACCGCAATCAGCATCCGTCACCCATCCAAATATCCTCAATCGTGAACCCAAGAAAATCATTCGCATCGCGAGCGCGGGAAGAGGACTTACGACTGGCTCGAAGGTCGACATTTTTGTCCTGCTTCACGGGGAATGAGAAGACAATTGTCGAAAAGGTTGCCGGTATCCTCTACCTTCGTGATGGTGGAGGCGTGTTGTCGATTTGTTCGTTGATCAGGTCTTGTTGAATCCGTGCAAAGTTGACCTTTGGTGTTGGAGCTAGCGGGTCGCTTAATTTACCAGAGCCGCATTGGGATAGGGCACACAAACCCTGATTTTTGAAAGTGAATCTAGATCACGATTTCGATGAATAAATCAATGCGAGGATAATCTGATTTTATTCTTATTATCTATTCTGGTTTCTATTGTTCTAATGTTTACTTAGATGTAATTGTTGCGCATTATGCAGTGTGGTTTTGTCACAGCTAGTCCCCGAAATACGAACCTGGATCTGAGAACATCTTCCTGTAAAGACGAGAATTCAAAGCATAGGAATATTCGTGGAGTACGAGTCCAGTAGCATATTCCACATAGTTTGTTCTCTTCTTGTGCTTTATAAGAAGTATTTGAAGTATTCCTTGCACGTCTTCATGAGCAGTCAGATGATTGGAACCATGCCCATGTAAATAGGTAACTTCTACAGTGAAGGCCGTTGCTGTTGCTAGCGTTATTATCTTGGCCTGCAATCTAGATGCTCATGTTCTTATATTTACTGAATAATTTGTAAGTGTGGAATTAGGGCTCTAGGGGCGAGAAGCTGTCAAGATCGAACAGGGGACTGCTAGATGGCATTGTAACTTTGTAGTTTTGACATATGCCCCTCGGATGAGTAGACTTTATCTCCGAAAGTCTGTGGAGGATGTAACCTAATGTCAGGGATATGACAATCCTACAACACATGATCACTGCAGTAAAAGACCCCAAGAACAAGAGTAGGCGGTATATGCATAGCAGAAATGAAGGCCATTCTCAGCAGCAGATTACTATTCTAGGTGAGATGCCAAAACCCACAAATATGACCATCCCTCTGCCCATCCATGCAATCAGTCTTCAAAACGCCATGCTCAGCCGTCACGAGGCATTTCTGTACAGCCTCTGAGGGGAGATCCGCCCCCATAATGCAAATGCCTGAAGCAAAAGAATTCGTAAAATTTCCGCCCAGCCGTCATCATCTAAAAGAAACAAATTACTCGGCTACTTTGGCATCTAGGCCATTCAGCACGCCTTGAGTCTCTCGAACTAATGCTCGTCTCTTCTCCCTAGCTTCTGAGTCTCCTTCTGTCTCGACGGCGTCGAGTTTCAGGAGGACTTCATTCATGATCGTCTCGCTCAGCTTCTTGTGCTCGAAATCCTTCTTCTTGGGGTCTGATGGTGGGGCGGCTGTGAATTGGACACAGAGTGGTAGGATCTTGGTGTGGAAATGTGAGGAGATGGTGTTCAACTTATCCAAAGCCGTCTTTGGGGGAGCCGGAGATACAGTTCTGGAGTTGGCAGTACTTGTGCCGTCACCTGGAGACAAATTTGGATCGCCCTTCGAGGCTTCGCTCTTCTTCTTCCCACCCTTCTTCTTGCCCTTTCGATTTCGCTTCTTTTTCGAGGCTGGTACTGACTCACTATCATCGTCCTCCGAATCTCCGCTTTCTTCTGGCGGTGCATCCCCGACTATACAGAGAACCTCGCTATGATTCTTCAGGCTGTAGTCTCGACATGGCTTGTAGTCATCCTTCAACTGTTGGCCTTTGTATAACAGCTTCACCATCTTGCCTGATGGTAGATCCATTACCGCCGCTGCCCTCTCCTTCAAATCCCGGACTTGTAATTTCCCATCTCCAATGCTGTATGCTGGAAACTTGACAGGATACGTGACTCCCTTGCTCTTGATCAAGACCACATCATCCTCGGCGGCCATTGAAGGTGGTGGAGCTCTGCCATTGGGGTCGTATGTACGATTTGGGTGAGCTAGATCGTCGGAGGTGATATAGGAGAAGTCATCCTCGGTGACATTTGGTGGATATGCTCGACTACCAAAGGGCGAGAATCGTGTATTCGATCCGCCGCCCCAAAACGAGCGGCCCCAACCGCTCATTGAAACTGCGAAGACGGTTGTGAGAAGGACGATGCTGCTAACAAGCGTAGTCGGCGGGACGCTATCAAGATGCGTGTACTTTGCAGCAGTGGAGATGTAGTTCTGTGTGCTGGGCGGGAGTGAGGAATATGCGGTCTGGAGAGTCTCGAGGGAGGTGTCGATGTAGGACTGAAGAGAGTCAGGTAGATGTTGAAGGACTGAAGACAGGGTGGCACCTTGCGATGCTAAAGCACTGGAGGAAGCCACCTTGTCTAATTCCTGTTTGTCCTGCTATAGGACCTGTATTCTGTCTTTGTTACTTTGCTTCTTTGAGTCAGGTGGGGTCGTGAATTGATCGTCGGACGTTGAACCTTGACTCGAGGACAATCCTGAACTTGTTTGCTGGAGGAACAAAAGCGAGCGAGGATTATTTCCCGAGCCGATAACACGGATACGTGATACGTGATTCGATCACGTTGGGAAGTCAACATAGAATATTCTCAGACAAGGCCTCGAATCATTTGTCTTGCATTGTCTTAATTAATAAACACGGTATTCTAGAACTACAATAGAAAGAAATCTATGTGGAATCATCGCTGGCTTGTTCCAAATGCTGACCGTGAGCTGCCAGCAAAGCGGTGGCTTGCTGCAACCTTCCATTCACAAGTCCAGAATCAGACCCCGACAAGGTGATGACAAAGCCGTTGCCCGCTGGGCTGGGACTCGAGACCCTTGCGTCATTGCCGAAAGGAAAGCATTCCACTGCTGCTCCTCCCAATCACCATACTAATCAAAATTACCGGTGCATTCGCCATTGTCTACAAATAATTCCCACCCCTCATTCCACGATAAAGAAGACCCCTCTCCCATCGACACCCGCTTCACCAGTTGCCCACCATTTCGTTCTTACGCCGATTCTTCAGTTCGACTTCTGTCAACCCCGCCAACATGTCTGCAGCAAAGACCAAGGCCCAAAACATCATTGATGAGAATGCAGTTGGTATGTTGTCATTTTTGCCCCTCTTTGACTTGGGAATGCCTGCTAACACTGCATGTTGCTTAGCTGTCTTCAGCAAATCGTACTGTCCGTACTGCAAAGCTACCAAGCAACTCTTGAATGACATGGGAGCCAAGTTCTACGCCATCGAGCTTGATCAAGTTGGTATGTAAGCCTCGATGTGTTGGTTGGACTGTAGCTAACGTACGTGGTAGATGATGGTGCCGATATCCAAGCCGCATTGAAGGAGATCAACGGCCAGACTTCTGTGCCCAATATCTACATTAAGCAACAGCACATTGGAGGAAACTCGGATCTTCAAGCTGCCAAGGGAAAGCTTCCTGAGCTGTTGAAGGATGCTGGAGCCGTCTAAGTGGCAAGATCTGGGAGGATACACTCATTAATCGTCTAGAACAATGAATACAGATTGCAAAGTCTACTTTTAAATTTCTTTTGGATTTCATACAGTATTATACATGTACCTGTGTTGCCACGGTACCAACGGGCCGTTCGACGTACTCCATGATTCCGTCGATAATGCTTTTCCGAGCTGGTTCACTGGCAACAGTCTTACCAGCCAAGTAGTTGAGCCATAAAGCCCTTGATAGTCTCTCATCAGCTACATCTCCAAGTCTGTTTGCCCCAACTTTCCCATCATCGTACCAGACAGCCAGCTTTCCTTGCTTGTCTCTCGATAGTAGCAACTCTTTTTGTTTCGGCACCGTGCCTCTATTAAAAAGAGCCTTGAAATCCGCAACACTCTTCCCAAATGCCTCATCCCCAAATTCGGCTCTATTCCCCTGTGCTCTCGCTGTAATAGCTCTCACCCATCCATCCCTCAGATGTGGAAAATCCGTATTCCTCGTAGGCACAATTCTCATCAAGCTCCTCACTCCCGCATCCCTCAAAACCTCACTCCAAATCCTCGTCCCCTCCTCGGGATCGTACAGTTTCTCTCTCAACTTCTCCTTCTCGCCCGCAACCAAGGTGCTCGCAATCGGATCAATCTTCTTAATCAACGCCTCCTGTAACGCAGCAATGTCGTCCGTCGCTACATACATCCCCACCACATAAACCTGCACGCCCAGAAAACTCACAGTCCGGATCCCCAGCCCTAATAATTGGTACTCCACCAACCTATCGTCCGAAACTGCGGGTCCAGCACCATTCCCTATAATCTCCCGCTCGTCGTCGACAAATAACACGATCCGCGGAAACGTAGGCACGTAACTCGTCCCCGTAGCCACAATCTCGACTTTCTCCTCCGGCTCCTCGCCGAGCTTCTGCACGACTACTTTCCGCTCGCGGCCTAGCACAACGAGGGGGTCGTCGGAGCGCCGCCCCGAGTCGAGTTTGCTGGCTGGAGGGTATGTTTCTAGGTCGATGGATGTCGCGGTTATCCAGATGGCGAGCATGCCGAGGACGACGCCCGCGGAGAGGTAGTAGGTTCTGCGTTGTTGGTAGGCGCGGTGTTCTGCTTCGAGGCGGTGCAGGGTGATGGGGTCAAGAGCAGGTGGAGGTTCGACATGGTTGGATTGAGAGGGTAATTCTCGGGTTGAGGAATAGCGGGGGAGGAATTGGGATATGGGACGGAGGATACGGGGTCGTGGGATGTGGGTTCGCAGGAGGCGGATTGTTGGGTTGCGGAGAGACATTTTTGGGTTGTGTTGGGGAGGTGGAGGAGAGGAGAGATGAAGTGGTTTGGAAATGAGGTGATGTTTCGTTGCGCTTGTGCACAAGCCGAAATCTGGGGTAGACGCCAAATGTCTTGCTCGATGACATCCTTGGCTTTCTTTCTGTCAATTGAAAAATTCTCTAAGCGCTAAACATCATAAAATTAATTTATTCTTCTCTGCAAGTTCTATTCATTTATTTATCATATGGTGTGGATCCTTGATTCGTTTTTCTCGAAATGCTCTCGTTGTGCCCACCTCCCTTCTCGAACCTGCAATGTAAATGCACTTTATTTGCCAAGGAGTTTGATTAGATCAAGCTCTGCTGTTGCATTCCAAAGGACTCTGATTGGAAGATACTTGCTGTTGGATTTCCAAAAAAAAAGTTTCCAGCGGTCTTTACTATTGGTTGCCATCCCAAACAGTACCAAGAGATTCTTAGGCAGCAAGATAAACACCCTTCTCTTCTTCTATATACTCTCGGGAATTATCCATTCCCAAGGAAAGCCATTCTTTTCAGTGTTTACAATTCTCCATTCTCAAATTCCTTCTATCATCAATAACCCTTTTACTTCGAAATGTCAGACGACGCTCGCAAATCTCCCAAGTTCTCTTGGGACTACGATATTCCTAACGATGCTTTCTGGAACAGTATCGAGTACAGTGCAGCAAGGAATTTCCTGCAATGCTACAAGGAGTCCGAAATATCCAAGATGCATTTCGACAACAAGCTTTCTCTCCCGGCAAAGTACAAGTTGATGCGTCAATACCTAGATAAGACATTCAAAGAGAAGGAAGAGGAAGTAGCACCTGCTCCTCTCCTCGATGCCAACTACCCAGTGTGGTTGCAGTTGAAGCTAGCTATGAGCACGATGGAATATTACCTTGAAGACTACAACGAGCAGGAACGTCTTGCGAGAGAAATGTACGAGTGTGCACCGAATGACAATAAGAAGATGAGTGCTCTGCATCAGTTGAGCGGCATCTTGGAGAAGACAAAGAGATACGCAGACGCGGAGAGGATGGCGAAGAAAGTTCTGCCTTGGCTGCAGGGACATGAGCTACTGGGCAAAGATAGTCCACAAGCATTGAGTTGTGTGAGGACCATTGCTTCGAGTATCTGGAAGCAGAAGAAGTATAAGGAGGGTGGTGAGTGGATGGATCAGTATGGGATGTTGGTTGGTTCTATGAAGGATGGGAAGTTTGAGAAGTATCGGGATACGGAGATGAAGTTGTATGTGGAGGCGAAACGAGCATTGTGGGAATGGAGAAGGGAGCAGGGTGATGCATGAAGATATACTGATTTGAATTTGGATCCTGTTACGATGTCTTTGAGGTAAGGGATTGCAAGTCATGACAAAGTCTGAACGCCATTGTCGTTAGTTTGCACTCGGGTCCAAACACGCAAAGTATTTGAATTTCTCCAACTCGCCGAAGGATTCAAAACTATCTGCTATGTATGCATCTTAGAGATCACGACACACCGTGAAGCTGCATAGTGACGTCGTGATGTACACGTCCGAGCCTTAAAATCACTCTGAATTGCCGGGATACCCATTGTTTGGGATCCCTTCAGGAATAGAATAGCCTCGAGACTCGCTTCGGAAAGTTTGGGAGGCGTGGGTGATTGTCTCTTCTTGGAAGTATGCTGTCTCACTTAGATAGCTTCACTACAAACTCCAGACAACCTGGTGCTGAGGAATAGTAGGGGTATTGGGCATTTGTAAAGCACATTCCAATGAACAAAAGCGTAGAGGTTCTGTTGGCCCATGAACCCTGGTCATCGACTAGAGGATTCGGGAAAGCTAAGTTGAATTGGTGCGAATCTTGAGATCAGATCATATCAGATCAGATCGCTCTCAGCATAACCATCTCCTATCACCATATAGAAACTCCTATTGAATACAATAGCGGCTCTTGATCAAAAGGTTCTCGCAATTCATAACGCAATATATGGCCCCCAAATATCTCCATGCAGCACCACATCCTAAATGACCTCAAGGCTCACGTGTCAGAATCTGCGTTCCATGCCACATTAAGCGAGACCAATTAGCGTGTATGCAGCATCCGCGCATTGTCACATCTCTTCAATCCATCCAAGATCAAACATCGCCCATAATCTGATCACAAAGCAGTAAACGCCGACACTCCTCAACAACCACGACAACCTTACCTGCAACTCTCGTCGCTCTCTCTGCAGAAGCTCCATGGACAATATTCATTTCTCAAGGATCTAGCTACCAAATCTCGAACACAATAACGAGTCTACATCCCGCGAGGCTGAGGGGCACCAAGCACTCTTTACGAGACGTCAAAGCAGCCCAATCCCGATCGCACCTCCATCCTTAGAGAGTATCGCGATATCACATACCTATCCACCTTCTTCTCGACCGTTGACTCACTTCGAACCTCCTCACGCTCCTTCCTTTCGCATATCTCCTACGTACAGTCATCATGAGGGGTCGTCATCCCACGATACCACGTCCCTCGATGGCGCCCATCAACATCGACGCCTCTTATCGCGCCACGCCTGATCCGGAGGGGGATTCACAATCATCGTCGAGTAACTCTCCAGCTCGAGCTGACTACGAAGAGTCGGACTTTTACGCAGGAAACAACGATTCGCAGTCTTCGATCGGCGTTCCTACATTCCAAGACATGGCGGTATCGGAGGAGAGCTGCGAGCCCCCCGCCAACCGCCTTCCGGCAGAGGTTTTGATCGGCATCTTCTCGAAGCTTAGCAGCCCTGTGGATTTGTTGAACTGCATGCGAGTATCGAAGAGATGGGCTAGGAATAGTGTGGATCTGCTCTGGCATCGACCAGCATGTACAACATGGGTCAAGCATGGCTTTATCTGCAGAACACTCTCCCTTCCTGACCCCTACTTCGCATACCGAGACTTCATCAAACGCCTGAACCTTGCGGCGTTATCTGACGGTGTAAACGATGGCAGTGTGACGGCACTACAGTTCTGCAAGAGAGTGGAGAGATTGACCTTGACTGGCTGTGATGGCCTTTCTGATGGTGGTCTTGTCGGTCTTCTTGAGGGCAACCATCATCTGCTGGCTTTGGATATCTCTGGAGACACTCAAATCACAGAAGCTTCCATGTACGCTTTGGCTGAGAACTGCAAGCGGTTACAAGGATTGAACATCTCCCTCTGCACAAAGATCTCTAATCAGTCCATGATTGCCGTTGCAGAAAATTGCAAGTATATCAAGAGAGTAAGTCCCCATTCTCTGCACGCATGTTTTGGTTCTAATGTTGTATAGCTCAAACTCAACGATTGCGAGCAACTCGAAGACGCTGCAATCATGGCATTCGCGCAGAACTGCCCAAACATCCTCGAGATCGACTTACATCAATGCAGATCCATTGGAAATGGACCAGTGCATGCACTTCTCAGTAACGGGCAAACTCTACGAGAACTTCGGTTGGCGAACTGCGAGTTAATCTCCGACGAAGCCTTCCTTACACTGCCTCCCGTGCGGACCTACGAGCATCTGCGGATCCTTGATCTGACAAGCTGTGCCCGCCTTACGGACAGCGCGGTGGAGAAAATCATTGATGTTGCCCCCCGACTGCGGAACGTGGTTTTTGCAAAGTGCAGAAACCTGACAGATGTTGCAGTTCATGCGATCAGCAAGCTCGGGAAAAACCTACACTACCTGCACTTAGGACACTGCGGGCATATCACCGACCAAGCAGTTATCAAGCTCGTCCAAACATGCAATCGAATTCGATACATTGACTTGGGCTGCTGCATTCATCTTACAGACGAGTCTGTGACTAAGCTGGCCCAGCTTCCGAAGCTCAGGCGCATTGGTCTTGTGAAGTGCTCTGCTATCACCGACAAGAGCGTGTATGCATTGGCCAATGCCACACGTCGTCGACATATCCACCCAGAACTCCTTGGTGACCATCACTCTTACATATCCACTTCAGGGGGAAGTAGTCTTGAAAGAGTTCATCTCAGTTACTGCACTAATTTGACCTTGACCGTAAGTGAAACACATCATCTCTTCTCTAATATTGGCTAATATCAAACAGAGTATCATCTGTCTGCTCAACAATTGCCAGAAGCTCACTCACTTGAGCTTGACTGGTGTTCAAGCTTTCTTACGTACTGACCTAGAGCAATTTTGTCGAGATGCACCACCAGGCAAGTTTCTCCGCGTCCTTTTTCAATGCATCGCTAATCTCAAAAACAGAATTTACGGAGCACCAGCGAAATGTTTTCTGCGTCTTTTCTGGCCAGGGTGTGATGGGCCTTCGCACTCATCTCAACAAGCTACCCCTCACCCACTTTGATCCGACGGGAACTGGTCCTGTAGATGACGACGAAGATCATACCATGACTGGTACGGATCACGCAACACTTATGATGAGTGCTGCAGCCTTGAATGCTGATGAAGATGACGCAGATGGAGACGAAGAATTGGATGATGGTGACGACAATGGCGGAGTTTCTTTCAACCACGGCCAGACTTGAAAGGTCGATAGTTGGGAAATTCAATAACGAAGTCGGAATATGGGGTTGTTGTTAAAGTACCAAAGGATTATATGTATGACGATGGACTTAATTATCAACGCACGAAGAAACGCCACAGCCGCTTCGGATCATCGGAGCAGACGCTACGTTTCTTTGAGTATGCGTAGAAGCATGGCTTAGAGCCGATTCCTGCACGGAATAGTATTTTCGTAGCAGCGGCTGTTTCGAGGTGGGATCGAGAGGATCAAGAAGGGTTGGACTGGCGTTACAGATTATGGTCTTTACTAGCCAGCTACTAGTATCGATTGATCAATTTTTGACTTTCATCTTTGGTTCCAATTGCTCTGAGATTTTTGTGTTGTTGCTGTGACGTGCAAGCGCACAGAGGAATAAGACAACATTCATCACCCACTTTGAAAGGCACCGCGGGGCTCTGGGTCTTGCATCTATATTTCACTCCTCTTTCTCACATCATACTCTAACATGTCCTTCTAGAAACTTGACAGCCAGGGCTTTTCACCTCGAGGCACACTTGACATGTAAGTTTGTCTAACAATACGGCATTCAATGACAAAGACTAGAAGCCCGAACCAGGGTGCTCAATCTAAGTAAAGAAATGGCAAACATGATACAGCCTATGTGGTATTCAGCTGCCACACAACATGAAGTTCGTACGCAGCACTGGTGTTTCCGCATCTAGATTTCAAGATTTCGCTGATTGAAGAATGCCTGTCACAGATTGGATGAGTCCAAACACAATAGTAAGAACAAGAACTAAAGCCGCGACCCAGAACGTCCACCATTGTACCGGTTTTCTATCATCTCTCCACCATTGGAGAGGCCCATTCGGCTGATGATCATCGAAAGTCTCTTTCAATCCCTTTAGTCAATCCCCCCAGAACTTGAAGTGATCGATATCTCGAAGTTCCGGCTTCAAGTACTCTAAAGAAAGAACACCCGGATCCAGGACGTGCGTTTTTTGAAGACCTTTGTACCACTTTCTCACACGCCGGTCACTTCGCGGAATCAACATAGCAAGGGTGTGGAGAGTTTCTTTGCTCAACTTGCTCGGAATGATTGTACTGCGATCTGCATCAGGAATGGATTTTCAAGTCATACCAGAGCTTTATACTCACTTTGCGAGAGACAAATGATGTTCAAGGATTTTCGCTTGATGAAAAATGTAGACTTTGAGTGTTCCGTCATCATCCTCGAGGAGCAAGTGATCTAGGAGATTGTTCGTCCATATTATCTCGAATCCGGCAATTCGAGTGAGCTGTCTTGCGTTGAAGCTCCGCGGGAACTTCGTGACACGATTACAAGAAGGGCATTTCGTTCTTGCAGCACTTGAGGTTTGAAGTCTCGCTGCGAATTCTTTCTCTGCCATTTGGCTCAGAGTATCGTTATTTTCCCAAGATACGGTTGCGCCTCGTCGAGCTCCCCCTCCGGCTTTGAAATTTAGAGGGACCAGCAATCCTGCAGCTAGAATTACAGCCCTCTCAATTCGTTGCGCATCATTATTGTTTGATGCAGAACGGAAGAAATCTTGAGCCTCTGATTTTGTGCATGGATGTACTTTCAGCTGTTGCACTATCTCCAAGATTTGCTTGTGGGTGAGGTCTGGAATTTGCGAATCTCCGCTGCAAGCTGCCGCGGTGAGTTCCTTGTAGATATGGACGAAATAGCTTCGGTATTCCTTATCACGAAGTTGAAACCCTGGCATTGGTGGTCCAGTAGTCCAGATCGTTCGAGTGACTGCGAGAGAAAAAGTCGGTGTGTTCGGAGTTTTGCGCAGAGAGCCTTGCAACTGATCAATTCTATGAAGCGGAACAGACGACATTCTTGATCAAAAATTCAAGAGTTTGGAACCACAAGCGGGAGAAGTGTATAAAAAGTCTCGCTGGTAATCCGGACTCATGAATAACTAACTCGTCTACTCACTCGCTCAACTTGAGGCTGGGGCCACTGGGCCTTGCCATCAAAATCGATGTGGGAATCTGAAGTGAATTTGCAAACTAGCTTCCAAGGAAATTCTGCAGTGATTCGTGCAGCCTTGTCTGCCTTCAGAGTTGATTGGGAGCCACCGCTGCAAGGCAGCTGCATGTGTTGGCAAGGCAAACTGATAAAGCGGCTCGCCAGCATCTTCTTTATCCTCTTGAGTCAGTCCATGAAAGTTCTTTGTTAATTGAAACTTCTTCGATAGACTCTCAAACATCTACAGTTGTCTTCTCAGACGCTGGCAATGGCTCAGCCACAGCAGCTACAACAATTGGAGCCAAAGCTACCTCGTCTAGGAAACCCGAAATGGAAGGATCCTGAGCGCCGCCAATCCATCAAAATAGATTCGAGAGTGAAGATGGAATGGAGGATTAATACTCCTTTGTGGGTTATGTCTTGCTGGGTGGCATCGTATCCTGCAAGACCTTGCCTTACAGAAGCAATGATGCAGATTGAATTGCTTGTTGACAATCGAAAGAATGATGTGTGGGATGGAGAGCCTACATCACGAGGCTGTGCCTGGGATCGTTCCATGCATGGACGATCATTCAGTGATGCCCAGCCTACAATCATTTTCAGCTCCTCCAGCAAGATATGTCGTCGCAACGCAAAGAAGATCATCTATGATGAGAGAATCAAGGTCGATCCCAGAGGCATTGGTATTCAGTATTACGAGCATGGGCCCGAGTTGCTCTCTGGACCTCTTGATATCCAGGCTGGACTTCGGAACATAAGCTGCTTTAGTCTTCTTTCAAATGAGAGAACAGTAGTACACAACAATGAAGCGATACAGAACACGTCAAATCGCCAAACAGAATCTCTGAAAGTCCGCGATAATCTTTTCCTGAATGGTGCTTTAGTGAATACCGAGTTCGCAACTTGCACTATTGGAGGAATGCTAGCTATTGGCAAAAAGACGTTTGCATTGACTGTTGCGCATGCTTTTGAGCAAAATATATCGTCTAATGAAGAAGGCGGAGATGATTCAGGTGAGAGATTCCCCTCAGTCTTCTGCAACCTGTACAATTTTGTTTAACCCGAATAAAGTCGGCGTCAAGTGTTCACCAGCAGTGATCTACCACGAAAGAGCAGGTCAAGTGGGGACTTTGAAACAGAAAAGGCGGTTGGCAGAGAGCACATCCTCACAATCTCTGGATCTGGACTGGGCTCTGTGTTCAATTGACTGGAATCTATTCACTTCCTCGAATGCACTGCGATTGCCAGATGGTACCATGCTGAACCCAAGAGATGTGGCTCAGGGTGACCCTATCGACACCTCGGTCTGGGTAAATACAGGTCTGACAGGGGTCGAGAAAGGGTTTGTCATGGCAGACTATTCACTTGTTGCACTTTCAGGATCGAACAAGTTTCAAAGAATGTGGATTGTTGTCCTAGACCGTCCTGTCCGTAAGTCATCGACGAGACTAGTATGTGCAACACAAGGAACCGAAGCTAAATCCCACACAGAAAATGGTGACAGTGGCTCATGGGTCTTCGATTCCACCACAGGAGACTGGCTTGGCCACTTAGTGGCAGGCAAGATGGGATCGGAAGTGGCTTACATGCTGCTTGCCAAAGACATTGTGAAAGAAATATCTGAACAAAATGGTGGCGAAGATGTAAGGTTACATCACGAGCTGGATTCCGTTGTGAATTCCGCGGAGATGATTGAAGAACCACTATCTTCTCCACAATCTAGTGGTAGCAAGCAATTGCAGACTCCCAAGAATTCTTTTGGCATCCACCAAAGCTACGCAGGAACGAAAAGCACTGCAGGAGAAAACCCGGCCATACTAAAAGATACTGTCCCAATTGGGCCCCAACTCATAAATCCTGCAGCAAGGAATATCACTGGCTCCCCTGCTCGTATTAGAGCAAGAGATCCAGAATTAGCATCATCCATTGACGACCGCGATAAAGAGGTGCATGGTAAGTCAATCACAGCCACTTGGTAGCCTTGTTCTTACACTTCGAACCTTGTAGTGAAAGACTATCCTCATGGATGGCCGAGATTGGCGGCATTCATGCAGAGTAACGACAACTTCATCATGTTTCGTAAGTTTGAGATGTTGCATTGTCGTGAGCTGCTTCATCTCCAGGGAGAAATTACCGTACTTGAGCGACAAAGAGTGGCACTCGATGCAGCAGATGCCGAGAGCCCTCATCTCAGATACAGATTGAGAACCAACTTTCATGAAGAAGGCGGTGACACTGCTCACATAGACCTCAGAGTCAAAATCAGGTCCAAGCTGTTAGAATACGGTAAGTTTCATTATATTTCGCTTACACTTCTAACTCGATTGACTAATTCCTTTTTGTAGATGAGCTAGTTCTCAAGTATAGTCAGATGAAAAGCTTGAGAAAGAGCCCAAAGATTGATTTCAGAGATCTTTTCAACTGGATCTCGTTGAGAAAGCCACTTTACAAAGGCGAAGATGACTGGATATTTCACGCCGATGATTTTGTATCGCTCTCTAAACAGGCTATTTGGCCTCGATGGTTTGAGGTAAAGTGCCGAATTTATGATGTTCCATTGTTATGGAAGGAAAAACCACTGACAAAAAAAGCAGATTCTCGAAGACTATGCATCACGAAGTCCCAAGAGAGTTTTGCAATGGGTCAAAGCTATTTTTCAAAGTCACCGAGACGACAGTTATGATCGACGATATAACACTAGTCATATCAAAGTGATCACAGCATGTCTCACAACTGTGGCTGTGGGTATCCTTCTCATCCCCGCTATACTACTTTTCAAGCTGGATCTCAGCCGATCTGAATCATTAGCATTGGTAATAGTAGCAGTTGTTGTTTTCTCGTGGTGTATAGCATTCTTCAATACCAATGCGAAAAGCTTCACTGCGACTGCAACGTAAGCAAATGGGCTTAGTGAATGTTACTGATAGCGCTAATATGAAATAGTTATTGTGCCGTGCTGGTTTTATTCTTAAATAATCTGGTGCCGGCTAAGAACACCTGATCTAAATGGCATGGGAACCCAATGTTTGATATTGGAGGAGATATCGATGACGGGAATACCGAATAACAGATGAACACTGGAAGGAAAATCGGGTCTGGAAATGGACATGTCGAAGCTCTTCAATTTCCCGATATTGTTACTTGAATGAATAGATTTTGTGCAAGCAAGTGTCACTTCCACTATGTGTATATGTCGTCGTGAATTGTGTTTCAAAGATTCAGAAGAGATTGAATACTTTCCCTGAGCAGCGATTCCCAAAGCAGCATATCTCCTTCCGCGCCTCGGGCATATAGTGTTGAGCTCAAGTCCCTCATGGTACCTTTCCAAAAGTAACAGTGGGCCGTTGTCTCAGGATGACAATATGATGGCTATCGTTGACACCTCAAAGCTTCTTCCCATCATTTCAGTTGACTCTCATCATTTTCGTTGAAAAGCCAGACCCCTCGGCCAACATCTTCTTCGCATCGAGGGGTTGTGTTGTGCCCAACTAGGACTTTGGTTTCCGCGTTCGCATACTGAACGATGTGTTGGAGTGGTCTTTTCAGAGGTGCCATTCCTGAGCGATGATGCTGTGGAGGAGCACGAAGTAGTGATCCCTGCAACACAGGCGTATATATGCTGATCTGAATGGGAACAGAAAGTTAGCCTCGATCTATTCAGCAGGGAATAATAACATACCAGACATATGTTTGCATATCAAGTCTTCCAATGCTCCCTGATCGCTTGTTTAATCTTCTTGTAATATCCTCTTAAGTCACAACTTCATCGCTTCCCAGGCCCTTCTCGAGATCAGCCATTGGCGTCTCTACAGCTCCTCCTGGGACATCACTCACACCCACAAACGCCAAGTCCACGGCATCTTCGTGCGCTTCCCTTGCTGCCCGTATAGCGTTTGTTCTTGCCCGGTACCGCCACAATAGGATGAAAGGTGCCATTATTGCCAGACTGAGGACGAACCCAAAAGTGTAGGATAAGGTGTTTGGGTGTGGAACATAGCAAATGTTGAACACGAAGCTAAGTATCACCGCCAGAGAAACCACTTCTTCGAACATCGTGTCTTTCGGCCCTGTTCCCTTCTCGAACTTCAAGGCGCAATTTGGATAATATAAATCGTCAAAACGTTGTCACCGAAACAATTCCCTCGGATCCATATCGATATCGCAACGCAACACCAACAAAGAAACGCAAATCCGAAAACAGCGACCTTGCGCAGTATTTGTGTCTCACGCACCCAGCCATCCGTCTTGGCTGCTCGCTGCTTACATGAGGATAAGCCACCGAACGCTACACCACTACAACATCGTGAGACTCCCACTACGCACGTGGCACGACATTCTCGTATTACATGGGGAAAGGAAATCCGCAAAATGGAACTCTTAGCGCTTGAAAACAGAGAAAGCGATATCGCGAATCAGGCGACGCGAGAGAGCGCGCATTGATGGGTAGAGCGTGCTTTGGGGTTAGTGATGAGGAGCAATACGAGGATGAATTTAAAGATGCGGATGGGGTTGGGCGAAGCGGGAGGACCCCTGATTTTTAGCGAGCGCTGAATTTGGAAGGGTTTGCCGCGTTTGGGGGGGTGATTTCTGACAGGAGGATTGGGGCTTTTTTGAGTCAGCTTTCTGAGCCGCAAGGAGGATCTGGGGAAGTTACTATTTCTGTTGATGACGCTGATTCATGCGATTATTCAACTTCACATGAGAAGGAAAGCTAGAGATAAAAAATTTCTTGGGATAGTCAAGCGAGGGCTGAAATCTTGGCATCTTACTAGTATTTCCACCATATATCGTATAGGCAGGAGGAAAGGAAATGAAACACTGTAGTACGGCACAGTTCTCACGATGCTTCAGATTTTTCTTTCATGAAGTGGACGTTGTGATAAGGATACGAGTTCTATGATACGACTTTAAACTTCCCATTCGATATGCAGGGAATATCGCCTTGTGGATTGTGGGGTATTGCACGGACCGTGCCTACTTTCAGACCCATGGAAGCCTAATTAGTCGGCGTGCTCCGTAGCTAGGTACTTGGTTGAATTCGAGAGCGGCCCGGGACATTGGTACGCCAACGGTTTCCTAGTCTTCAGCGTTAAAACGGTGCTTCGGAATATGGACGTTTATGGACAAGCGTCAAACTTCCCTCTTCCTCGAAACCGTGACCTTCTTCACTTGGTAAGGCTGACCTCACTACTTGTGGCACAGAGGCAAGCAGAGCACTGTGGCAGCTGAAAATACCGGCTTAGGCCGTGTGGAGAAAAGAATCTTGCATAGCGGACGAAAATAAGTCGAATTGGTCACGATCTTACAAAGAGGCGCTTTGGTCTACAGATGTTACTCCGTCAGGTTCATACTCGTGTAACGCCTCTTCGGACAGTTCTGGACCATTCCATAATCTCGGGATGATCTGGACTCACTAATAGAAGAATTTCAATCTCAGAAGAGCCACGATTATAGAGTCTCTTGGGGCATGATGGCGTTAGTTTACCAGACATGGATTTACAACTTTGTGAGTCACATTTTTGTGCCAACTTGGTACTGTACTTTGCGATAGCAACGAGTGTATATTTCCGATAGGTTCTCTCTCAATAGCACTTTCACTTCCCGATACTAAAGTGACTCAATAGCTAAGCTCGGGATGCACTTTCCGAACATGTCATCTGTGATTGTCTTTCCTGAGAAACCCCTTCCCCTTTTCCTGCGAATGTTTGCAGCTCGGCTCAGGACAGAATAATGGCTGAAGATCTTCCACTAAGGTCGGATGTTTCTGTCTTACATGTCTGTCTCGGTCCTTGCGATACCGGAAACCGTCTGCAGTGCAGCCACTGACAAAACATCTGAAGTCAAGAGTGTGCTTCTTCTCGTAGGTGCTGAACATCTGTTACTCATCATCATAATTTGGAGAGCAGAAAGTGATGCATACTTCAACTTGTTCAACTGGGTGAAATTTTGAGAGCAGAAACGACATTGAAATGGTGGATCATCAGGTGTTTGTAGCTAGGGCTCAGAGCCGGTTGCAGCTTCAGGGTCTTCACGAAAGTTTAGGAATCCATTGAAAGGACCGTTGGTATTTGGATCAAAAAGTGGCGACGGCGAAGGAAAATGATCGTACGGAGGTGCCTGGGAGATCTCGTCTTCGAGTTGAGGCTGTGTTTCTTGCGTAAACACAGTATCGTCAGGCGGCAGAGAGGTAGAATCTTTAACTTAGCAAGCGCGGATCGATGGACTCGTTTAGATAATATTGAGGATCGAAAGTTGCTGTACCGGTACTAAAAATCTACTCGGGTCTTCTGAAAAAGCTCTTCTCTTCGCCAGGTAGAGAGAGCCCGCCGAAGATCAGACCCCCTCGCGATGAGGTGTGTGTTGAAGAACTAAAAGGAATGTGTGACTGCTGGTCGTTGAAGGAAAGATAAGTAGACGTCGAAAGCGCCAATTTGGCAGTGAAGAGGAAAGAATGGTTCGGATCGTCTCGAGGCAAAATATACTGCTGGGTCAGAATCAAGCAAACCCTTTCTGAGTGGCTCGCTTAGCATTGTAGGCCTCGAATTTAGCTGCATGGATGGAAATGGATTTGTATGGATGGAGAGTCGTTGTGGGCCTCAAAATATGTAGACATCTCCTTTCGAGTACGCCCGACGCAAGGCTGCATGCTCTCTCCGTCAGCATCTTCCTTCGCTGCCTTTGATATGTTGGAAGCGGGAAATATGGAAAGGTCTTCAGAGGGCAGCTGCATGTCTACTGTCTCAACTTGAGAGGACAGGAAAAAATGGCTCACTGTTTTCGATTGATCATGTTTTGGTCTTTTCGCCCTTTTCATTTTGTCCATCATCTTCTGTCTTGCTCTCTCCTCAAACCTGGCTCCGACTTCTCTCTATACAACTTTTGATTGATCAAAGACATATTCGAGACTTCAGCTCAAAAGTCATGGAGCCTATCTTCTGTTGCTCTTCAATCCGGCCATATCGTCCACAAAAGCTTTCCCATGAAGCCAAATTCACCGCCTTCATGGAGCAAGCTACAGCTCTTGCCACCATTGTTCCAACAACCTTCGACGCCGTTGCCCTCCTCAACAAAGAAACGTCCTACGTCGTCCAAGTCGTCCGCCAAGTTAACTATGGCGCAGTCGAATGGAAGAAGCATTTTGCATATACCAAAGTAGACGGAGGCAGCAACTTCCAGGAGGTGTCTGAAAAGGACCTCATCGACGCAAATTATCAGAAGCTCAACTCGTAAGTTCAAGCCTGCCATCTCGTCGAGGGCAACACTGACGTGGACAATAGGTACAAGAACTTCAAATGCATTGCCCACAATCGATTCTTCGAACTCAATATCTATGAGAAGGATCCCGTCAATAGACACCATTGGCTTGCCAACATTGCTCGTCCTGCAGGAGACATCGATCTTGCTTTGAAGTCCCTCTCTATTTCGGAGACCACGAGCCGAGCTCCAACCCAGCCTTCGGATCCGGTTGGCGAAGGATCTGTGCCACAGGAGTGCAAGGAAAACAAAGAGTACCCTGAGGCTGCAACATCCTCGCCAGCACCTACAGCGAACGAGGTTTCTACTGCTGTCTCGTGCGCTACTTCAATTGCCGAGGAGGAGGAGGGCGGGGATCATACGAAGCTTGACAGAGCATTTGACCATGACTATGATCGTGAGAATTATCAAGACTATGGCATCCACTCGGACGGATACGATACGCAGTCAGAGAAAGATTTCACTGCGTGCAGTGCTGATGACTGTGGATACTGCGGACATTGCGACTATTGAATGCGCCCACAATGGATGTACGAGAGAATTCTTATTACGACTGAAAAGTAAAATGAGAGAGATATACAATTTCTTCGAGGTCGCGGGGTTTTAGTATCATTATAGCTCAACCATAGCCAATGGATTGATATTCTTTTCTTCCGTCTCTCACTTGAGTCATTTGCTAGACTATTGATATTGAGCGGGACAGCAATGTGAATTTCAGACTCTCATCTCACAACAAAAACCAGAGAGGCAGCAGATGATGAGCGAACGAGTGAAGTGATTGAAATTGCATGGAACAATTTTTTTAAGATCAGCCCCGCTCAAGGGTCCCACGGCCCAACTGCTCTCGTACCCGACAAGACCTTAGGCAACTCATCACCTTCTCCTACAAGTAGCACATCCTCATGTCTCACGCCAAATTTATCCACGAGATAGACACCTGGCTCACTAGTAAACGTCATACCCTGCCTCAACAAAGTCTCCGTGTTTCCCTTATTCATGTACGGACTCTCGTGAGCTTTGATGCCGATCCCATGACCAACACGGTGAGTGAAAGCATCGCCGTATCCAGCGTCTGAGATTATGTTTCGAGCAGCGATGTCGATTGATGCTGCTGTGGCATTGGCATGCATGGCGACCATTGAAGCGGTTTGGGCATCCAGAACAAGGTCCCAGACTGAGAGCTTTTCTTTGACGAGAGATGAGAGAGTAGCGAACTCGACTGGGGTGGTAGGTTTGGGATTGAAAGGTGGGAAGAATGTTCGGCAGATGTCAGAGGAGTAGCCGTAGAGGTGAGCACTGTTGAGAACGTTAATTAGTACACCGCGATTCAAAACAATCGAACTTACCCAACATCTATGAGAACAAAAGTCTCTGCTTCCAAGACTTTGCTTCCATCCGTTCCACCATGTGGGTTGGAGGCATTTTCATCTATGACACCTATTAGCGTCATTCACGAAAAGTGATTTTAGGGATAACACACCGAATAGAACAATGTCGAAGAACGGCTCCAGCCCCGCTGCTCTTAAAGTGTTGTCCAGCACTTCCATGACCTCGTCCTCAGTCAATCCAGGATACATACACTTCCTCATCTCCCTCACTGCTTCCACAGTTCCAGTATTCACAGCTCTCAAAATCTCAATCTCCCTCTTGGTCTTCGTCTGCTTCACCCTCTCAACCTCCCCACCGAGTCCCACAACTTCAAATCCATTTTCGCCCGATCCCCGCTGGATGAAGTCTCTCATCTCATCATCAACCATGACCTTGGGGTCTTTAACAATCCCACTTTTGTCACCATTCCAATTCTCCCTCAGCGTCTCATAAGGATTCCAATGCTCCTCCCAGCTCACAAACTCCAACTCATCATCGAATGGCATACCCAACAACCTCGCCCTCTCGACCTCAAAACTAGGACAGAGGAATCTGGTCTTTGCTTTCACCTCACCATCATGCCCCACTACGGGATGCACAACCATCAGAAACGGCCGCTCTTCGGGTTCCCAGACCTCCCAATCTTTTTGGCTAATATTAGCATAGTACTGGAATGTGTACCCTGGCTCGACGACAAATGCATCGAGTCCGTCAGCTACGAGGGCTGTTGCGAGATTCTGGCGGCGTTGAACGAATTCGGAGATTGGAAGTGGGGCGGCGTTATCGAGGAATGGGAGACCGGTGGAAAGGAAGTTGTTGATTGAGCATTTTTGGAATGAAGAGATGGTATGTGGCGAAGAGTTAAAGTGCGTGTTATAAGTATATCGAGACGTCTATTTGCTATTAGAGACATCTGTGCATGCTGTGGTGGGAGGGATATACCAAGAGAAAGCACGTGCTAGCAAAAACGATTGCGGCGAGCAAGCACCGTTTCACTCGGTAAGAACCTGTTGAAGAAAGTTCGAGACTTATTTGGGCGCTTGCCTTCTCATCCATATTCGCTGCCATGAGAACTTCAAAGAAAAGGGAAGAGAAGATGTCGAAGCTTGACCGACGTTTGAGCTGCTGATAGGTGGGGGTTGGAAGCGAGACGCCAGTCGAACTTTATCTCAACCACCGAGTCGCCTCTTGCATCACCTTTTCTCTCCATAATTACTCAAGATTAATGAGTAGGAGGGACTTCCAAAAGTATATATAGTTGTAAGATGGACTTGAGATGACCCAACTTCTCAAAAGTTGGAATCTGTTAATAGCCGGTTGGAGGTGCGTACCTAGGTCGCAGTGCCATTTACTAAGCACGGATCACTCTTTTCTTGACGTACTCCAGCTCATCTCCAACTCACTGGAGAGTATTTGATCCGATGACTTGGCTCAAGGGTATGTTTGAAGTCAGAGAGATACAGGGCGTGGAGAGCCATGTTTCCAAGAAAAAGGATCCGTGCGTAGAACTGATGCCGAGGCCTGTTCGATGGTTAATCGGTGACAGACATATATATATACGTGTTTGTGCCGACATGTTTAGATACAATGTAAATCAAAAGGTAAAACTCTTGAGCCGATATTTCCAGAGGTACTGCATGAAGTGGCACATACCGCTTATCGTTGATTTGGTGGCTGAGACAAGCACATGACAGCGCCCGGCTCAGCCGCACAGCCTTGTCGACAACAGACGTTCTCTTACGATACTTCAAGCACGGCAATTTTGCAATGCAGATGGAAGAATATCTTGCCAATTTGTGATGGGAGAGGTCCAAAGACATGGTACCTGGGCTCGCAGACCGCACTGAAGCCAATAATCACTACAAGGAGTCAGGATGCCCACTGGCGAGCTTTGCTCTCAATCTGATGCTGCGATAGATGTCCAAGCTCACAGGTACCCCGGCTTGTATCAACTCCAAAGACATGAACTGACCGCGATCGAATAATGTAGTGATTCCTTCTTCGAATACCTCAAGAACACCGACACACTCCTCGACGGCTACAGGCGAAATGCAGACAAACGAGTAAAGATTGCGATTATTGATAGCGGGGTCGATACGCAGCATCCCCACATTATACAACTACAAGCAGAAGCTGAAGGCTGGCGAAGACTGAGGACTGCAAGTTTTGTTAGCTCTGTGGAAGAGGGGCAGGACTATGTTGGCCATGGAACTCACATCGTTGCGACAGTGATGCGCATTGCGAAATGGGCTGAAATATATGTCGCAACGGTTGTCGATGCGCAGGGGACTGTCAATGTCCGTAGCGTTGCCAAGGTGCGGAGCTTTTATCAAAATGCATAAGATTGACGACCTAATGTTCAACGCTCTCTTAGGCTTTGACACATGCAGTTCGAGAATGGAAAGTCAATATTGTATCCCTGTCACTTGGGTTTGATAGACGAGTACAACGTATTGATGCCGCACTTCGGGAAGCAGACCAGCAAAATATTCTGGTCTTTGCTGCTGTGTCCAACCATGGTGCTGCGGCGCTCAGGCAGGTCGCTTGGCCTGCCTCAATGACAAAAGTCTTTGGCATAAATTCGGCTAATTTTGATGGAGTCACTTCTTCGTTCAACCCGCCAGAGAATGATAACGATTCATTCTCACGTTACAAATTATTGGGAGAGGGAATCCGGTCAGCATGGCCGCTGCACCTCGAGGAGGGCGAAGAAAAAGTCTTGTCGGGAACCTCCATGGCCACTCCAATCGCTGCCGCTACTGCTTCACTGTTCATCGAGTTCATGAGACAGAATCGTTTTGACGAGGAGGCAACAGCTGACGCGGAGCTCATAACGACTCCAGATGGAATGAAAGAAATCTTCCATCTGATTGGTAATGCCAAGTCGAAGGGAGATTACTTTAAATATGTCACTCCATGGCATCTTCTGAGTTCTGTTGGCAGTGACACTGTCAAGGTTGACAGAATATGTGCCTTAGGACGTATCCATGAAGTACTACAGAGTCTTCGAATGTATAGTTCCGAAGGGCAGGACTCAGCGAGCGATACTTCTGGAGAGCCACCAGTTTTCACATCCGCTAGCAAGCTCGCGCCATACACTAATAAGTTCGCGCCATATGATATTCCTGTCTCAGCTCTTCATCAAATAGATGACCCGAGTGCTCCGAGAAAGCCTTCCAGGCTAAGTCATAAGTTACAGGACGCCGAACAAGCTCGACATGAAGCGAGCCGCAGAACTGTCACTAATGCTGGTAATAATCAACAACAAACTGAAGACACAAGAAGAGCAGTCTCCCAAGGACACGTACCATGGTCAGGTGACCTAACTCCTCCATCATCTTCACAGCGAGTTGCTGTCAATCAATTCAACCCATTCACCGGATATACCTCATATCCACCCGCCTTCAACCCATTTCGTCACGTACCAGCAGGGGACTTCATGAACTATGCACGTACACCGCCAGTCAATATTCCGTATAGGCCATACTCGACCCCTGTTCCTCAAGCATCCCTTGGCAGACCCCCTGGATCTCGTCGAAACACACAAGAAACCTTTCCAAGCTCCCGACCCTCTTCTGCACACCGTCGGGTACGACACAGCAGAGACAACGTAGCTTATGCTTCTTCAACTCCTAGTGTTCCAACTAGAATGTTGACTACTAAAGATTTGGAGGTTCAGGAGCAAAGACAACTTCCACAATTGACTGCCGAAAGCTTGCTAGCTAAAGAGAGATTGGAACAGGACAGCGATACGGAAGATACAAGCGAGGAGGCCGACGAGGACGAATCCATCACTATCAGAGTCACAGGTCAAGCCAGGATAATGGTAGGCGGAACCATGATTGAAGGCACGGATGGCGAGTTACTCCAGATTCGGAATCGGAGACCAAAGTCTTCCACTGAGTAGAACGCTGTAGCTAGCGCTCTTGTACACATCCATGCATGTGCGAACGAGCATTCTGGAAAGTTCAAGAAAGTGGATGAGATGAATGACACCATATATGCTTTTGTGTTATTGAGATTCGATTCATTCATGGCCCGCATCTGATCTGATGCAAATGTACTACAAGATGTTAAAGACACTAACAACTCAACACCTCACGTTAATGCACACTTGACTTCCACAGATACCTGATTAGGCTTCGCTTAAGGTCCTGCGAGCTAAGCGCCTCACGTTAAGGAATATTTTCAAGTACTTAACTTTCCGCTTCTTTCTTTCAACCTCGTCTTCTTCTTCTTCGCGCCTCCTGTCCTGTACCTGCCAACGGCACTTCAACCTGATCGCAAGTACCAAGACCTACGAACAACAAGACGAAATCGCAACCTCCTTCTGAGCAAGCTTCTTCTCTTACTCAACACTCATTCCCACAAAATGGCGACTCGCTCGGTGCACGTCGAGTTCCACTGCGAGAAGGAAACACTCAAGTAAGCAATACACACAATCCGAAGACCTGTCAGAAACTGATCCATCTATCAAAGATTCCAACACGATGTTCCCGAAACACTCCTCGCCAACTTAACCCGCGATTCGTCGTACACCAGTCCTGAGTGGATGAGTGAAATCAGAAACGTAATCAACCCTTTCGTCGTTCACCACCATGCAACCATTCTCAATACCTCACTGCCAATCTGCTCTTTCTGCGGAGCCCCCACAACTTCGGTTATCGCCATTCCGACATCACTCCTCAACAGGGCTTCCGATCTCTTTGTCTGGTCGCGGTCTACGGAACATGTCGCAAGCCCTCCTGCGTGGACAAGACCAGACAAAACTTTGAAGCCAAGCACATTGGAAAATGAAGCAAGCATAACATGACTCATCGCCTTGGAAGGGAGAATCATTTGCGCTGGAGTTTTGATCTTGGGCCGACTCCTATATACTTGCGATATACCAAGGCTCAGGGTCAAGTGGTAGATGGTTGTCCCGTTATTCTTTAAGCCAAGATTGATTTGCCGCATCCTCGGAGTATATAAGGACTTTGAAACGTCGGAAATATCCTGGGGCAAAAGCTTTTCGGTAACTGGCAATTCTTCTTATTTGCACATGTCCGCTACTTTAGAATCGTTCATGCTCGGCTGTCTTTGTGGATCAAGGCCAAAGAGAGCCAAAACTGAGCAAAACCATCAAGTAGACAATAGAATCCATGAATTTTCTTCGAAATTGCAGAATATTCATCATATGCGAGTGAATGTGAATCAAAACGACAAGTCATCTCCCCTCAGTTGATGAGGCGTATCGTAACTCCAACCATGTCCCACTTGCTCCACAAGCTATCTGAATATGAGTAAGACTGTTGGTAAAGATGAGCTTTGGAAGAGGTCTGAGAAGCGGCCGGTTGAAGAGCTCTTCATTCCGCAGAAGTGAAGATGGTGAGCATAATGCATCGAATCCTGCAAATGGATAGATAAATTCATCTTTGGCATTCACATCTCTCATTTAGCTCACTTTCAACTTATCATTCTAGCTTTGTTTGGGTGGTGTTGGGATGCGGCCGATGCTAAGCAGATGCATAGCGCGCTTCGTCACCACTGCGCAGATTCACCTACCTTTGGCATATCAACAATCGCTTAATAGATTGAATTAAGCAAAACCTTTCAACCTTTTCAAAACTCGCTCTCGTCTGGCTTAGTGGTCATGTTTCTTTACTCTTAAAAAATGTAAACTAACAACAAAATAGGTACTTCCTGATATCTAGTGGCCTAGATCATCAGACACAGTACCCTTTACGGCTAGGCATCAGAAGTTGGACCGTCGCGGACTAAGCGATGATCGATGTTTAACTAGTTCCGTAAAGGTCTTCAAACTGTGAACGTTCACGTGAACTGATTCCCCATGATTTAGTAACATCTAACTATGTCATCGTTGATAGCGGGTTAGTGTTGGATGGTAGTGGCGGAGCACAGAGCACATGTGACATGAGTAGGATTCAGTGGTGGTGACAATAAAGTCACTGTGCTGTAAGTAACTACACCTTTCTTCCAAGAGTTGAGTTTGAGAACTTTGTTTTGTCCTTTTCAACTTCCCTCCTTCAACTGAAAAGCAAGGAAACGATTCTCAATTCAAGTCACAAATGATTGGCTCTATCCAAACCTCAACTCTTCGAATAATGATCGCACATTCAATGGCCGATGTTTATTTGAACAGCTAGCTCTTCTGACTGGAAAATTATTTTTTAATAGAGACAATTCATGTCGCTCATAAATTGAGTCACTCAAGCTGCTCCATCTCCTTGAGGTCTTACGATCGGTTCAATCTGTTGAGAACGCGATAGCTCTATGAAGAGAAACGCCCTTATATCTTCACTAATTTATCTGTCACATACTCGTGATCCAACATTTGATATCGCTTTTTCAATTCAACGTTCTCGAGCTTCAGATACTGCCGAGTCCTCGGTACTTTACATACATCAGCACCACAGCTCTATCAAATCCACCATCTAGAAGTCTGACCCTGTGAATAAATACTTTTACAGTTGTCCATCCTGCAAGATCTATCACCACGTCAATATTCTTTCACCTTCAGACCGCCGTTCAACATCCTAATCCACGACCGAGACAACTCGATGACGGTCACCAGTGCTATTCCAACGCGAAGCATTCCAATTCACAGACTGATTCCACACTGTATTGTTCCATCCACCCCACCAAGTTGACGCATTGCCAGGCGTAGAAGTGTTCCAAGGAGCGGAATGATTGAAGCGTGATGGCTTCCAGAGAGGATGGTCGGCATAAGAAGAGTTTCGATGTTTATGAGCTGCGTAACCAGGGTGCAGGAGGTCGTATTGGGAAGCATTTTGAGGAATCTCGAAGTTGGGTGAGGTGCCGTTCCATTGCTTAGATCTTGTATACGCCTTAGGTAATGCTGATGCGAGGGTGAGAGAAATGAGAGAAAGGATCATTGGAAGAGAGGCGTTGAAACGCATGGTGGGTTATGTTCCGAGGATAAACCGAGATAGAGGTTTTGGAATTGATGAGCTTAGCTATGACGGTTTGAGTAAATGTGTCTGAGGTTGCATTAATGTTCCTATCAAGAAAAGATGATACCAGAGGGATTATATATGCTAAGATGAAAGTTGTGAATCACACGAGTTGACAGATATACTCACTGCACTTGCCATGAATCAGAGCTGCTTTAGTCAAAGGGGAGAAACATGTGGAGGCAATTGTAGAGTAGCATTTATGTAATGAATCAATCAACTGTTAACTTTGCTACTCTACGGCATCTTTACGATTCTCTGGACTTATCTTTGTAAGAAATTGATAGGCATTTCGATTAATCTTTGCAATATGCTAAAACTATAGGTATATCACGGTCGGTCTTTTGCAACACTCATTCAAGCGAACGTACTTGGCTCTGGCTTTACAGTATTCCTCAACGGAAGACATTTTAACATGATATAGTCTCATGGCTTCTAGTCGCGTACTTGCAAAGTAATGCCTGTGAAAAAATTTCAAAGCAACGTCTTTGGTGAATCTACGCTCTATCTATTCTACATGAAACTGCGACTTATCCTCGCACATGCTTTTTTCCTTAACACACATATCTTTCCACTCTCGGATTTTGCTTCAATTATCATCCCCATCCTCAATTTCAAAATCATTATCGCTGTCTTCGTCGCTGCCGCCGTCACTGTCATCATCCTCATCATCAGAGTTATCAGCTTGATTAATAACCAGCCTAAATACAACCCGCTCCTCTTCCTACTCCGAGTCTTCGCTCAATGGTTTGGGGATGCTGCGAGCGAAATTGGAAATACAGCCACCTCTTTGAACTTGTTCAGATGTCGTGATCGTATCCGTTCTCGCTCCCCTGTCAAACCTATCAAAGGTCTTTGCCGGAGGCTCCATACCAAAGCTCCGTGCCCGAGGCGCTGAGATCATGCAAACAAGACCAGGTAGAGAGTCATCTCGGCTGAAGGGTTGCCAGTGCATTGAGCGTGGCGGGGTAGAATCATGTCCAGGTACTTAAGGTACAGGGTACTCGGGCCGCAGTCAACTAGGATGAAGCTCCTCGACAGTGTTTCATCTTCGGTACGTCATGTCGGAAACTTTAGCATCGATTACCTATTTAGATAAGCTAAACGAAAGTAACTCTATATATATCCCTTTGCGATGAATGATATCAAAGATTCTACCCTGGTCGCAACGTTATTATTATAACGAACATGTGAGTATTTGTGGACAATCAAACTCAGCTGCCGGCCTTGCGATCACGTGGGGGGGCCTTCCCCTCCCGGCTTGTTGTATGAGATTGATATGTGGAAGTATCGCAGAAGATATAAAGGACGTTGAAGATAGTAAAAGAGAGAATACATAAAGTTTATTCGAAAGCGCTTAATTCCACAATTCAACAGCATCAAAATTATCATTCCATTTCATCAGCAAATATGACTAATACAACGCAAAAGACCGGTTTTGAACATCGCAGTAAAGATGAGCTGAATCGGCTTGAGGGGTACTGTAAACTTCAATTACAAAGTTGCTTTTTACTCTGACAATGATTTTTAGGGACCATCGTCTAGCGGAGTACAAAAGGCCAAGTGATGGAAGATCTGATGGCTTAGGGCAAGCACCTTGCTCTTGGTTCTGACTTCTTGTAAATACTAATACCCTCCGTGCAATTATAGACATCGAGCTAGCGTATCTCATAGTATTGGGATGGCTAAAGAAGTCGGTATGAGGGTAGCTGAAGAAGTCGGTATAGGTGGTATGAGGGTAGCTGAAGAAGTTGGTAGAGGCGGTATGAGCGTGACTAAAGACGTCGGTAGAGGTGGTGTGAGGGTAACCGAAGAAGTTGGTATAGGTGGTATGAGGGTAGTTGAAGAAGTCGGTAGAGGTGGTATGAGGGTAGTTGAAGGAGTTGGTAGAGGCGGTATGAGGATGACTGAAGAGGTCGTTAGAAGTGGTCTTGGGATGACTGAACAAGTCGTTAAAAGTGGTCTTGGGATAACTGAAGAAGTCGCTAGAGGTGGCATGAGGATGACTGAAGAAGTCGTTAAAGCTTTTGCGAAACGCATCGGAGGTCGGAAAAACTTAGCTGGTGGGAGTGAAGACGAAGCTTTAAAGGGCCCGAAGTAGGGTGCTGGCAGACAAGAGGATTGGTTCAAATCTACGCACAATTTTAGGCAATAAGCTAGAGCAGTTTTATTCTTAGGTTTTTCTAAGGTGAAGCATCCAGAAACACCGCACTCAGTGTAAATTCTTTACGAGCCTACGGTAAAATAATTTCTATTATAGCTCACGAGGTCCATACGATCTTGCCGCTGTCGCGTGTGGCCCATGTTGACGCGAATCACCTCCGTCCTTGTCATCATCCTGAGATGGTTCCTCGAATACCATTCCATAGATGCGCGATTTTCCCAGCAAGTTATAGTTCGACTTTGACTTCTCTTTGGGCCGTATCGCTCCTGGCTCTCCTCTTATCATACTCCATCCACGGAACAAAGATGGATAATCATCATGCACCAAAGCCTTTGGTACACCACAAACCACATCGACGATCGAGCCATTATCAGGTACATATGCATACATAAGTACTTTTCGTACCTCCCTTACTTGTTCATTCTCGGGTTCCTGCATCATATTCTCTTGATCGACTGACAACACACACGGGTTCGTAAGGGGTCATAGCTCCCTCTGACGTCCAGGGCAGAGCATAATGCATCAGATACCTAGATAGATCGAGCAGCAATTCTGCCTCTCTTCTTCCACCCCTCTCATCCATATAGCTCGTAACAAATGGTTCCATCTCCTTACCTTTCTCGGTGTTGAGCTTCTCGTGCTCCAGTAAACGCTGCACACCTTTCACCAGCAATCCGGTGTCCCAGTCCTCAAGAACATTGGCGCCCATCCACTTCACCCACTCGATACCACATCCCATGACAGCAACCAAGGTTCGAATATGAATCTTTCTCTGCTCACCACCTGCCTTCTTCAGGTTGTGGTATGAATAGTTGTGATTAGGTGCCGAGAATCTTCTCCTTTCACATCCTTCCTTGAAAGCCCTACATATCCGGAGCTTCCGCTCACTTGCCCACTCCAAAGAAGTACCACTACCCTCTCCATTGATGAAGCACATATTCAGATCAAGATAAGCTGCAGCAGGACTAGGGTCAATCTGAACACCAAAACTTCGCACATGCGATGTCCAGCTTTCAGAGCTAAGGACATCGGTAGATTTAGGCCAACGCATCCAAGTACTTTGCCCACCTCCCAAGTGCAAACTCGGATGCTGCTAATACTGTGATAAAGCCCGGCTAAGCATTACCGAATAAGCTCTCGCTTTGCCAATTCCTTCTTCTGCCAGCCACCTCTCTCTGCGTCCTCATCGCAAACAGGCCCCGATATCCACGATAATAACGCACTGTAGGAATGTCCGAAGGCATTTGTAAACTCTGCTCTGAGACTAGAAGATTTCACAGGACAGGCAACCAATTACCTGCCACCCCTGCTAAACCACCCACTTTTACAGGGGTAAGAACATAGAAAATAGTGAATTCTTGAACATACATAGAAAGGTTTAAAACTTCAGGAATAACTACAACCTGGTCCTTGATTATGAATATGACCTCGCTTTCCTCAGTATTGAGCGTGGTTGCGACTAACTCGGACTTTAGGTGGTTGAATATTGTGGGCGGTCGGCCCGTTAAATCAGTCTGTGTTTCTATGTGGTGGTCCTTTTTCCTTTGCTTATTCATCAACTCCATGTGACACGTCTTAATTCCAGGCTAGCTACCTTCCAGGGCGCTCTGTCTGCGGTCTTGCCTACATAAACAACCCTCAACGAGTTTCTGCAACGCGATGGCAGATACCAAACTCCATTCTTTGTGTTCTGTGTGTGCAAAGCTCGCGTTTAGGCTTGGAGCTTTTATTAAGGACAACCGACGTCCAAGAAATTTTCACAGAAGTCTTCGGCACCTTGAAAACTCCGCGAAGTCTGGATGCCATCTTTGCATGTTGATCTTTACCAGCCTCGCTTCTGAAAATGGAGTAGGCGACTACTGGAGAGTAGAGCCTGATGGTCCCGTCAAATGCGTGTTTCGAAACAATGGAGAGCCTCATCTCCTTGTAACATGGAATCTCGTGATAAGAAGATTTAAGCTTTCCTCTCTCCCTGCACCTAGGGTCTTGAGACAGCCATCTATTCCCGCTGCAATCCAGGATTCATCCTTATTGCGAGACGGTGCAAGTGAGTCTAAAAAGAGGACCTGTCGAAAATCGAAGATGTGCACTAACTTCTAAAGTTGAAAAATCTCCGAAATCGCCCATTCTGTTCTCACAGATTTCAAAATGGTTAAACTCTTGCCTTGAATCTCATCAAAATTGCTCTTCAGATTTTCCAAGCATATTACCTACCAGAGTAATAGATGTGGGAGCTTCTGAAGGACTGCGCGATTCCCATATCTTCATCACTAATGGTCAGTCCGGAAAGTATGCTGCGCTGAGCTATCGATGGGGGACGTCACCTACAATCACCACAACCTCTGAAACCCTTGCCTCTCATATAAGCGGCATGAGAATGGAAACTCTGCCCAAAACACTACAAGATGCCATCCTAGTTAGCCGGGCATTAGGCCTCCAATATCTTTGGATAGATGCTCTATGCATCATTCAAGATTCCCCTCACGACTGGGCTGAGCAAACAGGCAAGATGGCAGGAATATACCAAGATGCTCACCTCACTATCTCCGCTGATAACGCGGAAGGTAGTGACTCTGGATTCCTAGCAGATCGTAACCTGCAAGCCATCAGGAGTTGTCATCATATGGGTGCTCGAATATCAATCCACCCCGACATACAACAAGTTTTTGACGTCATTAATGTCGGGCCTCTCAGCCAACGTGGTTGGATCCTGCAAGAACGACTTTTCTCACGTAGAATAATTCATTGGAGCCACCTCGAGGTAGGCTGGGAGTGTAGAGAGATGCAGTCAACTGAGCGAGATCCTCAGGGGCAAGTGGATATCGAGTGGCTTGGTTCGAATGCAAGAAAGATGTTTGCGTCGACGATACCTCCAAATTTAAAGCTGGACAAAACATCTGGTCTATCTGAGGACTCAATTCCACCTAATAGCACCTTTCAAGACATCAAGAGCGACATTTATGACGCCTGGTATCGTCTCGTTGAAGAATATAGTGGTCGACTCCTTACATATCCAGACAAGGACAAACTGATCGCCCTCTCCAGCATTTCGAAAACCTACCATAAGAGATATAGTCGAATACTAGGCCCTGAAATATCATACATATCTGGTTTGTGGAAGGATGATCTTGCCAGGGGACTTTCTTTCAATTATGGAACTGGACGCATGGGGCGTAAACAGCGTGGTCTACCACAAGCTACTGTATGCAATCTCGAGGATCCATTGACTTGGAAATATATGCCACCATCTTTTAGCTGGACGAGGGGAGACGGTGCGGTCAACTGGCAGAATCGGCTAGGAACAGGCTACAACATTCCTGAATATAATGTTGAAGTCCGCGATGTATACAATATCACCACTGGAGGAAATCCTTGGGGTCCAGTTGAGAGTTGCTGGATCGTACTGAGAGGAGTGGTGTGTTCGAGAGAGTTGATACGTGCAGTGAGGGATTACCGTTACCACACTGATGACGACGTGACAACTTTTGACCGAATTCAAAGAGAAAGTTACATAAGGCTGAGCGTTACTTTAAAGCCGGAGGGAACATATGAGCAAACGTGGTTGATGATCCATCCAGTTGGTGAAGCGGATGAATATCGCAGGATTGGGGTCTTTTCCACATTCGGAGATTTTTCTATGAATCGGACAGATAAAACTAATATCAAGCTCATATAAGTGATGTAAGCGATTCTGGATATGGACAGAAGACCCAGTAGAGGTGGTTGCAGCCAATTTATGTTTACTGCGAGATGTAAGGGAACAGAAGCCAATATGAGATATCTAAGCCCTGTTTAGTTAACGCGGAGGGTAAATCAGTCCATCAATTAATTGCCATTGACACTACTTTGAAGAACAATGACCAAAGTCTGGAATCAAAACCCTCCAGATTCTTATTGACTGGGGGCTTCGGAGAGTCGTTAAATAGCTTGAGCCGGAGAGAAGGAGAGAGAAAGAAGACACGTCCGCAGTGCCGCAAAGCAGAGGAGCGGGGAACAGAGAGAATGAAAGTAGTCAAGTAGTCTGACGGAGGAACGAATAAAGAGCTAGAAGATGAGAGAAATACAAAAGTGGCGGCCGGGCATTCAACCTGGGAGATGCCTTGACAGCTAAAGGATGTATTTTTAGGGGATCATGTTTGAGCTCCTGGGAGCCGATTTGGTCTTCCCAAGGCGGCGACGTTTACCGACCGCGTAAGAAAAACAAAGTCGATCAGGTTGTGTCGTAGATTGCCAAAGTAAGCAATATTATACATCATAATTAAGCAGTGAGTTGGCATAAGTCAACCAGGAAACTATAACCGGGCCACAAGGGAGCTAAAAGGCGTAGCCAGAGGACCAAAACGGAACCCTACTCAGGGTACTTGGAGTACTCGGGACCCGCAGTCTATGCTCAGGAATGCTCACACTCGGCTCAGGTCAGAGGAGCGACTGCTCAAGTCTAAAGACAGAAGTAGACTTCGGTAAGGTCAGTTTTCGTCTTAGACTTTTTAGTTACTTTGGAGCCCGAAAGGGCTCCAATAGACGGATGGGATCTCAGGCCAGCTATTGAAGAATAGCGTATAGATATATTCCCGATCCGATTAGAGTAAATGCGTAAAACGAAACCCCCTAGAAAATGGAGGTTTAAACCTCAAGTTTCTGTGGTATTTCGTTCGGTATCGATTAAGGTGGATGCAGACCCGATCGAACACGACGAAAGAAATCAGTAAGTCGCACCCCTAGTAAATCCTTTGGTTCGCCAAAGCTCATTTTCCGTAAAATTTCTTTAACAATCTTTTCTTCTATTATTCCTTTTTATACTTTCATTATAAACTCGATTTGAAAACAAACTTCACAGGTTGAATGTTATTCATTGTATAAAGAGCCCTACTTCGATTTTAGGATTCATCTAAACCAATGAAACACTTCCTTCAGCCCATCGAAAATAACTCTCGAAGGATTCATCTAAACGAATGAAACACTTCCTTTAGCCCATCGCAAACAATTCTCGATATCTCTTAAAGTTTTAGAGAGTGGACTCGCTTAAGTGACATCTTTCGGGCCTGTAGCGAAATAATGAGTATCTCTACCCTAAATAATAGCTACGGGCCGGAAATCTCGATCGACGATGATTGATCCTAAATCTCCTTTGGCAGACATAAACCCTTGTGGATTTAAGGCAATGAGACACAGTTCCCTTAATACACTACTTCTGCCCTTAGTGTTTTGCGTACTCCGAATAGCATTAAATGTGCCTCCAACCCGTGGTCCGACTTCTTGGCTTAAAGACAAGCTCGCTAGGAATTAGGTTATCGTCTCGAATAGGCTTAAAATGCGGACCTAGATTAAAGTGCAGCGTAGTAGCATATCGAAATTCGTTGTTGACTTAAGCAATCGATGGGTAGTCGAACGATATAAAAGAACCACTCATACGAACATACTACTTATTTTAGCCATTGTTAAAACCCTTAAAGTATTCAAGTAGAGATCACATACCTTGTTTTCGGCTAAAATTGCGGGGTTGATAATTGATATAATAGCCTAGTTACTACAACCCTTGAATTGTAGGAGTAATCTGTCCAAACCCAAAGTAGTATAAACATCGCTAAAATTAATATCATATTGCGTTGCGTTCCTAAGAGTTTGATCTAGAGTAGTAATCTTAAAAGCAGTCTTAATAGCGTTCTCAGATACAGTTCCCCATCGTAATAACTCAATCTTAGTGTTGATTTCTTGTATAGTCGTCTGATGGACGCTAGTTGCTAGGCATATTACTCGCTATTTAGGATGTCCGCTATTCTCGATATAAGGTTTATTGCCCAAAATACTATCTGGGTTAATAATATATCTATAAGTAAGCGTATAAACTATAATTCGGCCATCCTTATCGCAATACTAGATGTATCCAGAGAGGGTACCCACAGAATTGATATCTATGGGGCCGATTAATGAGTATAGTAGCCGGGTGGGAGAGTTGTAGACATCGAGGTTTCTGTTAAGGACGGAGCACGAGTCGATATCAGATCGGGATGCGCGGCAGACATTAACGTAGATCCTGCATTATAGCCCAAGTTAGCGACTATTCTGTGCTATAAACAGCTAGATAAGGGACTTTACGAATCTTTTTCGCTCGAATCGAGGCCTACTACCATCATAACTTTAAGGATCATTGAGATAATGTTGCAGGCAGCATCCTCGGAAAGGGCTTCATCGGCCACAACAATGTGAATAGTAATCGGGTTCTCGAGACGCTCAACATCAAAACCGAGCCGTAGAACGTTGAGTCCCTAATCGCAATCCGGTAGCGTAGCGTGAATGGCCGAGACAATATTATCATAAAGTTCATCCTCGAAGATTGCCGCAAACTTGTGTTCTAGATCGGTGGCTCCGATCGCGAAAGTGTTCTTGTGAGGGGTATAGGTAGAAGGGCTTTTGCAGAGGCATGAGGGATTAGAAGGATGGCTGCTGGCGCAGACCTCGAGACCTCGCATACCGTAGAGGGAGCGCATCTCTTGGAGTACCTCGCGTTGGCTGTTTATTCGTATTGGCTTTCAATAACAAAAGTGGTGTGGCAGGGATGACCTGCGTGGCAGTAAGACACATAATTGTTATCCAAAACGGCAAGGCGTGAGCGCCGGAAGCTAATGAAGGCGGTGTGGCTCGTTATCGAAAACGATAAGGACAGGACAAGGCCCCGTGATGTAAAAACAAGTATAGATGCCTCTTGATGCCTTAGGCAAACACATAAAGTAATGGAGCTAAACCAAAAGAAGAAACAAAGCGGAGAGACTCCGGCTGACTCAGCGACTTGCTCAGAGAGCTCAGGGCTCAGGGCTCAGCTCAAGTTAAGGCAGCGACTTCTCAGGTCCAAAGACGAAAATAGAAACGTTTATATCGACATTCCGGCATGGGAGTGTGGGACTACCTGTATCAAGGCCTGTAAATAGGCATTAATGCATAGGATCTTATCAATATATCAAATAGAGTCTATTATAAACATTACTACACGGGCTGCAATCGCAATACAGAGAGATATAGTCAACGAGGTTGAGATTAATTAACGGAATACAGACAATTGGAAATAGCTTCATTTTAGATTTAATAGGTTTATCTTGTGCTACCTCCGATCGGGGTGAGGCCGCGAAATTGAAATTCGCGCACTTCAAACCAAGGGTGCGTAGATCGAGAAAATGAATAGGCAAGGCGACGCGAAGCAAAACGAAACCCCTCAGAAAACAGAGGTCAAAACCTCAAGTTCCTGTGGTATTCCGTTCGGTATCGATCGAAATATAAGCAGAAGGCGTCGATCCAGAGGCCTTCGTTGGGTGAGCGACGCTGGAGGAGGAAAGCTTGGTAGAGGGCTGGTGAAAAGGGGAGTGCGTGCTTTTTGGTTGACGAAGAAGATGGCGATTCTTCTGCACCCTCTTGGCCATCCTTTGTGTGGCTGCCCCAGCAGTAGCTGGCTGCGATGAAGGAGTCCCATCGGTATGTATTGTCGTCTGCTTTCTCCGACTCAACCTCGGTTTCCTTCTTTTCTTTTTCGCTTCCAATTTGCTCCCGTTTGGAATTATCATCCTCTCTTTCCGTCGATGGAGTCTCATTATCTTTCACTTCACTGTTTTCCACTGCTTGCTCGCGTCCAGGACCCAAAAGCCGCATCGGCAATTCCTGCACATCATCACTTTTCAGCTCAAATGCACTACTCAGGCTCTCTCCCGATAAAGCCTCGACCTGATCCAATATCTTCTTCGCTCTTTCTTTATACTCGTTATTAAAGGGCACTGTAGATGAGAGTAGCTTCAGCTTGCTTTGCAAGGCTACTGTGTGAATGTCCGCTGAATCGATATACTCAGGAAGAGGGGTGGGGAGGGTGATGAATGTGAGCTGGTCTCTACGGTGTGCTGCCTGCATCTTGGAACTATAAGCGTGATACTTAGTTGTCGTAGTGAATAGGTGTGAAGGAGAGAAGTTGGATGATTTGGGCATGTAGTCGTGCGGCTGGATGTGAGACCTGTGGCCTTTTTTACAGCTGGCGTAGGTAACACATAAATAAAAAATCTCAGGATCTCATAGCTCACTCTCAACTCGCTCAACTACTTCGAGTTGTATTTGTTCTATTCGCATTTGGTATTTCGAAGATTGCCTTTCGTACAAAAAAGTCTTGGTTCGAAATGCTTTAGCATTCGCTATAAATCAGGATCGGATCTTCCTTTTTCCGAAGCGGAGGGCATCTAAAATTGGCCTACCGGGGCTTCATCCAAATGGCGTACAAAAAGAGAAACCTCGCCTATCGCCCATTTAAAATGCCATCAACCGTAACAGAAACGCCTGCCAGTTTCTCATCTTCGTGTCGCTGCCCGATTAGCTGCAATGTCGTAGGAGTATCTCTATACAGCTCGGGACCAGAATCTACCCAGATCTCAGCACTGGACATATACTCAGCCTAATAGACATGGACGAACTTACACAGATCATAGACACGCTGGTCGTTCTCTCCATACCGAGCAGCCTCGTCCAATAGATCGATATCCTCCACCTTGCCGACGGGGATAATCACAGCAGGACAATCAAAAAGATTAAATAGCGATGTGTAGGTAATGACCGTCCAGTCATCGAAAGGAGTAGCTGTGTGAGGCGCTGGCAAGCACAGCATTGCATCGAGGCTGTATTCTTTCCACATGCCATTGAACTTCTTCGAGGAGATGGACCGCGCGTGGTTAATTTGGAAGTACTCCTCAATTGACTTTCCTGGGGTAGTAGTAAGACCTATTCGTCTAACCGATTCCACAAGCGGCTCTTTAGTCGAATCAAGAAGGGATCTCAGATGCTAAGACACATATCAGCATCGAGTAATGGCAACGTGAACGTCTATGGCGTACCGCCGACCCGTCAATAGAGAATAAATCCCAAATCAGATGCATGTTACTTTGCACGTCTGTAAGTTGGATCGGTACGATAGTAACGCCCGCAGCGACGAGTTTCTGCACCGCTTCTCGCAGCGCTCGGTGAAGCGGTGGCGTTGGTGTATGAAGCGTATCATCTGCAATAACTCCAATACGCAAATTTTCAACACGAGGAGGCTTCAGATCCAACCATGGAACCTTGGTGACAGAACAGTCAAAAACGCTTGGTCTTGCCTTCATAATCGTCTCCATAAAGAACTGACAAGAGCGTATTGAGGTGGCCATCGGACCTGCTGAGGGAGGAATCCCCACGATCCCATCCACAACATCATTTTGCTGGCCGCTATAGGGAACAATGTCAGAAGTCGGCTTGAAGCCATATATTCCGTTGCATGAGCTTGGGATTCGGATCGACCCAGCCACATCGGTGCCCACGCCAAGAATACTGCCTCGCAGCACGATGAGAGCACCCTCTCCGCCGGTCGAGCCACCAGCAGTAAGTCTAATATTGTTTGGGTTGAGAGTCCGCCCAAAGATATTGTTCTCCGAGTCAGCCGTCATCATCGTTTGAGGGACGTTTGTCTTGCAGTAAAGAACCGCACCAAGCGACTGAAGCAAATCCACCAGTGCCGAATTCTCTTCTGCTGGTGCGCCCACAAAGCACACCAGCCCAATCGTTGCATCTTTGCCTTTGAGCTTGAAACTGTCCTTGAGAGAGATAGGTAGGCCATGAAATGGTCCAAGTTGTTTCTCGGGATTAGCTTTTCGCTGCTTGTCCAATGATCGCGCGCACTCGATTGCTTCGTCGAAAAAGATCTCTGTCAGGCAGTTGGTCTACTTTACTGTCAGTGCAACTTGACTCCGAACTCAGTTCAGAGCTTACATACAAGTTGTTGTGCAATTGCTGCTCGCTTGCAGAATGCCGTGGTTACTTCCTCCGCCGTGAAGGTGGTGTCTCTGATTGCTGCTACGATGCCTACCGCATCGTAATCAGTAGTTATGCGTATTTCTTGTTCGGTCAGAACACCACATGTCGTTGGCACTTCTAACAGATTGCTGCTTTGGGATTTCATCAATTCGGGTACCAGCCAGGATTTTGGTATCAAATCATCCCTAGCCGCCCTTTTTCTCGCGCATCTTTGCTGCCAGTCGCGAAGCATCGTCATATTGGCAGCAGGTCGGTTTCCTTTCTTTGTTCTCTCTCTGTTCTTGGCAAGTGAATGCTCAGCAAATATCGAACTCAAGTCAAAATCTTTCGGGACTGAATTGTGTCAGGCGAGGAGGTTTGGATGTGAGTATGAGCGTACCGTGTACAGTACACTGCAAATGAGGTGTGAAATACTGAGAGGAAGTTGGTCTACTCTTTGAAGTTCCACTAATTACCTAGATAGATGACATGACCAATGAACTTTGCTTAGGGGTATGTCTCGTCCCAGTCTTGTGCCAAGAGCTCGGAACTTGGGAAGTCAGAATTCCTGAGGCAGGAAGCCGGAAAGATAGGAAAGTCTGTACGATCTAGGACTGCCGCCAAGCTAATGGTCATCCTTCGGCCCACCTATGTGCTTCGCGCCCCAGAGATAAAAATCGTAAGTCGCGTACTTTCTTAAGTACTAAGAGCGTGCAGAGCCCAGGATAACTCAGGGTTTGCGGGAGCGACTTTGCCGGAAACGATCTAGCATGGCGGCAGTCTCATTGGGGACTAGCGCATAGCCATGATCGACGAACCTTATTCGACCGTTCTAATACAGATGGCCGGTCTCCTTATCTCTTCACTTGCCACTTGCCATGTTAACTAATAATCAAAATCCCGACTACGAGACAATTGCCGTCTCATTAACTAGCACTGGCCATGGCCCACGGATCAAAAACAAGCGCGGCGGCAGTCCATATCAATGAGTTGCATGCGGACCCTATCATCCCCTCCCCTCTCCCCTCCTCCTCCCCTAGAGACACTGAGTCCACAATTCAGCTATAATACTATACCTTTGTTCCATCGTCCATCACTGTTCATAAAGATTACCATGTTTCATCTACCTTGGTAACTCACCTGTTTCAGACCACCCTTTCTTTCTCCTTCAATAGCTGCGGAAACCTTTTCATCATGCCTTCTATTGAATATGAGCTCGTGCCGGGGACGGTTTACATCCTGAATGAGCACGAAACTATCTCTCGCACTTATTCCAACGTTGACATCACCTTGCGACCGACACCCTCGAATGATCCCGGGGACCCGTTGGTGAGTATGGATTGTCAGCGGAGACAAGAATAGTTTGCTGATCCAGAGCCAAACAGAGATGGCCAATGTGGCGCAAGCCGTATTTCCTATGGATACTCGTGTACGGCAATTCCTTATATACGATTCCAAGTTGCAGGTACTGTCACTGACAGGACTACAGAGCTTACTCCACCATACTCGGAGCGGTGACTAATTGGGACGGAGTCATTACGCCAATATCCTCGCCGAATTCAACACTACCACGATGCTGCTCAACATTGGACAAGCCCTATTGATCCTTATGCTGGGCGTCGCAAATCTTGTCTTTACCCCCCTTTCAGACAGTATGAACCCATCTGCAATTGAGCGACATCTCTAATTGCTATAGAATTTGGCCGACGACTTGTGTACTTGCTATCTGCTTTCTTTGTGGTGATCTCTCACATAATCCTCGCTACAAGCAAGAATGTTGCTGGTTATATCGTTGGCCACACCTTGATGGGAATAGGCGCTGCTCCATTTGAAGCACTTCCAGCCATTTCCGTAAGCACAACGGCCCCAATTAGCCCTCACGCGCATGTATCTCCTGACATTTTGAGTAGATCTCTGATGTATTCTTCGCTCACCAGCGTGGAACCATGCTTGGAGGCTATGTTTTTAGTTTGGCATTTGGATCATTCGTCGGGCCCATCTGCGCAGGCTACATTGCTGTGAACCAAGGTTCGTGGAGGTGGGTCTATTGGTGGGGACTTATTCTCAGCGCCTTTATCGGACTAGCCATGTTCTGTACCATGGAAGAAACCCTCTTTCTGCGGACCGTGGAGTTATCAGAGACGTCGGATCGAATACCCACGATCAATATTTCCACGAAGACTGATTTGGAGGCGAAAGGAGAGGATAAACAAGCAAAAGATATTCCACCTGTTGATGAAAGCGTTGGTGAGAGTTTCCATCTCACCAGCTTTAGATTCTTTGGTCCCATTTGGACAGTCTTCCCGGGCACTTCCAGTGATTTCCTCAGGAGACTCTGGCGTCCGCTCACTGTCTCTATTTTCCCCCCAGTACTATGGGTGAGTCTAGCGCAGTTTCATTCATGTTCTTCTGGTTCACACTAACGATGGTAGTGTGGTGTGAACTACGGTACCTGCATTGCCTGGCTCGCCGTGCTTGGGACAACGGTTAGCGAGATCTTCAGCATTCCTCCCTACAACATGCAACCCAATGCTCTTGGGCTTCTCTTCATCGCTTCTTTGATCGGATCTCTCATCGGGTAAGTCATATCGTCTCCCTCAATTCCCCCAGCGCCTCGTTCCTCTTCTTTCCCCTCTCGTATCATTTCACATTCATTAACTCTGTTTATCTATTTAGGGCTTACTTCACAGGGCCCCTTAACGATAAACTTTCTCTCTATCTCTCCCACCGCAACTCTGGCTTCCGTGAGCCCGAGTTCCGTCTCTGGGCCTTCATACCAACTTCTCTGATCTTGCCTGGCGGTCTCATCATCTACGGCACAGCTGCTGCGTACGGGCTTCCCTGGATCGTGCCAGCGGTGGGAATGGGCATGGTTGGGTTTGGAATCTCCGTCGGGGGCGGTGTGACCGTTGCCTATATCCTCGAATGCTACAGGGACCTCGCGGGGGAGGTCGTCACAACTATTATTCTCATCAGGAATATCATCGGCTTTGGCATTACATTTGGGGTTCAGCCGTGGATTGATGGCATGGGGTTGCAGAATACGTTTGTAATTATGGGCGCAATGAGTTTCGCGATTACGGGATTCAGCTTGTTTTTCATTTGGAAGGGAAAGAGTGTGCGGAGAATGACGAAGAACAGATATCTGCGCTATCACCACTAGCTTCGAGGTACGCTTCAGCGAGGCGTTGCCAAAGCCTTGTGCGGATTTAAGAGTATGGTACATTGACTGCTAAGCTGTATAAGCTGGAAAAAACCTTGAACATTATTTTTTGGTTGAGAACAGTGAGCTTTAAATTTTGACCGTGATACAGTTTTACCCATAACAATCACTCTACTCAAAAGACTACTGCTCAAGATGATTGGAGATGCCTCCGAAGAAGTAGCCATCACAAGAAAACACTGCAAAGTAAATCATCTCTCAATAGAATATCCAGACCCAATTGCCTCCCAAGTACAGAGTCAGTCTGCCACACTTGCCTGAGTAATCTGTAACTCTGGACGGCACTGCCTAGGCCGCCCTCCCTGATTGTCTCCACGAAGGGGTCGGAAAAAACAGCCCGGTCATTCGGACTCTCGGCCGCGCACCCAAGGATGATTGAGGGCCAGGTGAGCATGGGCCGTTTCTGCTCCGCTCGTGGTAGCTGGGAGTACAGAAGCACGGCACTAGATATGGTGCTGCGGGGTAGAGCATCGGATGCGGAGAGGCTGGTGTCGAGCAATTTTTCCAAGACTAGGATACAGGCGTGTATATAGAGACACGCTGTGATTGTCATTTCTAGGGGTGGGCTAGCGTCGGCTGACGCACTGCTAGCATATTGTGTCCTTTGAGGCTCGACCTCAGCTTCGCAGAGAAGTCCTTTCAAACGCATGGCATCTTCGAGGCCTTGCCCGGTTAGAGGCAGCCGTCTTCGGAGCCGCGAAATGCGGAAAGCGTAGTCAAAGGCGATGTGTGACGAGCCAATACAGGCACTCGTTTTCCAGAGTGGACCAGGGCAAATCCTTTGTGACGATTTGGAGAGGAGCAGAAGCAGCTCCGAGATGTGGTCATCGGGCAACGAATCTGATTTGTCGCCGTTGAAGATGCTGGAGATCACCACATGGTAGATGTAAGCCTCAAGCAGGAGAATTTGATGCACAGTTGAAGGTGGTGTTTGAAAGAAGGACTTGACGAGATTCCGGGCGCCGCTCATATGTATCCATTCCGGAACCAAGGTGTCACTCAATATCTCCTTGATCTTTTCAGCATTTCGAGAGAATTCGAATGTGTTCGTTGCGTACCTCAAAAATGTGCAGTAACAGTACGGCGGAAAGGTTTGCCTCTGCCGGAAAAGCCATCAATTGAGATGCAACAGTATTAACAGCCTCATTGTAATGCACGATTGCTGATTGACGGTCTTCTCGGCTGAGAGACACTCGGAAGAAAATGGCAAGTCCGCAGGCGACAAAAGCTGCCTTGACACTTTGATACTCCACGGCCAAAGGCAGCCCCTGGGACACGATTGAGAGATCTGGACTTGTGTATGTTGACGACGTAAGAGAATCAAATTTCTCGAGAAGAACTCGTAGAGCCCTCTTCTCCTCCGGTTGACAAAATGTCTTTGCGAGTGGAGAATTCAAATTCATGTGATGGGATAATGTTGGTAAGACCCATTTAGAAGGGTCTCTAACGAGCTGTGCACAACGTGTTCTACGAGCATTCGATTGAGGCGAAAGAGGTCGCAACTCTTCCTCTCCATCTGAGACCTTGACTGTTGATGGCCGTGTCAACGTTAAAGAATTTGGATCAGTAATCGGCGAGGAGGGCGAATGTTGTCGTCGAGATCTGGTGCACGTGAGGTTGGTCTGGCCATGCTTTCGCAAACATCCTCCGCAGATGGGTAATGCCTCGTCACATTTTTTCTTCCGCTGCCGACCTGTTCAACAGTCAGACTATAGTTGCTGCTTCATGTTGGATCAGGGTGGGGAATTGTGCTGGACCCTACACTCAACACATCCAGTGGTCGACCGAGGACGTTTTGCCTTGATCTCCGCCCGAACAAACCCCGCACGGCGGATCTCGAAGTTGGCGAACATACGAACTGGACTCTGCAAGTGGCTGTGAGCCACTATGAGGGCGTCATATGGGCGAGGAATGGTTGGCGTGTACACACTGCACAAGTAGTCTCTCTTTATGACAGAGTAGGCAAGGAAATTATAGCAGGGACGAAGAAAGACGGTCGGAACGAGGAGCGGCATTCATACCCACCCTTATCTACTAGCGCAAGCCGCACGATATGCTTGGTAACAACCTTTCTGTGCTTTTCCATCTTAAAACTCGCTATCCTACCCAGTTCGACTTTGGGATTATCATAATGCGCAATGGATACATGGTACCGTTGTTGGATGGTGTGAATCCGACACAGAAACTTGACGCGGGAACCGTTCCAGGTTCATTCGCTCATGCCCGCTTACAGTACCTGGATGTCCGTTTTCGCGAGGTTACATTTTTTCGCGGATTGAGAAATGCGCTTTCAATTTGAGAGCTTACTTTACTTCCAGTAGATTTCGTCGCTCCGTTAGGGCCAGCTCGTATGATAGATTTGAACTGCGAAAAGGAAGTCCTCGAGCGAGGGAGGCGTGGAAGTACCTATTAATTAAATTAGCCTACGCTATCTGGGGCAATTGTCTCATACCTTTAAAATTCTCCTTTGCTGCGAGAATTAATCTTCAATCGTTCAGTCATTCTAAAGCGCAAAGAAGTAAGTCGAGGGGATTTAAAAGGGGTAGGCGTCGCTAAATAAGCGAGCGAAGCCAAAATCCGATGTCAACACATCACTTTAAAACAACCTTCCGCAGCTAGGTAGAGTTTCCGGCTTTGTCAAATCGGCTTGAACAATCTCCGCACGATTCTACTAAAGCTTTTAATGGAGCTGAATCTGCATCGCGAGTTATTGCCCGGACTTTGTACTTTGCTAGATGCTGCAACAAGAGTTTCGCGAGGGAACCGCCTTGGTTGCCTGTTGCGCCAGTGATAGTGATGACTCGTGGCATGGTTCAGTGAAGCGGCTGTTGAAAAGAAAAGGAATATCGATGTCTGTGTCTATCGATTTGGATGAAATGAACTCAGCTTGATCTCGGCAATGTTGCCGTCATCGGTTCAATACTTCTCGTCATGCGGGGAAGTCGTAGCCGAATGGGTATTACTACTTACGAATAATTGAGTCAACTTAACGATAACCTCCATCTAGTCTGACCTCAACCACTTACCTTTGAGTGAGAGCTATTTCGGCAATGTGCCAGCATGAATTGACATTAGGCCTGCTATCATGAGTAGAGACAGGGAAAGGGGAGAAGTCTCTTCATAATGGAAAAACGATTCATTGATTATTGATAGCTCTATATCTTGGGTACAATCAGCAGGATGACCACCATGCGCTGAAGATTCATGTTGAACGTCGCCTTAGGGAAGTAGAATAACACGACATACTTGAAATATCCCTGCAGGACAGCGCCCTTTCTGTGCTCTATGTCAGATTCATTTCCTCCAAACAAACATCTCGCGGACCGTTATTATCCTTCAAACTCGTGATCTTTTGTTTCTGACCCTCTGTTCCTCTTGATCTGTTATCCTGCATCCTTTGAAGTCGCACCTTCAATCCCAAGTAGTCACATTCCCTGTTCTCTGCCAACCATTCAATCTGTCACTCATCTGATATGACTGGATGGAGAAGTTTCCAGGAGGACTCTCAACGACTGCATATGCACTGCCAATAGCAGTGACTGCAAGGGAACCATACGTTTTGACATTTGTTCCAGTCTCGTTCGCAAAAGCCGTGTGATTGTAGTCATATCCGAGCCACTGTTGGAATGAGTAAGTCTCTCTGAAAAATGCCTCTTGAATATTGAACTGGAAGGCAGTGCAAGTGATATAGTAACCAGAGAGAAGTACATACATCATTCTGAGCTCCTGACCAAGTGCTGACTTCTACGCCTTCCTTAGACAATTTCAACAGTTGTCTCCAAGTCTCATATCCTGCCGTAACATTGGAGTACGACGACGCAGCAGCAATAGGTGTCCCCCTTGGAGCTTGACTGTATATTTCTTTACTAAAGTTCCATCCCGAAACTAGGACCGTCAGTATCTCTCACCAACCTCGAGCTTCCTAACAAATTACCTGAGTCCCAATTCGCAAGACTGATAGCCAGACTACTCTTCTGGTGAAAAAGCATAATATTGTCTGTCCGGTTGGCCTTGTAGGATGGCAGCAAAGCTAGTCCTGTCCGAAGAACAGGATCAACATCAAGCTGGGACGATGTCCATCCTGAGTCCTGGAATTTGGCCATTTGTACGAAGCCATTTTGGTCTTGGAAAGTCATGAATAAAGTATTGGAACAGAGTCGACATTGGTTGTACATAGCAGACATGGTGGAATTGGGGTAAGCTTTGTAGTTCTTTTGAGATATAATACCTTGATTCCATTTCTGAGAGGTGGAATTGTAGATGAGGTCATGAAGCACTTCATTGTTGTCGGTGTAGAAGACACTGATTTCCTGCTAGCTATCAGAGATTGTACTTCATATCAGGAGTATCGTACCGCTGGAAATCCAGGACGTGAAACGGCGGCTGCTAATGCACTATTATTCTTCTCTAGCAATCCAACCTTGGTAATGCCCCAGGGACTGCTGCTGGTTGACTTTGCCGCCTCAATCAGCATGCCCGCACTATCTTGGTAATATACTCGAGTGTTACCAGAACTAAATGCGACAGCAGCGATATTGTGTACCGGTGTCGGCGTAGGTGGCTTGCTTTTCCTTTTCCCAAGAATCCCTCCAAGTACAGCTCCAAGAGTTACAAGCAGAAGAATGGCACCTCCTATCCACCACCACTTCCGGTTGCGTCTGGGCTGTTGTCTCTCGTAGGCTTGTGGCTTCTGGTATTCCGTTGTAGCTGTTGAATATTGCTGATTTGGTATCGTTTCCATTCCATCACTGTAAGGTGTGATAGCCTCCTTGCCAACGTTGTCTATCACAACCTGTTTCCCCGAATCTGCTGCGAGACCTCTTCCATTCTGCAATAGTTCATAGCTCGGATTGACAGCCTCCAATGTGCTAGAATAACGACCTGCCATGTTGATGCATCATAAAGCTAACACTTGATGATGGCAACGGCGCTGACCCCTCTTCATAAGAGCACCGCCAAGATCCGGGTTTTGACGGTAGAAATCTATTACACGTTTTGTCTGTCAGATCAGCCTTGTGGGCAAACGGGTTGGTTGCCAAGATATGTATTTGTGGAATTTGGTGCCATCATACGAGCATCGAGCTTGGAACGGGAAGACAATTGCTGACCCCTGGGTGTTGTAGGAGGCGTATTTTGGAAGGATGGAGGCCAAGACTCATGGGACTGTCAATTCAAGCTTCAAACTTCGAGGCAAACCGAAACTGGAACAACATTTCTCGACATTTTCCCAGCCTGACAGGCATCTACCTCAGGCCTTTGGCTCAGTATGGTGACGCAGTCATTTCTTGGCCGTCCCCTGAAAAAGTCGGTGCCAGCTGAAATGGTTCAGCTTCGGTCCGACGTTGCATACTCGGTATGCAGCATTGCAGATCTATACGCGTAGAGATCTTGGCGCCGCAGGCAGAAGAAAGGCTGCATTGGGCTGTTGATTGGCTATGAGCTTTCTTGAAGGTGTGACGGTTCTACCAGAATGAGGCTGAAACACTATTCGCCATTGCAAGTGATAGAGATATAGGGGCCGGCATCAGCTTATAATAGTCGTCCTTCTTCTGTTATCTATTGGTCTAAGAATATAAAGTATTGTCTTGATATTACCTGTCTTGAGTGCTTTCGTCACAGAGTGACGATTTCATGAGGACAATAAATATTATAGGATGTTTCCCATATATCAAATAATAGCGAACTCACATTTGAGCCCCGAATTATATGAGAAATCGAATGGCCGATCAAAACGTGAACTGGAAGTGCATATGCGAGCTTAGCGAGATTCAGAGAAGCATTGAAAAACATGGATTGGATCGAAGTACGAACCAATTTCCTGATACTTGTTATGACTGATGAATTAGAGCAGAGTCAAGAGATATGCGCTGAGTAAAGTCTTCGAGAAGTTCCAAGATGCGCCTTCTATGAGACATGCACGTGGTTGTAGTATCAAGCCACATTAAGCCATATTGACCCAGAAAAGCTTAGCGCGTTAGACACAGCCTCACTCAGATCCTCCTTCGAGATGAGGCTGTCGTGAACTCTGCAAGTTGGACGTGCCATCTCGTTATGAACATTCTCTTTTGGCTGTTCTCAACACAGGACAATGAAGTATAGATAGTAGGATAAACATGGATGCCATCGGCTTCATCGCATCCATAGCCCAACTCGCAGGCGCCGGCCTGACACTCTCCAAGGCTCTCTACGAATACTCGTCCAGCGTATCCAACGCACCAAAGAAACTCAATGATCTCGCTCAAGATGTACAATTAACGTCTCCTGTGCTTGAGCGCTTGAGCGAAGTCTTCACAGAAGCGACCATGCGAGCTTTTGTACGACCTGGAGCCTTACACACCGCGCAAGAAGCCATTGCTGGATGTTCTGATATCTTTGGTGAGATGAGAGTGCTGATTGAGGAGGGTAGGAAAGGAATGGGAAAATTTATGTTGCCGTTTAAGGAGTCGAAGATCCAGCTTTTGAATGCGAGGCTGGCGAGTCTGAAAAGTACGCTGCAGTTACTGTTGCAAGTGTTGCAATATGCTTCTAGTGTTAATGTGTAAGTGGAAATAGGTCTGAAGGAAATTATGCTAACTACTTTGAGCAGAGATCCAAGTGTTAGTCAGTTTAGTCTGAATGGGTCTTGGTTGATGTCCCAATTCAAGACCCTGATCGACGAGCGCGAGGAAGCGAAGCGAAACCTTGAGCTGCTCAAGGCAGAAATTGGATCAATTAATAGCGGTGTTGGGGAGCCGTCCAACAGCTCTTCAAAGCCTCAAGAGAAACCGTCGACAACTGAAGAAATCGGAGCTTCAGACGCACAATCTACATCAATTCCCAAAGAACAAGCTGGGCTTGTAGGCAATGGGAGCGTGAGCTTATCAGCGTACCTACCGGTCACCCTTTCGTCGACTATTCCTGCTTCTCAAGACAAGAAAAACGAGCAGAAGCCCACGACCGCTCTTAGCCGACCAGGCAGTATCTTGAGCAACGAGTCACGACGTAGCTTTTTCTGCTGGCCTTGCTCCCGCAAAGTGAAGTCACATGAACTTGCACCTTACCCCACACCTCATCCTGAACCATACCACCTAAGTCCAGTGAGTCTAAGTGCTGGGGAAGGTACTGGTTATCTACCGCCTACCCTGTATCAACACGATACTCAGTCATATTCATATGCCTCTCCACCTTCAGCGTATGCGAACCTGGAAAGATATGGACCCGAGGGGATAACTGAGATGTCCGGTGCAACTACGGCTTCGATACCTAGGCCGGCAGAATTGGGTGATTACTTTTAGTAGACAAGCAAGAATACTTGTTCCATCATATTGGGGACTACAGAATTGTTGGACTCAACTTCGCAAATTAGCTTTCACAATCATCCTGATCAGAAGAATTATCACAAACTCCACACGAGGGTTCTTTTTTGTTCATTGCTATGTGGAATGTCGAAATGCAAATATGGAAAACTTTTGTTTATGCATTCCTTCCATTTTTCTTTAGTTCATTCAAATCATCTTCTCCAAGCGTCTCAGGAGTCCATCCGACTCCGCAGTTCCCAAGCTGGCGATTTTGTCGGCACGCTCTTGTGCATCAGCGACAGCATAGATCCGAAGTTCATCCGCATTACCAGACGGGCGGAAGTGAGCAACATCGCCATTAGAGAATAGAATGCGAACTCCGTCAGTGTATAGGATTTGGATGATGGAGGCAAACCCGAGTTGCGGGGTGAACACGGTTTCGAGTGCTTCGCGAATCTTTTCAATTTGTTTCGCATGCGGCTCCTGAACATCGAGCTTAGTGTTATCGGCATCACGGACGAAGAGCCCATCCGGAGGGTAGGAGACATTCTGCATGGATGCTTCAGGGGGTGAAAATCGGGCTATGATCTTCAAGCTCGTCGAACGTGGGAAGTTCCGAAGTAAGGCAGCACGGCTGAAGCGCTGGGGTAACCCATCGAAGAGTTCTGGCAATGTCAGCCCGCGGTTGCGAGCTGCGAAGAGAGCACAGAGTAGAGGAAGAAACGCGTCCCGTGTAGGAAGTGCTGTCAATATGTTGCCATTGCGCTCAATATCACAGCCGGTGAGGAAGCCTCCATTTGCCTCCCATCCGCAGACACGTCGACGTCCTTTGGAAATGGCTTTCTCCATACCGGCAATCACATATGGGCTGCCAATCTTCGTCTTGGGTTCTGTGACAGAGCTCAGAGCTCCGCGGTCTATAGCATCATTGGAGCTGATGGGGACAACAGCAGCATCTGCACCCAAGAAGTCGGCGACAACCATGCCCAGAAGATCACCGCCAAAGAAGCGAAGCTTGTCACCTTCTGGAGCCAGAATCAGTGGACGATCACTGTCGCCGTCAGTGGAAATAATGGCGTCAAACTTATGGCCGGTACCAGTGCTTCGCCAAAGATCTTGCACTGTGTTGAGCTGCGCCTGGTCAATAGCTTCTGTATCGATGGGCACGAAAGTGTCACTGCGGCCTGCCGGAGTGACGTCTGCGCCAAGAGCTTCGAAAATGTCAACCAAGAGATCCCGGCCGACTGCAGAGTGCTGGTAAGCAATGAGCTTCACATCTTGAAGCGTCTCGCCCTTGAAAAACTCCACATAACGTTGGAAGTAGGCTTTTCTTCCGTCAGGTATCGCGGGTTGGAAGTCGGTCTGTGCACTGATGCTGCGAAAAACGCCCTGGTTATCAAAAGGAGACTCGGCAAATAGCTGCGAGATGAGCTTCTCACGAACAATAGCGACTTTGTCGTTGATAGGCTTTTCGTCCCTTTTCATGAGCTCTCCTTTGGAGGTGTTGAGCTTGTAGCCATTGCGGTCGAAAGGAATGTGACTGCCCGTAACCATGATACTTCCTTTGCCGTGCTTGAGAGCCCAGCAGGTCAGAGCTGGCGTAGGTATGGCGCCCAAGTTGATTGGATGCATGCCTGTATCCTTCAGCGCCTGCTCGACGGCTTGACAGAGGCCACCTCGACGACCACCACAACCGACATCAACCAGTGCGGTAGAGCTAGGACGCAGATCATGGGCATAATAGAAGTCATCGCCAGCTTGGATGCCACCTTCCGATTGAGGGAGTAATTGAAGGTACTGAATTTCAGCGACGACATTGGTATAAATTTCCAATTGAGTCAAGTGAATGACTTGACCACGTCGACCACTTGTACCGAAGTTGAGAGATTGTGGTTTATAGGCAAGGCGAGAGCCAAGCGATCCCGTGGCGGTAGCGGTGGCCATCTTTGTTTCCTTTTCCCGCAGAATAATTGTGAGATGTCGGTGTGGCTATTGCGGAAGAATCTGTGACATAAATTTCTGAAGAATGAACGAAACTTGAAGGCAAGTAACGAGTGAGTCAAATGAGATTTCGTTGCCACTGTGTATTCGGTTGACAAGTGTAAGAGAGATGATTCTGAGGTTGTAGAAATGAAAGGTCGAGGTCTTTAAAACTTCGCTTAAAACACGTGTCGCACTTTGTTAGTACACTATGCCCCACAGCGGGGAGCGGGGCGGAAGCGGGGCGGGATCTACAGGACAACTTCGAGACAATTACGGGATTATCATCTATTCTTCTGAATCTCCCGAATGCGTTTCATTATGTATAGCTTCGTTTATGTATGTCTTACTAAGATCCGACTAAGAAAACTCGCACGTTGGACTTCCTCCACCAAAGACATTACACCAATTCCAGCTTCTCCAACTTAACCACTGGCAAATGAGCCATATGAAGCTTGGCACTACCGTACGGGACAAAGCGAGCACTGAACGGCTTTCCTGTCATCTTTACATCAAGTGGAGGATCAGCAGCGGTGCCAAAAGCAGTAGGCCACTCGATCTCAACGGCCGCAACTCTCAACTCTACCGGCGGTGCACCTAAAGTCCATATCGGATTCTTTAGCGTCGTTGAGTCGTTAGAAGACACGATAGAGATCTGGGATGGGTCGATTGCAATATTCCAAATAGATGTGGGTGTCAAAACGTGGTCGTAGGTATGTGAGTCGGTGGTTGAATTGTCGAGAACGGCCTCGGTGTGGTAGTTCAGAGGAGGGGTCTGGGATGTGTTGAAGTCAATAGCTAGGCTGTAGAGTAATGCTCCGTAGTAGATTGCGGCTGTGTTATTGGCTCGCGTCACCACTCGTGGTTGTGTCTCGAGTTGGATAGTGAAAGTTGTGCTGCTGCCGCCGGGAATGCCGATCTTTTGGAGGCCTTGGTTTGATGGAGAAACTTGAACGATGGCTCCATTGCTTGGTCCGCTGATGGTGCTTGTCGATTCAGCCCACGTTGGAATTCGTACGTAAAAGGGAAACGCAGATGTTGCTGAGATGGTGTACGTCAAACTTAGGCCGAAAGGGTACGTGGTGTTGACAGAGACTGAAACTGCATTATTATTTGATAATGTTGTAGCCACATCGGTACCGATGAGGAAGACGTGTGCCAAGCCGCCATCTGCTGTACCAACAACTGCGTTGGCTAAGAATTTGGGGTATGCTTGCGGATGATTAACGGTACAGCAAGGCTATTCATTACATGAGACTACTGAATATCCCAATTGGTCGAGGCGAAAGGGGCTCACATAATTGGGTTCCAAGCCAAAGACATTGGAGTATGAGTCGACGTCCCACCAGAGAGGGTCTGTTATCGAAAGGTTGCGTGACCAAGGCTGTTCATTCAATCAACACTCTATCTAACCTAGTCCTGTTCTAGTACAGTACATACCTGGTTTTCTTGCTGAACATATTGATGTGACCACCAATCTGCGGACACCGAGACAGGAAGAGCATTAAAGGCAGTTTGTTCGGTCCAATCAGCGATGTCATTATCCCCTAGATATTGGTAGATATTAGCCGAAGAAAACATCACCTCTGCAGCAATACACAGTTCTGCTCCTCTGCTAGGATTCAGATCCGCTATGTACTCGTCCGCGATGATAGTTCCTGCAAGTGATCTGTGATACTTGGCCAGCAGGTCTACAGCTGTTCGAGTTTGCGTTTTCAATGCAGGGTCATCTGTCATGCGATAAATGGCCAAAGGATACCGAAGTCCTGTTGCAAATCAGAAATGTTGGTGAGGTTGACCAAGTCATGCTTACCTTCCGCCATGTTGACACCATGAATGAAGACCCAGCTCAGATCATAAGGTGTTGTATCATACAACACAGTTGGATAAACACCTTCCACCCAAAACGTCCGCCAATCCGCACCCCAACTCACTCCTCCTGCAATCATAAGTTCCATCGTCTCCCAAATGATCTGAGAATTGTTCCTTGGATACTTTTCATACAGCCATTGCAGAGGAATATGCATTTCATGAGTTCGACCAACACCAAAGCCGGCGGTGTCGAAGGTGTCATTGCCATGTACGATCAAACCTGTGAAGTTGTTCCGTAACATGCTATGAGCAAGGACGACATAACGATGCATCGCGTCAACAATTCTGTCAGCTTCCGTAGAATCGGCTTCAGCGTATTGCTTTTTGAAATCAGCCATTTGATCAAATGATTGTACCTGCGTACCAGGCGTTTTGTTCTACAGAGAAAGTGTAGGCGGGAGTCGCATCACGTGGACTCAGGATTGTCTTTGAATGCAACTTTGCATCTCACGTTCTGCTATTCTCAGATATCGAGGGGAAACTTACGATCAACCCCAGTAACAGGAGACAGCGAGCCCAAAGCCCGCGCGTCGTTCTCGTCGTCTCAAATCCAAGCCACCCATCACTTTGCTGATGATCGAGAACATAGTCAAGGTAATACTTCACCTGACTCTTTATTCTTGCATCCCCCAGCCCAAAAGCCAAAGGCACAAGCCCATTAAACCAATACGGCGAAGCTTCATCGAGTGCTGAATATTCTGTAGTACCACCAATCCACCTTGAATCATGTACAAAACGATAAAAGTCGAATAAATTGCCTCCTAAGCCTGCCGCTTCGAGTTCCAGCTGGTCTTTGAACCATCCCAGAGGCCTAATGGATCCAAGGCTGAGAGTCTTGTATACTGGCTGAACAACTGTGTGGGGCTGAGCGTCAAGCCTTCAAATGGTTGACTGGAACTCACGTGTAGAGCCATTTCGATACGAAGACACTATTTCGCTTGGCAGTGCTTGTCCCTGTGTGGGGGCAATGAAGTAGAACAAGAGACTTTGAATGAACAACTTCATTGCGAACAAAACGTTCCGGTTCTCGATGGCTGCTAGGAATAGTGAAGGGGGAGAGAAAAACTCAACATGTACTCGTACTCAAGAAAACGACCGCATTTCTTTCTCATCCAAGGAGTAACGCATCGCTGATATGCTCTTGGATGAATGTAACGTTTAATCTATTTTCAACTTACGATTAGATAAGGTATGGATGGTCCCTCGGAAGAACTCGAAGAGGCAGGTAGATCTATGTATTAATGCTGGTATGTGAGTAGGGAAATGATGTGCAATACCGGTCGGTACTTCGCATTCTGCCATGAATGGCGGGGTAACTTTGAGGACTGACAGTGGTCAGGAGTGGGATATGATCGTGCTCCCCGTCTTAGGATATGATGCTCTGAGCAATTCTCGAGTCAATATTAGAGACATGTGGAATTTTTCCCCCCTCGCTTCTTCGGCATGATCGGTATGATGAGTTTGAGGAACAAAGTCTGAGTCAAAACAACGCGACGCACAACGCGACGCGGAACGCGCCCAGATACCTAGGTAGCGCCTCGGTTAGGAGCTGGATCCGCATCACGTGTCTCTCTAAGTGCTCCCCAAAAGCTGTGAAGTATATCGGTACATTGCTGTAATTCTGTAAATTCAATATATTTCTCTGAAATATAAGAAACATAACTCTATTTGGTCATTTGAGCTTTGATCTACAGTATGGACCATCCACGTGATATGAACTGGTTCAGAACCTCTACTTCTCGCCTCTACTACCTCGAGTGCCAGCAGCAAATTGAATATCCCCATGACTCAACTGTTTGAGTTCTGAAGGGAGATTAGGTTAAATTTCCTGATGATCAATGTCTAGAAGCTGAAAAAGCACTGCCGAGCTTTTTTTCATGATTTATTATGTTCGACACTCTAGATCCAGGACAGATCAGACTGCTTCAAGTTAAGCCCGGAAGTGGACCTGATATAGTCTGCGATCTCCAAGCCGTCTCCACTGCTTATTCTTGTCACCAGTATGACGCTCTTTCTTGGGCTAGTCAAAATCTCACCAATACTGCCATCTGCAAAAGATCCTACTCTATCACCTCCAGCCTTTATCACCCTCTGAGATGCCTTCGAAGCGAAGACGGCGAAACAAGGACGGTTTGGATTGGCGCTATCTGCTCATAAGTCGAATGATACCGAACAAAATACATCGGAAACTTTGAGGTTTTGATCTCTGTTTTCTGAGGGGTTTTATTTTGGGCTAATCGGATTAACTGCCTTCCACCTCCATGTTGCGTTGCCCATTCTTTATCTCGACCTGTGTATCCTTATTTTGAACTACACGAATTTCACCTTCACCGGCCTTATCCCAAACATAAAATGAAACCGTTCTCAACTATCTCTGTTCCATTTCTAAACCCCCATTGAGTACAAATCGCCACCTCTAACCAGCCGCGTTAGAAAACTTATCATCTGAGATTACCACGAAAGTTAGACATTATACTTTGGTGGGTGACTCGGGTGTATACTAACTGCCTGCTGTTGAACTGTTGGACTTTCTCGAAACAAGGTAAATAGATCAGATTTTGCCTGAATGCTATTGCCAAAACTTCCCTTAGACCTTTCTCGTTGGCATATATAGATGCAGGCTGAAGAGTCAATAGAAAAACTTCCCTTCAATCCATTGAAGCGGGCTCGGGTCGCGACTCTTCGAATAAAGATATTGCAAACCCGGCCATAGATGTTGAACACTTCCCTCGGGGATGTATCCACACTGCTCAAAATCGTTCATTATGGTATAACTATTTGAGTGCATTAGACCACAGTTGCAAAATTCTAAGGTGTTGGTACTTACCACCAATATCTGCAACCCGACCCTCCCCCTGAAAAATCATAATGGTGACGTCGGTTTTTGGACACAAAGTCGCGGACATCCTCGAATGTCTTGCCCTCAGTCATTTTATAATCCCAATGTTTCAGAGCACTAGTCGGGAGTTCATAGTCGTAAATGCTCAGTTCCAGTCTCCCTTCTTTGACACCGTACTTCGGGGTGAACATGTTCATCCGAACTGAGCCCCGGCCTTGGAGAAGAAAGTACACTGACCAATGGTTCTCGCTGTTACCACCGCCAAAATTTTGCGAAAGGTGCGCAACGACTCGGGCGTGAGTAACAATCGATTTGTCACGGTTGTTGGCTGGAGCGCTCATTCTGGTAGTTGGTCTTTGTGCCCGTTTCTGTTGACTGACCGTCTATGCTTGTAGAAATCTGAATAATAGTGTTTGAAATTTGGAAGGAGCCGGGTATAACCAAAATTAGAGCTTTATTCAAGTTCTGTAGAGAATATGAAGGATATTGAATATGTTCTAGTCCGTGCGTAAACAATTGCTGTTTATAAACTAGAGCGCCGCCATTCACGAATAGCACATGCTTTCGTGAATGGCGGGATGTTCATATATGGCACTCTTTGTCTATGAATCACAGCTGCCATTCACGAAAAGAAGGGCCTGCCATGCATGAACGGCGCCACTGATACATAGCCTGTGAATAGAGTCCTAATCTTACTCCATCCTAGTACTTCAGTCAGCACTTTAGTACTTTAGCATAGCAGCAAAGCATAGCACCAGTACTTACTGCTTCACCATACTTCAAAGCTCAAAGCACCATAAGGCTCTAGGCTTTTAGGTAGTGTAGAGGTGATGAACGACTGAGGTGCAGGAGTTAGAATACTAAAGTGTTAAAGTGTTGAAGCACCAAAGTGTTAGAACTGCCATAGAGTTGCTGAAAGTGTGTGCTCAGATTAGGGCCGTTCAGTGGGAGATAGAAGCTACGAAGCCGACTGATTTAGGGATTTCGGAGTTTGTGCACTCTTTGATTTCGTTTGGCATGGGAAGGAGTGTTTGCACTACTGCAACTGGTGATCTTGGTCTCGTACCTTTTGGAACACGGGGTGGATACTTGATCTGTGTACTCAATGGCAGCTCAGTGACTTATATTCTAGGAAGATGATGATTGCTACAGGCTCGTTAGGAAATGCTATATCAATGGGATAACGTATGGCGAGGCTTTAGAACGCGAGGATTTAGTTGGATAGGAATTCAAAATCAGATAAAGCTGCTTCTATTTCTGTGAATGGCAAAAGATTCTTTCTTTTCCTCATAACCCATTCTTCAACAAGTGTGCGTGTCTGTTGGAATGTAGTCACGTGTCCGTCTCGCTAAAATAGGAGAAGTACCGACTTTTTCTGGGCTTCAAGTCAGTTCCTATCCATCCTGCCAAAAGATCGATATGCCACTATGCACATCCTGCTGCCATTCTGAACTCAACTCTTGAAAATACTTGCTCTGATGTGACTCAGATAAACTGCGGAACATTCACAGAAACGTTTGAATATTAAAGATCAATAAGCGGGAACCTTCTTTGATATACGCATTAATTGTGAAAAGCCATGCATTATCCTTCATAATTCCATATCGCACTCAAGATTTTCTCGATGCGCCCCATACGTCCAGCGCCTTATCAAATACAAATCTAGCAATCATCCATCCCTCTCTAACTTGAATAGACACTCCTAACAAAGCTCCAGTATCTTTCACAATATGACACACCCACCACCGGCATCGTTCTTTCCTCCTTTCCCGTTTCTTTCGCTGCCGCCTAAGCCGCTCCCACCATCTCTCTCAACAACATACACATGACCACCCTCATCACCATCGATGCGATCCAAGTTCTGGAACTGTGGTGGAGTAGGTACGTTGTTTGAAGTGTCTACTGCAAAAGCCGCGGCAACATTCTGAGAGACGGCCAAAGCCGCAAGAGAGGCAACGATAGGTACTTCGGCTTTCATTGTTTGTTTCTGCGAAGTTTCTTGGTACTCGACTCAGCGACTTTCGTGATCGAATGCAAGATTGATATTTGATTGCGGATATGATGTCGAGAACGCGATAAATCTTGGTTGAAGATGGTTGAGAATTATTTGAGAGGGACTTCAAGGAGCAATTATATACCCGTAGGCTCCGTGCAAGAACAATCTTCTCTAAACATTCACAAGTCGATACATCCGGGTTATGGAACCATCTGAATGAAATCACGTATTCACTTAGGTGGGAATAATTATCAGATGTTAAATTTAGCATGTTAATCACTAAGATGAACGTGACAACCAGCTTATGGGACGACAAAATCATAATGTATCTGTAATTTGATCTAACTCCTCTATGATACATTCATTTTACGATACGGATCTATTCTTAAGTCACGAGAAGGTGCATAGCCCAAGCAAATTCTTGAAGATGAAATCAAGAGGGGCATGGAACTGTGACTATAACTGCGTTGCGAATATTTCACTATATATTCTCTTACAGCGGGCTCTTGATCTAGCACCCAAGTAGTCTCGAAAGCGAAATGGACAACATGAGAATGTTTGCACTGAACATATGGCCCTTCAGCTGATAACACTTCACGGTCATGAGCATAGCCCAACGACGATTGCAAGTGGTTAGGCCGCAATCATAACCTCAATCTGAAGTCATCCTTACGAACATGGGGACAAAAGTCCGTGCGTTCAGGGCATCAGAATCATGAATTTTATTAATTAATTAGCTGTAGACCAGCCACATCGCTTAATTAAGTCGTGTACCCAGAAGTCCTGCTGCTCAATAAGCCCATTGATCCATTCCTGAGGAATTTTGTCCCATTCTTCTAATACTGCTACAACCATTTGAACCTCAGTTGTTGGCTGCCTTAGGCGCCTATGGAGAGCTTGTTTTATTCTCCTCCAGCACTTCTCAATAGGATTCATATCAGGGCTAACTGCAGGATGGGGGAATAGAGTAATACCCATAGAAGTACGCCAAGTAGCACAAATATTGCTAGTAGTCTTGTGG